CTTTTTGTTTTAAGCATTGCAGTGATAGGTTTAGTCCATTTTTTATTTGGAACAGAGAAACTTGAGAAGAGAGATTGAAAAGTGAATGTTTGGGAGCCAGAGAGATAGTATAATGGGTAAGGTGCCTGCCTTGCATATGGCTGACATGACAGTCCTAATGATCCTTTGAACCTGCTGGGGCTGATCCCTGAGTACAGAACCTGAATTAAGCCTTGAGCACCACTGGGTGTGACCCCAAAACCAAAAAGCATGATAGGAATGATCTTGGGATTCAAGTGCAGGTAGTGGAAGAGATCAGAGGCTTGGATAAACCTGTATCAAAGGATACTATTCTTCTGATTAAAAACAAAAAAGAAGCTGAAATTATGTCTTTTGGTGCACTGTAAATGAAACTTGAAGTGATGATGCTGATTAAGGAAGTGGAAGACCATTGTCATATGGTTTCACTCATCTGGGGAATATACATAACTAGAGCAAGTGATCTAATTCTTAGACCAAGTGACACTAGATAATAGAGGGAATGGGTCAGGGTATGAGGATTAGTGGAAAGGAGTGTAGTGGAATAGGTAATGGTTGTGGTGGAAGTGATGGTTGTGATGGAAGTGGAGTATTGGTGATCGGTTCATTGAATATATTAGAAGCACAGAGAGTCAGATAGAGGTGGAAAGCTAAACCTCTAATTTTTTACATGTGGTCAACTAATGATAAAGCGGTTTTGAGAGTGAGCAGCATGGGCCTTCCTCGCTTTGGCTCCTTCCTCGCTTTGGACTCAGGCATTGCTCCTCATGGTGTTCAGGGAATCATATGTGATGCCTGGTGATAAATTGGGTCAGTTGTGTGCAGGCAAGTGCTTGATCTTGTGTAGTCTTTTGGCCCTGATGATTGATTTTTTGGTTGTTTTTTTTTTTTAAAGGAGCGCACAGCTTAATTTATTTTGTTCTCTGAAACCCTCCTTTTATTGAACTAGTAATCTAAATACTTTCATGATATTTTGTATAAGCTACTTGGTCTTGCCAAGCAGAATTTGATATGGATATTATCAAGTTCTTGGTAGCTTTATATTTGATGTCAACAAGTTAGATAAGTTACAGTACATTAGTAACCTCTACTAATTAAGTGTGAGTGAAATAAATGAGGTACTTCCTGCACAGTAGGTAAAAGGATCTAGAAGCAGGAGCATCATCTAGAAAATAGTCTCTCTTAAACCATGAAAGACTATATCCAGGTGCCAGTGGCTGAACTCGAGAAACCTTATGAATTGACTTCAACAGGAGAGTCGACCTTATTTTTGTGCTTGAGTAGGTCCAATGGTTCTTTTCTTGTTATTGTCATTTTTGTAAGGTTGTAAGTATAGCATTTTTCTTACTTAAAATTGTTGATGGAGTTGTTTCTTATGTGACTGCAATTGTCTCAGTGATTTTAACTTTATTTTCAGTATGTAAACTTTCAGTTATTTCATGTAAACTTGAGCAAATTGAAAAGTCTAAACTTTTTATGTTCCTTTATATAATTGGTAGTTTTTCATCTAGGTTAAGTGGTCAAGCAGGTGTTTTGTTTTTGTTTCATTTTAGGACTTTTGAAGAAAATTTAATAGGTAATTTTTGTTTGTGGCAGTGAATTTCTTATCTTGTTAGATTCATTCCTGCAGTCACGTTCTCATTGGCTATGGTCTGTAGAAAATAATCATGGATAAAGTAATTTAGAGAATATCAGATACTAATTACCTAGTGAGACAGATAAATTCCCTTTGAAATGATTAGTTCTAGATTGGAATCTCAATTTCTCTTCTAACTGTGATAATAGACAAATGTGCCTCTTGAAGACAGTTTTTTTCACTTAGCAAAGGGAAATGATAATAGTTATATCAGTTAGTTACTGTAGGAGGAAGTGAATGATGATAGAAAATAGAGTGCAGCACCTACCATGCTCAGAAAATGACAGTTACTCTCACTGGTGCAGATAATCGTTGCTGAGAGTTTGTGGTGTGTCATGTAAAATTTGTTGTGATTTTTAGACGATTAGTCTGTAGCAAAGATTCTCACACTGTTGGCAATATCAAGGAGTGTTGTGCTTGTTCCTGTTGTAGTTCTGTAACTTATCTGTATTCCTAATAATAATAATTGCCATTTAATTGTAAATTTACTATCGTTTATAGCCTTAATTTTAACCTCATGCAATTTTATTACCAATAAACCTTTTGCTACCACTTTTTTTTTTAGCATTTTTTTGGGGGGTTACTTTATATTGAAGGGAGGAACTAACTACTCTATGTACTAATAGTTCACAATTTAGGGAAATTTCTTTAAACTTTAAACAGTACATCATCTCAGAAAGTGTCACCAAAAGGGAAACCTCCTAGCTTATTAAATAAAATGCTTTCTAGTGGGTCCAGAGACGTGGCTCACTGGTAGATAGGATCATGCCTTTGATTTGTAAGACCATGTGTTTGATTCCTTGCACCATCACAGCAAACGAAAAAACCTTTCTCACCTACTGAAAAGTAGCAGTTTATCATTCTGATTTGAACTTGTATCACTGAGGGGCTGGAGTGTTAGCACAGTCATATTATATATAATATAATATATGTAATACAGTTATATTCCTCCACCATCATCACTACTATCATCAGTCGCAGTGGAGAAGCCTTTAGAGCTCTTCTTATTCATTAGAAAAGTGGTGGCAAGAGTAACCCCTGTACATCACCAGGTGTGACCCAAAAAAAGCTTTAAAAAAAAGGGGCTGGAGCAATAGCACAGCTATTGCTAGGTGTTTGCCTTGCACGTGGCTGACCAAGGTTTGATTCCCAGTATCCCATATGGTTCCCTGAGCAGTGCCAGAAATAATTCCTGAGTGCAGAGCCAGGAGTAACCCCTGTGCATTGCTGGGTGAGACCCAAAAAGAAAAAAAAATGTATCACTGAGACATGATTTCCAGTCCCACTGGCAGATTCTACCATGACAATGGTTTGGATTTACTGTATTTCACTTCACTTTAGTGTTGCAGAGCAGTCATCTTCATTTTCTTGCCAGGTTACAAGGTTTGTTCATCATTGTAATATATCCCTTACATAGTGTATTGTATAAATTGGCCACTCAGTGCATCATTGTTTTAATTTGTTTCCCTGTTTTTATATTAAGCTGGTTATTTTTATCTTAGGTATAGTAGGCTCAGAAATAGTGCTTTCACTTACTGCATTGTTACACCCCCGCCTCCCATTTGTTTTCTCTAATCATCAGCTTTGCAGTTTGCTTTTTGTGATAATCTGGGGGAAAAAAATCCCCTAAAGAACTCTTTGGAATATTTTTCTATTTAAGTACTAAAAATGCTGAACAGTGGGTGACATTTTGTGTTAACAGCACAAGGTTTTCTATATATCCTGCTGAATTTATCTCGTCGCCTTTAGTATCTGATTATCTACTTCACAAAGGAAGTATCTTAATTCTTTTATACTTTTGTGTGTCTTTTGCATCTAGCATGGTGTTAGATACATGCAATGCAGGTCAAAATATTTGGGTGTTAATTTTCTGGATAACTAATAACTGGTCTTGTAGAGAGAGCTTAGGGTCTTATAATTAGACACTGGATTCTTACCTCAGCACTGTGGTTGAATAGGTTGTGTGGTCAGTATGCTAAGATTCCATTTCTTATAGAGTGGCAATGTTCATAAAACCTCAGTAGTTAGCCAGGAATGTTAGCTAATATAGGAATATTTATGGCCACCAACTATGTAATATGTCTCTTTCTATTACAGCTTTTAAACACCCCCCTTCTTCCTTTTATCTCCCCACCTTCACTTCTTTTTGTATGTGGTAGTGATGACTGGTGATTCACTTTTCGAGGTGCATGTGTGGGGCACCTCACTCGGGGCTTTGTTGGGGTGCTTGGTAGGCTTTCATATCCCGTTGAAGCACTGGGGATCCGAAACAGCAGTGTTGTCCAGAGTGTTCTTGATCCAAGTGGGAGCTGCGCCTGGCATTGAATTTCTGACTCCACTTACCAGGCAGTTGTGCCATTGCCACTGACTTGTCCTCAAGCTGCAAGTTATTGCTCCAGTGGTGCTACTTTATGGCAAATCTGGTTTCCGTCTTAGTTGCTTTGGTGTGTTCTGAGCATTCAGTTGATAGACATTTTATGTTTGCATGCATGAGTGATGTATACTCATGGACAAAGTGGTAGCTAAAGACGTTGACTAACATTACCTGATAAAGTAATAGCAGAAGTTGTAAGTTGTAGGAAAAATTGTTTGGTGAATGCACCGAGACTCACGTTGCTCTTGTAATAGATTGCAGGGCAAGTAAACCAGTCCTTTTCTTTATGTATTACATATTACATATACCTAAGGTCTTGTAGCTCCTTAAATGGAAGAATTGAATGAACCAGGAGTTCTGGTTTAAATCAATTGCTCTCAGAATACCTACACTATAAACATACAGAGCAGCATTTTGAAATTCATGGACTTTGCTGTGAAATTATTTTTCGTCTCTATAGTAGTTCCATATGGGCTTCATTTATATCTATATACATGTATTAATTGTTTCCACTAGCTACAGTAGGCAAAATTGCTTACTTTGTGACTGGAACCTACTGAATAAGGCTAGGCAGGGAGGGACAGATGGGTCTGGGATTCAGTGAGTAAGTAGTAGGAGATGGGATCAGAGAGGAGATAAAAGGTATGGATTATAATAGAATGAATTTGATGGGCTTTGGGGGTAGGGATTGCATGCAAACACACACACACACACACACACACACAAAATTTGGTTTGGAGATTTGGATTAATTTGTTACTTTCAATTTTGACCTGATATCTTTGGGGGAGAAAGCACCTGGGCTTTTTTATTTCTTCATGAGTAATTAAATTTTCCTTTTCCTGCTGCGTCAGTTTGGACATTCTATAAAGAGGATACATGTAAATTACCTGTTCATATTTAGAAGTTTGCATTTACAGGTGAGTTTCCAGTCCGAGTAATTGGTGTCCTTTGTGATTTTGTCCTCCAACAGGAGTGTGTTGCTGCTGCTCTGCTCTGCGTCCTCGCTACAAACGCCTGGTGGACAACATATTTCCGGAGGATCCAAAAGTAATTTGATCTACATCTCCTGATCCTTCTCTTTGCTGACCCATCCTTAACCCCTGCTGATCACCCTCAGGTTTTCCTCATTTCATTTCTCTTCTTTTACTCCTAAATCTCATCTTGAACATAACAATTTTTTATATTTCACTCCTTTTGTTCTAACTTTGAAATGACCCGTGCTTGCTTACTTTTCAGACCCTTCCGTTAAGATTAGACAAAGGGAAGGCAGATGGTATTTATCAGTCTATAGAGTTCCTAGAGTTGTTTAATTGGCCATAAGTCTATAGAGTTCCTGGAGTTGATTAATTGGCCATAAGTCTATGCCAGATTATTTGTACAAAATGCTAAGAATGTTACTGTGAGTGAAAATGTGGCTTCAAGCCAAAAATGTTGAAAGAAAGAAAGAAAATGTGGCATTATGTTCTCACCTAGTTCATAGGCAAGTAAATTGGTGATTACAATAATTGTGTGGATAATGCTGTATAGAGAAGTTAAGTACAGGGTGCTGCTAGAGAACAGAGCGGGATCTGCATTGGATTTAGGAGGCTGCTAGGAAATTAGAAGCAAGCTAGGATCCAAAGAGTTAAATGCAGTGACCACAAATAGAAAATTGAGACGTAATAGAAGAATATTCCAAGCAGAGTGTTCTTAGAAGTTTTTTAAAAAAGAAGTATTTACTTTATATAGTTAGAAAAATTTCATTGAAACTTTTGTGGAGCATTGCTGGATTTAACGCAACTGGGTTTGAGTAATTTTGCTTGACATGTTTTAAATTTTCTAGGAATACTTTATAGTCTACTGTTAAATATATCTGAACAAAAAAATCACATGGGTTTGATTTAAAGAATTTGCTATGTTGTAATATGCTCTGTCTTTGCTAGATAAAAAAATTTTAAAACTTACATCAATGAAAAAAAACTTACATCAATGTCTGTATCATAATATTTAAATCAAATTTCAGCCATTTAAAGGAGGCTAATCAGTTAAATATACTTCCAAAAATCCTGACTAGTTTGTGGCATATTAAAAATTTATATGGTACCTGCCTATCAAGAACTTTCAACCCATTGACATAAAACAGAAAGAGTAATAAATATTTAAAATCATGATATATAAATCAGTAAAATGTTAAGTATACAGGTGGTATAGTTTTTGCCTCTATAACAGAGAGTTATCATGGGGGTTGTCAACTCTGGGACATTTTCAAAGGAAATGTGTGTTCTGAGCTTCGAAGGAGCAGTGGAGATTAGTCTCTTTATTTAAGGGGTGGCAAGAGGAAAAGTCATGTGAAAGGAAGAGAGATTACATTTGAAATCAAGATATTTCAAATAAATATTCTTATAGCCTAATTGTAAAATGCGATAGTACAGCATATAGGACACGAACCCTTGCATGCAGCTGACCCGGGTTTGATTCCTTTGTCCCTCTCAGAGAGCCTGGCAAGGTACTGAGAGTGACCCGCCCACACGGCAGAGCCTGGCAAGCTCCCCGTATTTGGAATATTCAATATGCCAAAAACAGTAACTAGTCTCATAGTGGAGACGTTACTGGTGTCCGCTCGAGCAAAATGATGAACAACAGGAGGACAGTGCTACAAAGGGTTGTAATTATTTTGATTTTACATTTGAATTTTGAAGTATATCATTTAGGGGATTACATATTCAAATCATTTCTCAGAGGAATAAGGGGTGTAGCACTACGTAATAAAAGGTAAAGAGGAAATTCTAGAGGAATGTTAATGACACGCAGGTGAGCTACTTTAACTTGGAGGCAGTGAGGGAACTTTGAACTCCATAATCATGGAATCAATGAAAGGTGAATTGGAGTGTGGTTACAGAGTCTAGATTTGCCATGTATTTAGATGGGGTTTATATAAATGGCATAAGAGATTTTTTTCAGAAGGTAAAAGACTTATATGAACTTGATGTACATATGGCGGCCATATCTCATGAGTGCATTTCTGATTTTTAATTTATTAAGCAAATTAAAAAATGTAATGGCACATTTAAAATGAAACAATGAGTAGTCAGAGTGCAGAGATCTAAGGGCTATGAGCCCTAAGAGCACATAGTAGAGGACGAAGAGCCAGAACCATGACAGTTAATCTTAGGTACCTTTTTTAAAAATACCAGGCATGTTCAGCATTGATTTAGCCATCAATGCAAAAGGGAAATTTCAATCAAATAACTCTTAATAATCTACCCCCCTAACAAAAGCCATAAAGATGGAGATGTAAATACTATTTACTCACCTCTTTTTTCTTATTCTAGGATGGCCTTGTTAAAGCTGATATGGAGAAATTGACATTCTATGCAGTATCTGCTCCAGAGAAACTAGATCGAATTGGTGCTTACCTGGCGGAAAGGTTGAGCAGGGATGTTGTCAGACATCGCTCTGGGTAAGGAGGAGTCTAATTGTTCTCAATATTCGTATCTTTGAGAAATTCTATCAAGGCCAAGGCATCCTGTAAATTACTTTGGCATCTTATCCGGCAAAGCTCCAATATGGAACATAGACTGTTTTAGTGTTGTATGAGGGAATGTGTAGCACCATATAGGTATGTAGCTTTTATTTGCTATTAGTTGGTTAGCTTTTAAGAATGGAATCTATATAAATACTGCTTTTAAGCACCTGTGGGCACTGGTGGAGGGATGGGTGTTTGATCATTGTATAATTGAAACCCAAGCACAAAAATTTGTAAATCTACAACTATACCTCATGGTGCTTCACTAATAACTTTTTTTTTAAAAGCACCTGTCAATTTCTGAGACTTTTTAATGAAAATAGTGATAAATTGACTCCTTTATTCTACTACTGCAGTATTGTAATTTAGAAACCAGTCTCCAAATTGGAAACAGTTGAATTTTGTTAACCAACTGATTTTTCACTTTTACCTATCAGAGGAGTAATAAAACCGACATATATTAAGGTTTAGAAGGTGCATATGCTTGCTGTTTTGGAACTCTTCTGGCTAGACTATTATAAATAAAGACCTACCATCATTCCCTATTGTGCTTAAGCAGTAATAAGTTTGCAGTTTTGAATTCTGCATACTTTCTGTATTGGCAATTTATAACTCTAGTGTAATTTCAAAAATTTTATTGTAGTCTAGGTAATATAGTTATAATATTGTTAAAGTTTATGGTTTTACTATACAGGAGTTTCTTAAAAATATTCCATTCTCTAAGTAGCTTTCTCTGTTAACACATTGTTAACACTTATAACATGAATGAGTCTTGATAGGTGTAATTTTGTGTATAGTTGATTGTTGAAGTAAAGAAATGTATTGCCTGAATTTTAATTTTTAGTACATGTTTCAAGATATGAATCAAATACTTTATTGTTTGAGGGTTACACCCAGGGAGGCTTTCTGGCTTTGTGCTCAGGGATCACTCCCAATGGGACTTAAAGGACCATATGTAGTGCCAGGGAGATTAAAACTGGATTGGCCACATGCAAGGTAAGCGTTTCACCTGCTATACTGTCTGTCTGTCCCCTAACAAGGTTGATTTTTAAATTTACTCCTTCAAATTATTTAATTGCTCATATATATATAAAATATATAAACATATGACAGATTAGGTTGGAAATTCTAGGTGCATATCATATTTTGCTTACAATAATAGCATTTTGGGTCAGAAATAGATAAATAAGGTTGAAAGTCTAGAAAATAGAAAAATGGGAACTGTTCATGCTTTTACAGAGCACTACACACGCACACCCACACACACACATCCACACACACACAATGTTATAAAAGGCCTAAGAACTTTTTTTTTTTTTGGTAAAAAGAAAGGAGTAAATGGAGTAGTATAGTATAGTGTTTGTATGCATCAATATGAGGAAACTGTTGTTGCACTTTGAGGTGCTGAGGGCTATTCTTGGCTTGGTTATAGATTGTTGCTGATGACGTTCACTTCTTGGATCTAACCTGGGCATCCTCCATGTGAATCCTGTATTCTAGCACATTGAGCTTTCTCTGGCCCGTGAGGATTATTTTATACACTCCTTAGTGCTCTATGAGAATAAAAATTTCATTTAGAATTTACTAAATTTGCGTTTTCTGTTCCCTGCCCACTAAAGGAAACATGCTAATTCCCATGAAAAGCCCTTTGGAGAACTAAGGGAGGTGAACATGTCTTGATGTTATTTTCTTCTTACCTGTAGGTATGTTTTAATTGCTATGGAGGCATTGGACCAGCTTCTTATGGCTTGCCATTCTCAGAGCATCAAGCCTTTTGTCGAAAGCTTCCTTCATATGGTAGCCAAGCTTCTGGAATCAGGGGAACCGAAACTTCAAGTTCTTGGAACAAATTCAGTGAGTAAAATTATTTTCTAATTTTAAGTTTAATTAAGAAAGTTAGAATTAATCGCCTTTGAGATTGTCTTACCTGGTAAAGGCAGATGTTCTCTTGGGATATTTGGACAGCCAGTAAAGATATGAATCGATGGAAGGGCACTTTGTTTCTAGCTTTTTCTGTTGCTCCTTGTGAAGTTTGCGGTATTAAGAAGAACAGAAAACTAACTGGCCGTGAAGTAATATTTTCCCCTCATGTAATCTTTCACCGCTTAAGCGTTTCTATTTCCCAGACTCCAGATTTCTGTAAATAGCTAACAGTCTCCAACCAGCCTGAGTGATAGCACGGTAGGTAGGGCATTTGCCTTGCACAAGGCTGACCCGGGTTTGATTCCTCCATCCCTCTCTGAGAGCCTGGCAAGCTACCGAGAGTATCCTGCCCGCACGACAGAGCCTGGCAAGTTCCCTGTGGTGTATTCGATATGCCAAGAACAGTAACAACTAGTATCACAATGGAGACGTTACTCGTGCCCGCTCGAGCCAGTCGATGAACAACGGGACGACAGTGCTACTACAGTACTACAGTGCTACAGCTAACAATCACTTAATCACTTGCCAGTGTTCTTAGGTAATCATTTTAGACATAGGGAAAGGAAGTATCGATGGTAGCTGATGGCATTAATTCTTTGGTCAGACTTCTTTGTTCACTGCACCGTTTTCTAGGGAAAGCCATACCTAAATTTCCCTAAATTTTTCATCTGTCACATGAGGACAAATCCGTAGAAATCTTACAGTATTTCCGTGTGCTGTGAGCTAATGTTTAGGAAACTCTTAGACCAGATCATGGCACAGTTAATATTGGTTGTAAGAGAATGTTGAAAATAGAAATACAAGAAGGCTGGGATGTAGCTCAGTGGTAGAATGCAACCTTTTATGACACACACCATGCATTAAAATAAATGCAATATACAAGAGAATATGAATAAAAATCATCTTTAAAATCTCCTTTATGGTTCTCTGCATTTGTTTAAGAGAGAAAATAGTGGGTATTCTCAATACAGTTAGATGGAGTGACAGAGACAGTTTTGGGTTTTATAGCTACTTGCCTATTTCCTTTCTAATTAGGAGACAAAAAGTTAAGAAAAATGATTTAATAGCTGTCATTGGAAGTTTTAGTGTGTAGCCCCAGAAGTGACTTTACTTGCATCCAACAGTGGCATTAATGTTGTTTTAATGAGTCATTTGGGCAGAAGAACACATTCCCCAGACAACTAGTTTGATTTAAATGAATGATACTAAGTAAAAGCCTATATTATTTTCACCAGCTTTATTTGTCTAGCATTCTCTGGAAGTCTGATTTCTTTTTCTTAGCAGTGCTGAGTTATTAGACACTGAAAAAAAGTTACTATAAAATGTAGCTGGTTACTCATTTAAAAGTTTTATACTAATCATCTTTATACATTTTATTTAAATTTGTAATATGTCTCTACATATGCTGACTATGAAAGTAGTTTATTTAAGTTCCCCTTTGCATTACAAATTGTGCAGGACACATTTAATTTTTATCCTTAATTGTGAACTATTTCAAGTACAGAAAAGAACATAACATGGCAAGCTATATACATAGACTTTGATCCAGAAAATATTTAAGCTACTATATCAATAAATCATATATAATGATTGTTATGAATGATGGCATATAAAGTCAATAACTATTAGCAGTGCAGCCTTGGATCAGGATTTTAAAAGAAATAATACAGTTTGTACTAGATGCTCCTATATATTAAAATGGTAGCACTGTCCTCCCATTGTTCATTGATTTGCTCGAGCAGGCACAAATAACATCTCACAACAAATTGTGAGACTTGCTGTTTCTGTTCTTGGCATATCAGATATGTCACAGGGAGCTTACCAGGCTCTGCCGTGCAGGTGAGATACTCTCTCTCAGTAGCTTGCTGGGTTGGCCGTGTGCAAGACAAACACCCTACCCTGTATATTATATCATTTAATTTTGTCTCTTTTTTAAATTTTTTAAAAACTTTTTGCTTATTGGGTCACACACAGCAATGCTCAGGGGTTACTTCTGGCTCTGCACTCAGGAAGTACTCCTGGCTGTGCTTGGAAGACCATATGGGATGCCGGGGATTGAACCCAGGTGGCCGCATGCAAGGCAAACACCCTATCCACTGTATCATTTAATTTCCACAAAATCCTTTCAAGCTTAGGATTGTTATTTCCACTCTACTAATGACAAATTGAATTTAAATAACTTGTTCTCGGGTATGATATAGTACTTTATATCACAGGCATCAGTCTTAAGTCTGTCTTACTACAAAGCATTTGTTATTTGCAATGTTGCTAATTGTGAATTGAACTTTAGGGAAATCATTGATCACCCTCTCCTCACCCCCCCCCCCCCTTTTTTTGTACTTTCATGCACTGCTTGGGTTGGAGCAATAGCACAGCAGGTAGAGCATTTGCCTTGCACGTGGCCAACCTGGCCAACCTGGGGTTCGATTCCTCCCCCTTCTCGGAAAGCCCTACAAGCTGCCGAGAGTATGTCGCCTGCACAGCAGAGCCTGGCAAGCTACCTATGACGTATTCGATATGCCAAACACAGTAACAAGAAGTCTCACAATGGAGATGCTACTGGACCCGCTCGAGCAAATCGATGAACAGAGGGAGGACAATGCTACAGTGCTACACGCTGTGTTCAAGGAGCCCTGGGCCCCTTGCAGCAATACGAGGCCGGCCTGGCTGAATGACTATATGCTAGGATGTGGTGTTGCTTGGGGCTCAGCGCACCCAGGGACTGCCAGGCATCATCAGATCCATATCAAACAGCAGGGGGTCAGGGTGAGGCACCGCACAGCACAGTAGGTGGTACTCCAGAGTGAACAGGGGCCAGGCTTATGTGCCCCTGACCCCTGTGCAGTCTCCCTGGACTCTGTACTTTACTGCTGCCTATTAAAGCTGTCCACCCTGCTTATCTCCCGGGGGTTCCTTTTCTTTAAACATTGTGGACCTGTCATCGAGACTATTCATTATACTGAAGTATTGATTCTCAGTGAAGAGTGACTCCTCCTACTCTTCCCTTCCCCATCTAAACATTGAAAGATGTCTTTTGATTTTCTCAACTGGGCCGGGGAGTGCCAATAATACCCACGATGCTTGGGATGCCTCTCAGCGTTCTCCTGGTGAAAAAGCACAACAGTCCCCTAGAATAAAGAGTATCCTAAAAGATGCAATTTTATCATCTGCCGCAGCTTGGATGGAGTTGGAGGTGTTAATGCCAAGTGAAGTGAGTCAGAAAGTAAAATATAAATACCAGATGATCTGACACATATGTAGAATATAAAGGAACAAAGAAAGGAACTAAATACCTCCGGATGCAAACAGGGCACTGAGACCTGATGGGTAGAACTGGAAACTGAGGTGGCTAGGGAAGGGCTGGGGGGTGGAACCTAGACATAATGATGGGAAGATTTTGGGTCACTGAAGGAGTGATTGGTGGAGTCACTCTGCACTCTGCAATGTCAAGCAATGGTCTCCATCATTGTGTAAACGAGAACCCCTCAGTAAAAGCATGAATACTACGAGAGAAGAATATCCCGGAGCTGGAGATTTAAGTATAGACCTGGATTAACATGCAGCCTTGGGGCTTGAGTGATAGCACATCGGGTAGTGCATTTTCCTTACACGCAGCTGACCTGGGTTCGATTCCCAGTATCCCATATCGTTCCCTGAGCTCTGCCAGGAGTGATTCCTGAGTGCAAAGCCGGGTGTAACCCCTGAGCAACGCCAGGTGTGACCCAAAAAGCAAAAAAATAAATAAAAAAAAGACAAACATGCAGCCTTGCATGCAGCCGACCTTCATTTGAACCTCTGGACCACGTGGTCCCCTGAGGGTTAGCAGGTACAGCCATGGAGGCCCCAAGAGCCCTTACAGTGCAGCCTGCATTTTCCCTGGCACCAAGCAAAGGGCCCAAGCAGCATTGCATCCTTGGGCCTGAGCACTGAGCTCTGTGCCTGGTTGGCCATGAATCATCAGGAGGGTCTCCACAGGTCTAATGAACACTGCTTTGGATGTCCCCCCCCTCTCGCTTCCATTCAAAGAACGTGCAGTATTGCTGAGGGTGCTAAGCAACTGTCTTTCATTGTCACGGTCATGGTCACGGTCCTCCCGTTGTTCATCGATTTGCTCGAGCGGGCCCAGTAACGTCTCCATCATGAGACTTGTTACTGTGTTTGGCATATCGAATACGTCGTGGGTAGCTTGCCAGGCTCTGCCGTGCGGGCGAGATACTCTCTCGGAGAGGGGCGGAGGAATCGAACTCGGGTCGGCCATGTTGGCCGCTTGTAAGGCAAATGACCTACCGCTGTGCTTTCGCTCCAGCCCCGTCTTTCATTGTATCTTTTGAAATTTACTTTACAGTTAAAATTTTAAGTGATAAAGAAATTGGTGCAGGGTATATGCTACAAGGAGTTAAGCATATGTCTAGCATGTGCAAAGCCCCGAGTTTCATCCCCAGAGCCACATGCTTCCCCCATCTGTACCCCATATTTTCTGGCTGTGACCCTGGTGAACCCCAAACATATTCCCAGGGAGAGAATTCAACTGTTAGGTTCCAACTTCCTCTGTTTTATATTCCATTACCAGGAATGGCTCTTTCTTTGGGGGTTAAAAGGGTTTGGGGCCACACCCAGCAATGTTCAGTGGTTACTCCCGGCTCTGCACTCAGGAATTACTCTTGGGGCAATTCTTGGGGGACCTTGTGGGATGCTGGGGATCAAACCCAGGTTGACCGTGTACAAGGCAAACGCCCTCCCTGCTGTACTGTTGCTCTGGTCTCAAGCTGTGTTGCCCTCACCCCCACTATTACTGGGTGGGAATAAAGAAAAAGAACTAGGAGAATTTTTACTTTATTGTATATGTGCAAGCTTTGTACTCATTTGTTTTTCATTTGAAAACCTCAGCAGTCCCATGTTAAATACTTCATATGCAGTTGTTTGTAAATAGATCCAAGGAGTAAAATTCCAATTCCCTGTTGAGACTTTTAAAAAATCTCTGTAGTGAACTTTACTCATTTTTCTCAACTTGTGTTGTGACAAGATGTCTCCTTATTTTTTATTGTTACGGTTTTATGGAGAGTGTATAGCTTTAGAATTTGTTAGTGAGCTCTTAGAGTTAACACTATCACACAAACTGTTCTATAAAATGAAAACGGAAGATATGCTTTGCTATCCAGGGCAGAGCTGATCATTTTTTATTGTTTTTATGGTCAACATGAGTATCTGTAACTAATAATTCAGATTGATGGCTTTTGATAGATGAATAGGTTTCTCTTTATACGTTTTTCTAGAACCTTTTACATTGTAATGGTCAGATTTTTTATTATTCTTTTCTTAATTTTAAAAGTAGCATATTTGAAATACATGAAAATAAGAAATATATAGTTACTGCGTTTTTGTATATTTCTTATACTGTTCAAGGTTTGTTTTATTTTATTTTGATTTGGGGGCCACACTTAGCAGTACTCAGGACTTATTTCTAACTCTGTGCTCAGGCATCACTCTTGGAGGGCTCTGGGGACCATAGAGGGTGCTGGGGATTGAACCTGGGTCCAGCTACATGCAAGGCAAGTGCCCTGCCTGCTGTACTATCTCTCAAGCCCCTCAAGGTTTGTTTTAATAAAAAGTATAATCTTTTTTTTTTTATTTTCTGGAACTGTCCATATAGTTCGCTTGCAGTGCAGTAATAGCCAAAACACACTAAAGGATAAAGCAAATGCCCAGGCATTACGCACCTTGACTTTAAAATATGCTACAAATTATAATGATGTTAATCAAGGTAATATGCCGTGTGAATAAAAATACTCAGGTTAATGGAAAACAACTGAGAGTTCAGAAATAAGTATCTACATATATGGACAAGTCTTTCCAGTAAATGATGTCGGGAAAATGAAATAGCCCATGCAAATGGATAAAACTGGACTAGTAGCTTTTAGCATATACAAAAATTGAGCCAGAGTGGCTTAAAGACGTAAATGTAAGACCTGAAATCATACCATAAATAGAATTAAACATCAGTGATAAGCTTCTTTATGTTGGGGCATGTAGTGTTTCAAAACACAGTTTTCATATATAAATGTAACATGAACCTAAATGAATGAGAAAATTAATAAGAAATACATATTAAGGGATTTTAAGGACCAGTTTTGTCAAATAGCTGAAATTTTATAAAGATAGATATTTGCATTGTTTTTTTTTTTTGCCATATCAGTATATTGCTATTTTACTGTCTTTGCTTTATTTATTTCATGTCCCTTTTTATTCATGTTTTATGTAGTTATGTAAGAGCTATTTTATGTAGTTATGTAAGAACTGAAAAAGAAGATCGTCTGTCCACAACTACAAAATAAAGTTCCCAAGAGGTTTGGGTCCAACTTAGGTATCACTAAAACATAGACACAGTCTAGGAAATGTTTGAGTTTTATAATAACCTTCTAGAAAGTTGCTTCATTGAAAAGGAACTGAAGCGAAAAGCTTCATTTGGTGTTTTCCCTCTTAACACTTGAGTTCTTAAGGTCCCTAAACGATCATCAGATGTAATGATTGTTTGCTTTTCACTTGGTCATTTCTAATTAAGTGTAACAACTAATTAAAACAGATGTGTTCTACACTTTCAAAAGATAATAATTGTTCATTTTGTTTTTCAGTTTGTTAAATTTGCAAATATTGAAGAAGATACACCGTCTTACCACAGACGTTATGACTTTTTTGTATCTCGCTTCAGTGCCATGTGTCATTCCTGTCATAGTGATCCAGAAATAAGAACAGAGTATGTACTTCTTTTACTCTATGGTTTATAAATTTAGGGTAATCTGTCAATGCATACCATGTTATTTATTGTGTGATGACTCCCAAAGGAATTAGGAAAGTATGTTCCTAGGTTTTTATACATAGCTACCATTTCTGTTAGAAGTTGTGATTTGTGGTGCTTTGGCTGGGCCACTGCTGGCGGTGCTCAGGATTTCTTCCTGGGTCCGTGCTCAGGAATTGCTCCAGGTGGAATCAGGGGACACAGTGGGGTGCCGGGGGTTGAACCTGGGTTGATCTCTTGCAGGGCAATGGCCCTGCCTACTGTATTATCCCTCCAGCTCCAAAAGTTTTAAGAATTGATATCAGAACATTGAGAACAGTTTTCCTATTCACTCAAAATAAAATAAAGTTTTTACTGTAACCTGGATGCTAGTGTTCCTTCACCCCCAGTTTCATGTCTTTTCATTCTGTCCTGTCTTCATTTAGGTGGGTCTTCTCCTGTTTTTGAGCATGTTGGATACATTTCTTAGGGCCTTTGGACAAAACAATGTCTCTGTCTTGAATAAATGTACAAATGCTCGCATGGCGTATTCGTCAGTTTGGTCAGACGTCTGCTCAAACAGCATCTTTCCAAGAGCATTGTCCTCCAGTCACCTTCCAATCCCAACCCAAGTTGCTCTCCATCCTTTTCTCATGTGTCTGTATCTGTGCCTCACTCCTCTGTGGAATATAGACTCCAGGAGGGTGAGGAGTTTGTACTAAGCCCTTATTGCATTGTACCTGTAAGAAGGTGTTTTTTTTTTTTGTTTTGTTTTTTGTTGGTTTTACAGTATTTTTTTTTTTTAAATTGAATCACTGTGAGGTACAGTTACAAAGTTGTTCATGATCGGGTTTCACTCAGACAATGTTCAATATTCTGACATCTTCCACATCACCAATATATATTTCCCACTACCAATGCTCCCAATTTCCTTCCGGCCACCCCCCCACCCCCCCGCCAAGAAGTATTTTTTTTTTAATAAAATACATAGATAAATTGAATGAACAAAAGTTTTACAGAATCATTGTTGATCTGAGACAGCAGATTGAGTATATTCTAGTAAGTTGTAAGCATCATCTACAGGTAGAGACCTATATAGAAATGTGAAATTTAAAATTAAAAATTAAAGCCAGAGTGACCTGGTCAATACAGAAAGTAGTTTGAGCATTAACCACTTGGCACCTTAGAAGCAAAGAACTACAACTTGAAGTCTGAGGGATACTGTGGGAGCTCCTGGAGGCAAGATTTTGCATCTTTTGTCTCCTAAGCATGTTGCAGGGGCCTGGACATCCCTACTGGCTATCTTGGTCAGCTGGGCCAGCTTCTCAGGTAGTCTCTGGCCTGAGGATGCCGGGGATTACCCGACTAGCCCAGTGCTGTTTGGGGTCTTCTGGGTCTGCACCTGGCAGTGCTTAGAGGACTAGGTGGTACCTGAGATCAAGCCAGGCCCATGAAATACATGTACCCGCCCTGTTTCTCTGGTGATTTTCACTTTTCAAGTAAATTAGGAAATGTATTAGAAATATATTTAGTTTTGGTATGCAAGTACCGGTGTTGGTTCCAGGTATGGTAAACATTTTTCTGCCAAGGGCTACACAGTGCAGGCAGATGGGCCATGGTCGACCACTGAGAACCAAGTATGACCATCTTGTCTCAGACCAATCCCAAAGCTGCTTGATTTTGTCGGCCTTACACACTGGATCTTGTGTACCAAAGATAGGACCACCCATGTACAGAGGTGTAAAATGTCTTCTAATGTGTAGAAAGTTAAGTGACTTAAACGTTTGTAGTTATTATATAAAATGAGTTTCTAAGGTCCTTTTAGGATTTTTATTAAATTTTTATTAGTTTTTCATAGATTAGCAAAGAACATTTAACAGTCTGCTTTTGGCACAGGAGAAGTATTACAAGTGCGGGAGAGAGAAAGTACAGCGGGTAGGGCATTTGCCTTAAACACAATCGACCCGGGTTCGATTCCCAGCATCCCATATGGTCCCTTGAGCACCGCCAGGAGTAATTCCTGAGCGCAGAGCCAGGAGTAACACCTGAGCATCATTGGGTGTGAGCCAAAAACCAAAAAGAAAAAAAAAAACACCACAAAAGAGGTGTTTTAGGGACTAAACCTGTAGCTCATACCCTGCATACTGCTGAGCCCTGTACCGCAGTGGGTCCCCTGTACCGCAGAGCCCCATGAACATCCCTGGGTGCAGCCTGAAGGCCCCTTAGCACCTCTGCTATGACCTTGGAAGCCTTTGAGCACCACTAGCGTGGCCTGGGCAGTCCCTGGCACCACAGGGCCAAAGCAGAAGTGAATCCTTGGGTCATAGCATTGAAATTCGTAACGTGCTTAATGTGGGCTGAGTTGGCTGAGACTCAAGGGGAAAGGTTGCTAGGTCTCCTGAGTACTGCTCAGAAGCTCTTCCCTGCAAACGAGAAGTTCTGTTATTTGTTTATTGTGAAAGTGGAGCCCTCAAAGGTAAGGGTGACTGTGGTACAACAGTTAACCCAGTCACTACTGAAGTCTTTCCCCCTTTACAGACATTTGACCTTTATACAGTTATTTTCCAGTTTAAGAGGCTGACTTTAGTTAGTTAATGGACAAAGAGATAAAAAATGCCCAAAGAAAATGGTAATTTTTTTCAAGATGAAACAGTTTCTCTTTCTTTTAAAACACAGACTGTATCCAGAATATAGTATTTTTTTTGTATGGTATATTAAGGATTTGTAAATTACATGCAGTTTTAAAAGATACTGGCTTTGACTGTTTTTACATTTAAACCAATGTAGATTTAAAGTGTCCATTACAAAATTTTTTTATGAATTTAAATGATTTATTGCATACTTATCTTACTTTTAGGCAGCTAGCGCCCCCTAGTGGAAAAGTATATCAACATATTTTTTCCTAACGTTTTTCACTCGTTTACCAAAAACCACTTTAAATTTTCTATAAACACATGAAAAAAAACTTCCTTTTTCCTGATTATGGGTATTTCCGATATTATATAAAATTTGGAATTCCGTATTGTCAACATTCCATTTTAGTCACTGCAGAAGAAATACAGAACTAATACATTTGGGGCCAGGGAGACAGCGCAGGGATTAGGGGCTCATGACCCAAACTCTTCTCCTGGCACTTGAGGGACCCTGCCCTTTCCCCTAGCACCTAGGCTTTCGTGTTGTAGGCTCCCCCAGTACTGCCGGTTGACTGTGACAATCCCTGGGTTCAAGGACAGAATAACACTGTATGCTTAGGCCTGAGCTTCTATTATTACCTGACTTCTGTTGACTAAATTGATGCTTTGATAAAACTCAATTCTTTCTCTTATTCTGCCCCCCACCCCTTTCTTGGCAGTATTCGAATTGCTGGGATCAGGGGAATACAAGGTGTGGTTCGCAAGACAGTTAATGATGAACTTCGGGCTACAATTTGGGAACCCCAGCATATGGATAAAATTGTTCCATCTCTGTTGTTCAACATGCAGAAGATAGAAGAGGTTGACAGGTAATGAATAAAGTTGTTAGAGCTCTGGTTGTATTAATTTTGGATGTGTGGATGTGTGTCTGCTTGTTTGGGCCTAAAACTGTTCTTTATTAGTATGTAAATTGCAGCCTCAACAAAAGGCATGAGTTTGAAGATGTGCCCTGGAGACAGACTTAATCGTGATTAGTGGTCACATTCGGCTCAGGAGAGCACAGATTCTTACTCAAGACACCTAATGTTTTATTTCTTTTAGAATAAATTTATACGTAGCAGCTATGCTGAACATGCAGATCGGATTGCTTTTTAAATTATACTCAATAGTTGTATGAGAAAGATTGTGGCTGAACTTCTCTGGTTCTTTAGATAGCCTCTATTTTTGTGATGTAAAAATAGAAATAATCATAATGGTGATAAAATTGACATGAGAATTATTGCTAATCACCTTTCTAGCAGAAATGTTATTTATTTTTCTAAGATTTTATTTTTTTGGAATAGAATATTACTTTGGGATATATGCTGAGATTGTCTTCTGCTTTTTCATACCTACTTTCCAAATGACTTAAGTAAGTTTTCCTTCTACACTTGTGTTTTTACACACAGAGAAACTGTACAATTAACTTTCAGAGCCAGTGCTTTTCAGTTTGGCTGAGTTCCCTCGTCATCCTTACTCTTAAGAGTTTGAAGAGAAGACTTTGACCCACATTCCTGAGATATTCTATATTTCTAAAATTTAAACTTTCACATTTATCTCAGTTGTACTAATGACAGAAAATTTATTAATTTCTTAAAGGTGACTGTCTCCAGTTTTGAAAACTTTTAAAAGTGTGAAATGACGTATTTTAGCACTTTTTACATTTTTTTCCCTGCTTTTGGCACTGTAGTTGAGATAAAAGTTTCCCTTCCAAAGATTTTGAATATTTTTCTCTTCTAAAGATCATTTAACTGAGAAACTGTTCCCTATGATCTTGGCTGTTAAGGTCCAAGATTACCATAAGAAGCAGAGAATGTTGATTGCTGAATCTTAAATTTTGTTTTGTGGTGTTAACAGAGTACTAAACATAGACATTTTTGTTTCTTTGCACATGAATGGCATTATAATTTTAAAATGTGAATAATGTCTACTAAACACATGTATTTATACAAGTGTTCTAATTAACTTTTACATTTGTATTTTTTTATTCACGAATGGCATAGTTTTTTTCCTTTGTGTTTTCCGTACTTAATAGTGAGTGAAGTCAGAATGTCTGAAGATGATCTTTGGTGACTGTGTTGTTATTAGGATTTTGCTATTAATGTAGAGTAGTTGTAGAAACTGCACAAGATGGCAGATGCTGAGTATTTTGCCTAGGGAAAGGACATTTATCAGAAACTTGTACACTTGGACCTGAGAGTCCAGTGGGTGGGGTACTTGCCCTGCATCAGCTGACCTGGGTTCAATCCCCAGCACCCCAAACCTGCCAGGAGTGATTCCCTGAGCACAGAGCTGGGAGTCAGCCCTCAGTACCACTGGTGGTGACCCAAAAAACCAAATGAACAACAACAAAAGATCTCTCTTGAGCACAGATTCTACTTACCCAGCTGAATTTCGTTTTTCCTTATTGAGCGAGCATGTGCTTAACATTGGGGCCATTGGATTCCTTAGCTAAAGTTAACGTTTCAGGTTACTGTGGGTTAAAATGAAAATGCCGTTTTAACATTTCCGAGGTGAAAACTCTGTTCTGTTTAATTGTTAGGACTAGTGTTCCAGGTCTTGCCTTGGGGACCTGGGAGGTGGCGCAGAGGGTAGGGCCCCACTGCTCTGCTGGCTCCGACCCCGTTTCTGCACCGTCTCTCCCAGTAGCACCGAGTGTGCCTTCCTGCTCCCACTGCCCACACCCCACCAGAAAACCAAAGAACAGTTCTTGCATTTGATTTTCTTTATTTCTCTTCTTTTTTTTCAGCCGCATAGGCCCTCCGTCTTCTCCTTCTGCAGCTGACAAGGAGGAAAATCCTGCCGTGTTGGCTGAAAACTGTTTCAGAGAACTGCTGGGACGAGCAACTTTTGGGAACATGAATAACGCTGTTAGACCAGTTTTTGCGTATGTGGTTTTGACTGCTATATTAATCTTGTGAATTTGCTGACTGCGGACAAATACTTTTTTACTTGTATGAAGTATTTATGGAAGCAGGATCCAGTCAGATACATGCTTGACCAGCTTGCCAGTTTCCCCCCCCTCTAAATATTAAATAGAGTTTAAGTATATCATTAAACTTGAATTTTTCATCATGCCTTGAAATGCAGGAGAATACTGAGATGATTTTTGATGCCTTATGTTTGTTTTGCCTCTCATGGTCAGGTCCTGTCTCCTGGCTTCTGTTTCTTACTTTTTTTTTTGTCCTGCCACTGGGCTGCCTTCAATTGCATTCAGTTCTCAGAATAAATTTTGTCTAATACCACTGATGAATCAGAGATGGAATGTGAAAGATTGCACTGATACATGTTCTTTCCCCTCGGTTATGTTTATGAGCTCTGGGTTTCTATACAGAGACATTATCTCTTAAGTCCTGGCATTCAAATTCAATCATTGGATGATGGACTTATTAATTTCCTGTAGAAGATTATGTTACTTTGGACATTTTGCAAATCTTTTGTTTATCATGTGTCTGTCTTTCCCCTTTGTAACTGCAGTAATGTCTTTGTAGCATACATAAAATAGTCTAAATTCAGCATCTCGAATTCTTTATCTAGGGAAAATGATTGGTTTCAATTTTCAGCTTTAGTTATAAGAATCTAAAAATCACAAAATCAAGTGAGGGGAAAAAAAATAAATCAGAGAATTGTTAAGAGTTTTCCAATGGATGAAAACTCTATTGTGACTGTAAGCATAAGAAAATACTAAGAAAGAATAAAAATTATGTCAAGTTTAAAGGCACAATGATTTTTCATGCCAGCTATGCTGATTTGATTTCTCAGTTTTATCCTAATATTCAACCTAGGCGTAATCTCTAAAGCCCTAAAAGAAGTTAAGAATTTGGGGGTTGGAGATGAAATATCGTGGATAGGGCACTGTCTTTGTAGGCGGTCCACCCAGGTTAAATCTCTGGAAACCCTGGTAGTTCTCTAGGTCCTGCCTAGAGTGATCCCTGAGCATGTGCCCCCAAACAAGAAATGTTAGAAACCTAATCTGAAAGAAACCATTAAGTTTTCTGTACGTGAGTAACTTGAAAAAGTATTCTTTTCTGTGTATAAATTAATGGATTAAATTCTGACCGCATTAATTTATTTTTGGTGCTATATATTAATATTTAATTAGATATTAATCAATGTCTCTAAGTAAGATAATGGACAATTCGAAGAATATATACACCAATAAAGCTTCTCGTTCCTAATGAAATATGACTAATTGGTAGCATGCTAGTTATATTACGTGTTGGGATCATTCCTGCCAGCGCTTGGAGCACCATATGCAGTGCCAGAGGTCAAACCTGGGTCTGGGAAATACATGCAGTATATCTGGAAGTGGAAAGATTAGCCTTCTTTGTGATAATATGATTTTTGACTGTCAGTCTTTTTTACATACCACTGAGGAATCTACGAGAAAGAAAGAATAAAGATAAGAACTGCTTTTTAATGTGTTTTTTTAATTGTTAATTACAGGCATTTAGATCATCACAAACTGTGGGATCCCAATGAATTTGCAGTTCACTGCTTTAAAATTATTATGTATTCCATCCAGGTAAGGTTTGCTTAGATAATAATGTGTGGCTTTGATAGAGCTGTTAGTATTTTCATTTAGGCACTATGATTCTATGATTTAACAGTACTGATAGTGTCAGGATATTTAATTGTCCTATGATCTTTGTTGTGAATTCTGCCAGCATGCATTTAATTTAATTGTTTGTGCATCACTTTGCTATGGTGTGTTTTAGGCCCAGTATTCTCATCATGTGATTCAGGAGATTCTAGGACACCTTGATGCCCGTAAAAAAGATTCTCCACGGGTCCGAGCAGGTATTATTCAAGTTCTGCTAGAGGCTGTTGCCATTGCTGCCAAAGGTTCCATAGGTGAGTGCCGGTGGTGGGGACGTGGGGGTGGGGGTAGGGTGGAGGGGGGAGTTCTGTTTCAAATTATGATATATTTTTTTTGCATATGGAAAGCTCTATGAAAATATTTCTAATATTAGAAAATGCTAAAATTTCTTTTGTAATTGTATTTTGATGTCATTCTTCAGTACACAGCTCACTGACTCTCTCTAGTCTTTCCTTCTATTCCTTCCTCTCATAGGACTTTCTAAATACCAGCCGTATGCAGAGTGCTTCTGAGAATGTAGATACAAAAAAGTTGTGTTTGTCTTAAGAGTTTGGCAATTATAACTAATTTGGGCTGGAGCGATAGCACAGCGGGTAGGGCGTTCGCCTTACAAGCGGCCAACATGGCCGACCCGAGTTCGATTCCTCCGCCCCTCTCGGAGAGCCTGGCAAGCTACCGAGAGTATTCGATATGCCAGACACAGTAACAACAAAGTCTCCAATGGAGACGTTACTGGGCCCGCTCGAGCAAATCGACGATCAACGGGAGGGCCTTTGCCTTTGCCTTTTGTAATGCGAAACAGAAAAAATTGCCATTCAGAAATGGGGGAAAATAGAGTGTCATGATTTAAATATTAATCTAACCCGATTGGCTGGAATGGATGGTGTAGTATGAAGACAAAAAGAAGTGACTCGAAAGCAAAAGGTGCAAAATAGCCGTCTGGATAGTGTGATAGAAAACCTGCTTCACAGGCAGGGGACCTTGACTCTGATCCCCAGCCTCGCCCTACATGCTGTGTGTGATCCCAGAGGCACTGCATATGTGATCCCCGTGCCGCAACAGAGTGTGCAGTCTCTGCACACACTAGAGCCGTGTGTGTGCAAGCATGACAACTAACGTGCACAACTCCCCCAGCAAGTACCACAGCTAAGTGTGTGAGCGCCAGAACCCAGCGTGTGACCTCCCTGGTCATTGAAACAAATATAACAGGATAGGCGAGGGATTGCTGTTGCTTTTTTTGGGGGTGTGGAAGGGGTCACACCCAGCCCTGGCAATGCACAGGGGTTACTCCTGGCTCTGCACTTAGGAATTATTCCTGGAGATGCTCAAGGGGACCGACCATATGGGATGCTGGGAATCGAACCCAGGTTAGCCGTGTGCAAGGCAAACGCCCTACCCGCTGTGCTATCTCTCCAGCCCCCCCAGATGTTGCTGTTTTAAAAGCAAAAGTAGTTTCAACAAAGGATTTATGGATTTTACATGAATACACATAGATTATACAAATCAGGTGTACTCTCCAAAGATGTGCTCTAGTTTTTATCAGAGATCTGCCCTGTGGTAATGTATCTGTCGTTTGTCATAGAAATGTTTTATCTATCTATATCTATCTATCTATCTATCTAAAGTGTTTTTGTTTTTTGTAGGAATAAGAGGATGGGGTGTAAAGTCACCAAGATTTGATAGCTGAACAACTATAATAATGTCAGGGAAAAGGGGCAGTGCAGAGTCTGGGATGTTTTCCTCAAGTGATTAGAAAAATGGAAAGTCTTAAATCAAATTAAGGATTTATTAGTGAAAACAGAATGTTTATGGTTTTGTCAAAGTAAATATGAATTAATGGAATATTCTAATACACACTTAGTGTCACAAGAAGTGGAGGCATTTTTAAGGCCCAACGACATAGTTCAAAGGACTCATGCACATGCTTTGTAATGTGGGAAGCTGGCATTTATCTCCTCACCACATGGCCCCTTGAGTACCACTGGGAGTATCCCCTGGTAACATGCTGGGTGTGGCCCCCAAAAACAAAATAGTGGGTATCTTTTGTACAGCAACTTGTGTCTCAAAGGTGAAGATAAGTTATTGACCTAGAAAATTATTTGATTTGAAACATAAAATAGAACAAGATACAGCAGTCCATCACATTCACTAGTGTTTATGTGTTAGATATTGTGGTAAACTCTGCTTTCAAAACGAACGTCACATTACTTGTCCTAGAGAGAGTTTAATTGGAAGTAGAGAGCATAAGTAAAAAACATTGATTAAAGTACAGGATGATGGATATGGTGGCAGAAATATATACTGAGTAGCACTGTCCTGTCCTCTCGTTCATCAATTTTGCTCGAGTGGGCACCAGTAACGTCTCCATCGTGAGACTTCTTGTTACTGTTTTTGACATATCGAATACATCACGGGGAATCTGCCAGGCTTTGCTGTGTGGGCGGGATACTCTCCGTAGTTTGCTGGGCTCTCCAAGAGGGATGGAGGACTCAAGCCCAGGTTGGCGCATATAAGGCAAATGCCCTACCCCCGTGCTATCGCTCTAGCCCCATGTACTGAGTATAGAATGAAAAGCAGAGAACAAGATTTTCCTGAATCTTAGAGGTTGATTTCTATGTCATAATTGGAGCCTTTTTTTTTTTATTTTGCTTTTTGGGTCACACCCAGCGATGCACCGGAGTTACTCCTGGCTCATGCACTCAAGAATTACTCCTGTTGGTGCTGGGGGACCATATAGGATGCAGGGAATCAAACTCAGGTTGGCCACATGAAAGGCAAACATTCTACCTTATGTCATACGCTCCAGCTCTCTGTGTCATAATTGAAGCAACAAATTCTTCCTTCTTTACACTCAAGATAATTTCCTACACTTTGCGTTATATTTTCATGACAGGAATTTTTACAAAACAGTAAATTTTCCTAATACATTTTGTTTTGAATAGGAAAGACTAGGTCGATTGAAAAAGTTTTGGGAAATTGATGCATTAATAGAAATGTTGTACTCTGTCATGTATAGCATAGATTCAAATAGTCAGTTACTTACTGATGCCTAGTAAATGTGTGTTGAAATAACCAGGAGACTGCCTTGTCCAGGGGTTTTGAAATACTATGAGCTATATTTGGTTATTTCATTGTTTCAAGCAACTGAGAAAATGTCTGAAATATTTATGGAGAATTGTGAGAACTGATTTGAGTTCATAGCACTTGTGAAGCATGCATGTTTACATCAGCATTTCTCTGCAGGACCCACAGTGCTGGAAGTCTTTAATACTCTGCTGAAGCATTTGCGCCTCAGTGTTGAATTTGAAGCAAATGACTTACAGGAGGGAGCTGTGGGCAGAGCCAACATAAACACAAGTTCCAGAGATAATGATGAAAAGATTGTGCAGAATGCTATCATCCAGACAATTGGTGAGTCCATTTGACTTTTGAAAACTGTCCCTTAAAAGTAGTGATAAAAAATGCTCTAGAGTGACGTTCGTTCTCAATTCAATCAGCTAAATCAGTGGCTGAATAAATAGCAGTACTCCTACATTTAAAAAAAATGCTCTACAGAAAGTACTTGAATCTTTTGGAACATTAATCAGAGCTGAATGATTGCTTCAGCATTTTAAGTTTCTGTTTGGGAGCCTGAGTCCTAATACAGCAAGTGGGGTGCTTGCCTTGCGTGCGGCCAGCCAGAGTTCCCCAGCACCCCATACACTCCCCCAAACCTGCCAACGGGTGATACCTGAAACCTTGGCAAGGAGTAAACCCTGAACACTGCCAGGTGTGGCCCAAAGAGATAAAAGATTTTTAAAAGTGTATATTTGAAAAAATAAATCAGAGATGACGACAAAATATTATTAACAACAGATGAATCTGGGTGAAGAGTGTACTCTTCACCCAGATTCATCTATTGTTAGTATTTTTTTATGTTGATTAATTATAGTTTTTTTTAAATTTTATTGAATCACTGTAGCATAGTTATAAGCTTTCATGTTTGGGTTACAGTCATACAATGGTCAAACACCCATCCCTCCACCAGTGCAATCTATCTGTCCCATGTATCTACTGTCCTTTGGTGTCAGCCTCACGTTATGTTGTTTTATGCTCCCCAAATGAGTGCAGTCCTTCTTTGTCTGTCCCTCTCTTTTGACTCATTTCACTGAGCGTGATACTCTCCATGTCTATCCATTTATAAGCAAAGTTCATGACTTCATCTCTCCTGACAGCTGCATAGTATTCCATTGTGTAGATGTACCAAAGTTTCTTTAACCAGTCATCTGTTCTAGGGCACGTGGGTTGTTTCCAGATTTTGGCTGTTGTGAACAGTGCTTCAATGAACACATAGGTACAGGTGTCATTTCTACTGTGCCTTTTTGTATCCTTGGGATATATTCCCAGAAGTGGTATTGCAGGGTCATATGGAAGCTCAATTTCTCGTTTTTGAAGGACTGTCCATATTGTTTTTCCAGAAAGGCTGGACAAGTGGGCATTCCCACCAACAGTGAAAGTGTCCCTTTTTCCCCACATCCACGCCAGCACTGGTTGCTTTTGTTCTTTTGAATGTGTGCCAGTCTCTGTGGTGTGAGATGATATCTCATTGTTGTTTTGATTTGCATCTCCCTTATGGCTAGCAATGTGGAACATTTTTTCATGTGCCTTTTTGCCATTTGTATTTCTTTTTTGAAGAAACTCCTGCTCATTTCTTCTCCCCATTTTTTGATGGGATTGGAGGTTTTTTCTTGTACAATTCTACTAGTGTCTTGTATATCCTGGATATTTATCCCTTATCAGATGGGTATTGGGTAAATATTCTTTCCCTTTCTGTATTTTGTTGGCTCTTTCTGTATTTTGTTGACTGTTTCTTTTGAAGTGCAGAAGCTTCTTAGTTTGATGTAGTCCCATTTGTTTATGTTAGCTTCTACTTGCATGGTCAGTGCTGTTTCATCATTAAAGATGTTTTTAGCTTCAGTGTCGTGGAGAGTTCTGCCTACGTTTTCCTCTATGTACCTTATGGATTCATTTCTGATATTGAGGTCTTTAATCCACTTTGATCTGACTTTTGTGCCTGGCATTAGACAGAGGTCAGAGTTCACATTTTTTGCAGGTAGCTATCTAGTTTTCCCAGCACCACTTGTTGAAGAGGCTTTCCTTGTTCCACTTCACATTTCTTGCTCCTTTGACAAAGATTAAGTAGTCATATATTTTGGCGTCTGTGACAGAATATTCGACTCTGTTCCATTGGTCTGCAGGTCTGTTTCTAGCCCAGTACCATGTTTTCTTAATTGCTACTGCTTTGTAGTAGAGTTTGAAGTTGGGGAGGGTGATGCCACCTATCTTCTTTCCCCCAAGGTTTGTTTTAGCTATCCGTGGGAGTTATTGTTCCATATGAATTTCAGGAGTGTTTTGTCTATTTCTTTGAAAAATGTCATGGGTATGGGTATCCTGATAGAGACCACATTGAATTTGTATAGTGCTTTGGGCAGTATTGCCATTTTGATAATGTTAAACCTTCCTATCCATGAGCAGGGGATGTGTCTCCATTTCCTAGTGTCCTCTTTTATTTCTTGAAGTAGTGTTTTGTATATTGTTAATATTTTATGCTTTGTATTTTGTCATTGCTATGAATGCTTGTGTTCTCCCTGTTTGTGTATATGCATGTATTTGTATATTTACGTATATGCATATACATGTATAGGTACATTTACCTCAAACCACAGGATAGTAAATGCACATATACGTTATGGTTCTTTGCCATGGTGTATTTTTCCAAAGAATGTAGATTTTTAGTAAGTGACCAGAGTAGTTATTAATTATCAGTAGCAGGAAATTTAAAAATTATATAGTACCTTTATAAATACATCTCCCGTATCTCCAGTTTTCTCATTTGGTCTAATATTGTCACTTACGGTATGTATTTCATTAGGTTCAGGATTCAGTCTAGGATGATGAATTAAGTCATAATATTTTCTGCTTTCTTTTTTATGAATCTTATCTATTATAAAAGATCATTCTCCCCCCCTTTTTTACTAGTAGACACCTTCTCCTTTTTTATTTATTAGAAAGGTCCTCATTTGGGTTTGTATGGCACTTTTTTGTGGTCTAATTTATGTTGTGCATTTCTGCTGAATAGTATGTATGTATGTATATATGTAGGAATGCAGGTATTTTTTATGGATCTGAGCGTACACATATGTATTTTATGCTTTATAATTTTTCTATCTCCTTTATTAAATATTGCTACTATTACTGATACTCAAATTGTCCTACATTTGGTTAATGGCCATGTCTTCCATAGTCTGTGTTTTGGTAGTATCCTCTCTTACTTTTGAGTAGTACCTTACAAGTATAAGCTGTTACAATCATTTCTCCGAAGGAGCCACAGTTCTGTTTAAAATTCAGTCAACAAATATTTGGACACTGATGCCTTGGGCTCCAATTTGCATATTCTACTTTGAATTATAGCCCAATGATTTAAGTACAGAGGGTAAAGAACCTTCTTTAAAGTACAAGCATGCTCTAGAATGATAAATTTTATATGGATTGAGTCATGTTAAAATCAAGAGATTATTGATTGCTGACTATGAGATAATGCGAAATCACTTTGATTCAATCAAAATGACAGGCAATTTGAGTTTATATAAATATTTTTAAATTTTAATAATAGAAGCCAAGTAGTTAATTTCATAGAATAATTTACTCTTAAATATTTGAAATCTAGGTTTCTGTAATGGTTATGTTGCATTTTAAGACACGTGCAAAATTGCCATCATGATCATTCTCACTGAGTAACTGATAAGTAAATGTTGTGTGGCTTTTAAAACCAGGAATTCAGTAGTCAGAATCTACCGCGTATAAGTTTAAAATAAACACAAAACCCAAGATTTGTGAGGAATAAAAGTTACTTTTTATATCAAATGAGTTATGTATAAATTATGTATATGTATGTACACAGATGTACATATGTAATCAACCCACAGGATTAGATTATAAACCCTGATTTATTTTAATGACATTCAAAACATTTCAACTATCAGAGAAACCAAAGTAGTTATCTAATTATTGATTTCCTTGATGGACTAAGTACATCTAATTATTGACTTCCTTACTAAAATAAGAATTTAGGCCCATAGAATCTGAACTAGATTTTATAATTGAAATACTACCAAAGGAGTTTTTGTGCCTTGCCTGAAATTCCAGTCAACTAAAATTATACTAGTTTGCCACCTAAATATCTTTTAAAATGCAGATATTTATTTTATATAAATATTTTGTATTATTTTGTATCATTTTATACACTTTTGTGTAAGTGTATAGTAAGTGTGTGTAATAATTGTGTAAAATAAGATGTATTTTGTGTATACATCTCATTGTATCTGATTAAGTTATTTTAACAAATGAAACTACATTTAATTCTTCAGATGTAATTTCTTACATGTAATGCTAAAGAATTGCATGTCGTTTAAACACCACATTGGTTATCACATATTGAAACCTGTGGTTAAAAATAAAATTTTAAATGAGAAAAATAGGCTTTTCAATTTGTACTGTTTGTCATTTTTTTGTCTTAATATTTCAATAGGATTTTTTGGCAGCAACCTACCCGATTATCAGAGGTCAGAAATCATGATGTTCATTATGGGCAAAGTACCTGTTTTTGGAACAACGACCCATACTTTGGATATTAGCCAACTCGGGTATGCATATATAATTTTCAGCTTTGCAGATTAGAAGTTTGAATTCAACTTTGGGTTAAATTTTACGTTTTGATGGAATCTGAAAATCTAGCAAATATTTTTCAAAACCGTTGGCATGTTTGTTTTATGGCATTACGTTATTGAACAAAAGTGTCAGCATTATATACCTTGAGAGTAAATTTCCAGATTAATAAAGCTTCATATTTTCTGTCTTATATTTATTTACTAAGTAGCTGTTTTGTTTAATCTAGAGACATTGTTTGTACACATATACAAAAACATTCTTTCAAATTGCAAACCCTGTATTTATTCATTTTTATTGATCAAGGTTCTTTGTTTCGTAGTACTGTCAATGATGGTTTTTCATGCACCTAATTCCAGCATGGAACTCATGATGTGGACCCATCACCAATGTACCTTCCTCCCTCCCTTAAGTAGACTGTAATAGTCTTTCCTTTCCCAAACACCCCTCTCTCACCCCCTCCCCACCTTAATCAGGTGGATCAGTTCTCCTCTTGCACAAACATATTTTGGTTAGCACTTTATCCTGTGCATAAATTTTTAAATTTATGCTGTTGTAGGCATTTTAATCTAGAATTCTGGAACTGAAAGTTTTTTAAAGATCATATATTTTATTTTGATCCTTATTTTAATCATTTGATTTGCTTTGATAACATCCTGGAGATTTAGTTTGTATTTTTTTGTTGTTGTTGTTAATTGAACAAGGAAATGGACTTTTTGATTTAAATGTATTTCTTGTGCATTACATGAGTTTTTTCATGTGTTCTTTTTTGAATCATTTTTGTTTATTGATGTATATTAAATTGATACCAATTTTATATGTATTGAATATATTCTCCAACTGTAGTGACTGTAGTATTTGTTTATGCATTGATGATTTAATTTTCACGTCATGTTAATACAAATTTTTTTCAGAATCATTTTTTAAATTTTTTCACATAATTCTTTAATTTGAAATTTACTTGGAAGTTTAAAATGAGGCATCACCTTAGCTAGATTAAAAATAAAATTTATTTAGCCCATATTTAAACGGTTTTAGAATTAGTAATTGACTGAGATAATAATCTTTAATTACTATTAAAGGGAATACTAATACTTTGTATATTTTAGGGACTTGGGAACCAGACGGATTCAGATAATGTTGCTGAGATCTTTACTTATGGTAAGGTATTTTAGACGGGGGAAGAATATTCTCAAATTATTGGAAAGATAAAGAGTCACTTTGCATTAGAATCTGCTCTTTTTATATTGTAAGATACAATTTTTTATGATTAGTCTTTTTGGGGGGTATATATTTAAATACTATGCTTTTATTACATCGTCATTTTTATTTTCATTATTCTTAATTTTTTTTTATTTGACCGGCACAGTGATGAAATGGAGAAAGGGCAGAATATATTGTTTCATAGATGAAGATGTAAGTTTCAGAGACTTTCAAGTGGTTTAAGTTTATTTGAGCGAATGAAACAAATTTGAATTTGAAACTGTGGTTTTTATATTTCATGCAATTTCTTTCATTTGCTAACCAAATACTGGTTTATTTTGAAAAAATATATGACTGAACAGGAAGAACACAGCTAAAATACAAGTTCCTGTAACTACTTTGTAATAATGTAGGCATTTTTCATTGAACTATATCTCACATAATTTCGAGAACAGAATCAGAGGGATTTAGTTGGAATATGTGTCCCTTTCCAAGTCATTGTCTACAGAGTTATTCTGGATCTTCATTGCACATTTTTGTACATATTGTACATTTGGTCTTCTTAAAAAATTATAATTCAGAGGATAATTGCAGGAACACTTTAGGTTTTATTTTTTATGGTGCTTGTAAGAAGTTTTAATTGCTAGCATATCTAGATTTATCAATTCTTCCCTATGTGCTTTCTGTATTTTTATTTATATCTTGCTTAAGAAGTGTTTCCCGGGCTGGAGAGATAGCACAGCAGGGAGGGCATTTGCCTTGCACGCGGCCGACCCGGGTTCGATTCCCAGCATCCCATATGGTCCCCTGAGCACCGCCAGGAGTAACTCCTGAGTACAGAGCCAGGAGTAACCCCTGTGCATCGCTAGGTGTGACCCAAAAAGCAAAAAAAAAAAGTGTTTCCCTATTTTAATGATAGAAGCACATTTGTTATATTTCCTTCAGCAGCTTGTAATACTTTGCTATTCACATTTAGAGCCTTGTTCTGAAGTTTATTTTTGTATATAATATATGAGAAATAGATGTATTTTTAGATTTTACTAGGTCGATCGTCCCATCAATTACCCATCAGTTATAAAATCATAAAGGTGAAAATCACACTTATAAGATCATCTCTATTTTTTTAAGTTCCCAAATATAAATGTCAAATGTTCTTCATAGGCTTATAATCTTGAATTAACCTCCTGAAATGTTATTGGGTCCTAAATCCTTTTTCTAAAGTTCCTTGAGCAAACCATCTTGCTTCTCATCCTAAATGTACCATATAACCAACTGAATGGATATCCATGTGGTATGGTTAGTGTTAGTATTTAAGTATATATTTTAAATCTTGAAATTTAGAGGAAAGGGATGCAGACTTAACAGGGTAGCAAAGAACTGCTTTCCAAAATGAATATGTATTCCAGTTATCTAAACTGCAACCTAATTTCCTTGTATCCATTTGGTAATAATTACATATCCCATAAATTATTTCTCTAAGTCTCAGGCTTCTCTTATAAAGTGGGAATATGCTCATGTCTACTTTACAGGCTAAACAGTGCACTTGTAGTATTTAGGAACATGTCTGGTATGTGGTAATTTTCTTCAATAATTACTTTGGTTCTATGAATTAATTTTTTCTTTTTTGTAAATTTGGTAAAATCCACATCACCTTAAAAATCTCTTGTTTATGTTCAGTCTTATGTTCATACTTGCTATTTCCTTCAGTTTATGACTATTCTATAACAATTTGAGAATTTTACCAAAGAATTCCTTAAAAATTTTTTTTTTGTTATTTTCTCTTCCCTGGTGGCAGGTAACCTCTGGATACAAAGCAAAAACAATTGTTACTGCATTGCCTGGGTCTTTTCTGGATCCTTTGTTATCACAGTCACTTATGGAAGACTATGAACTAAGACAGTTAGTATTGGAAGTGATGCACAATCTCATGGATCGCCATGACAACAGAGCAAAGCTTCGCGGGATCAGGTACTATGCTATTTTAACATAGGCAGAATGATAATATTTTGAAACTTCTGTATGATATACTCTTTAGAGTAATTTTTTTTTTTCCCCCTTTATTTTATTTTATTTTTTTTAAAGTTGTAGATTTACAATTTTTTGTGCTTTGGTTTCAATTATACAATGATCAGATACCCATCCCTCCACCAGTGCCCATTTTCCACCACCATGGATAATATCCCTCCCACCCCCATCCCCCCATCCCCCCGTCTCTGTGGCAGGGCAATCCCCTGTGTTCTCTCTCTCCTTTTGGGTGTTGTGGTCTGCAAAAGAGGCATTGGGTGGCAAACATGTTCAGTCCATAGTCTACTTTCGACATGCATCTCCCCTCCTGGGAGGATCCTCCAAACATCCTTTATTTGGTGGTCCCTTCTCTATCTGAATAGCCCTTTCCTCTAGGATACCCGGCTGGCCTCTAAGTTATGGAGTAATCCTCCTGGTGCTGATCTCAGCTATTCTTGGGTATTAATCTCATACTTTGTTACTTTATATCCCCCAGATGAATGCAATCTTTCTATGTCTATCCCTCTCTTTCTGACTCATTTCGCTTAGCATGATACTTTCCATATTGTACCACTTGTATGTAAATTTCATGACTTCATCTTTTCTAAGAGCTACATAGTACTCCATTGTGTAGATGTACCAAAGTTTCTTTAACCAGTCATCTGTTCTTGGGCATTCAGGTTTCTTCCAGTTTCTGGCTATTGTAAAGAGGGCTGCAATGAACAAACAAGTGCAGATGTCACTTCGACTATACATTTTTGCCTCTCTGGGATATATTCCCAGGAGTGGTATTGCTGGGTCAAATGGGAGCTCAATTTCTAATTTTTTGAGAATCGTCCATACTGTTTTCCAGAAGGGCTGAACCAGTGGACATTCCCACCAACAGTGAAGGAGTGTCCCTTTCTCGCCACATCCACGCCAGCATCGGTTGCTTTTGTTCTTTTGAATGTGGGCCAGTCTCTGAGGTGTGAGATGGTATCTCATTGTGGTTTTGATCTGCATCTCCCTGATGATTAATGATGTAGAGCATTTTCTCATGTGCTTTTTTGCCATTCGGATTTCTTCTTTGAGAAAGTTTCTGTTCATTTCATTGCCCCATTTTTGGATGGGGTTGGATGTTTTCTTCTTGTGGAGTTTAACCAGTATTTTGTATATCCTGGATATCAACCCCTTGTCAGATGTGTATTCGGTGAATATCCTTTCCCATTCTGTAGACTGTCTTTGTATTTTGGTCACTGTTTCTTTGGAGGTGCAGAAGCTTCTTAGTTTAAGATAGTCCCATTTATCTATCTCTGTTTTCACTTGCTCGGCCAGTGGCGTGGCATCTTTGAAGATACCATTAGCTTCAATGTCATGGAGGGTTTTGCCAACTTTATCTTCAATGTACCTTATGGTTTCTGGTCTGATGTTGAGGTCTTTAATCCATTTTGATCTTACCTTTGTACATGGTGTTAGGCAGAGTTCTGAGCCTATTTTTTTGCATGTAGCCGTCCAGTGATGCCAACACAATTTATTAAAGAGGCTTTCCTTACTCCACTTCACATTACTTGCACCTTTATCAAAGATTAGATGAGCATATGATTGAGGAGAGATGTCAGTGTATTCAACCCTGTTCCATTGGTCTGCAGTTCTGCCTTTGTTCCAGTACCATGCTGTTTTAATTATTACTGCTTTGTAGTACAATTTGAAGTTCGGGAGGTTGATTCCTCCCATTTTCTTTTTCCCAAGAATTGCTTTAGCTATTCGTGGGGGCTTATTGTTCCATATAAATTTCAAGAGTGTTTGCTCCATTTCTTTGAAGAATGTCATGGGTATCCTTATAGGGATTGCATTGAATTTATACAATGCTTTCGGTAGTATTGCCATTTTGACAATGTTAAGTCTCCCGACCCATGAGCAGGGGATATCTTTCCATTTCCTCATGTCCTCTTTTATTTCCTGAAGTAGCGTTTTGTAGTTTTCTTTGTACAGGTCCTTTACTTCCTTAGTTAAGCTGATTCCTAGGTACTTGATTTTCTGGGGCACAATTGTGAAAGGGATTGTTTTTTTCATGTTGCTTTCTTCTCTCTCACTGTTTGCGTATAGGAAAGCCATGGACTTTTGGGTATTGATTTTATAACCTGCAACTTTACTATACGAGTCTATTGTTTCTAAGAGTTTTTTGGTGAAAGTTATTGGGTTCTCTAAGTAGAGTATCATATCATCTGCGAATAGTGAGAGCTTGATTTCTTCCTTTCCTACCTGAATGCCCTTAATATCTTTTTCCTGCCTAATCGCTATTGCAAGTACTTCCAGTACTATATTGAACAGCAGTGGAGAGAGTGGGCATCCCTGTCTCGTCCCTGATCTTAGAGGGAAGGCTCTCAGTTTTTCCCCATTGAGGATGATGCTTGCTGTAGGCTTGTGGTAGATGGCTTTAATTATGTTGAGGAAGGTCCCCTCTATACCCATTTTGGCTAGGGTTTTCATCATAAAGGGGTGCTGGATCTTATCAAATGCTTTCTCTGCATCTATTGATATGATCATATGCTTTTTATCTTTTCTTTTGTTGATATGGTGGATTATGTTGATTGATTTCCGAATGTTGAACCATCCTTGCATCCCTGGGATGAATCCTACTTGGTCATGGTGTATGATCTTTTTGATGAGTAGTTGGATTCTATTTGCTAGTAGTTTGTTGAGGATCTTTGCATCTGTGTTCATCAGGGATATCGGCCTGTAATTCTCTTTCTTTGTGGTATCTCTGTCTGCTTTTGGTATCAGTGTGATATTTGCTTCGTAGAAACTGTTTGGAAGTGTTTTTGATATTTCAATTTCGTGGAAAAGCTTAAAGAGTATTGGGAGTAAGTCCTCTTTAAAGATTTGGAAGAATTCACTAGTGAATCCATCCGGGCCAGGACTTTTGTGCTTGGGGAGACTTTTTATTACCATTTCAATTTCCTTGATGGTGATAGGTCTGTTCAGGTATTCCAGGTCTTCTTGGTTCAGCCTTGGGAGTCTGTAGGAGTCTAGGAATTTATCCATTTCCTCGAGGTTTTGATGTTCCGTGGCATAAAGCTTCTCAAAGTACTCCCTGAGGATCCTCTGAATTTCTGTGGTTTCTGTTGTAATGACCCCCTTTTCATTTCTGATTCGGTTTATTAGGGTTTTCTCTCTCCCTTTCTTTGTGAGTTTTGCTAGAGGCTTATCGATCTTGTTAATTTTCTCAAAGAACCAGCTCTTGGTTTCATTGATCTTTCGTATTGTTTTTTGGGTTTCCATCTCGTTAATCTCTGCTCTGAGTTTTATTATTTCCTTTCTCCTGTTCGGGTTGTGCTCCTTTTTTTGGTCCTTCTCCAAGCTCTTAAGCTGTGAGGTTAGGTTACTTATGTGTGCTCGCTCCTCCTTCCTGAGGAATGCTTGTAGAGCTATAAACTTTCCTCTTAACACAGCCTTTGCTGTGTCCCATAAGTTTTGGTAACTCGTGTTCTCATTTTCATTCGTTTCTAGGAATCTTTTGATTTCCTCTTTGATTTCCTGTCTAAGCCACTTGTTGTTCAATAGTGCACTGTTTAATTTCCAGGTTTTTGATTTAGTTTTCTGTTTTTGTGTGTGATTTACTTCTAATTTCAGCGCATTATGGTCTGAGAAGATTGTTGATACAATCTCTACCTTCTTAATTTTATGGAGGCATGTTTTGTGGCTCAGCATGTGGTCTATCTTGGAGAATGTTCCATGTACGCTTGAGAAGAATGTGTATTCAGCTTTTTGTGGATGAAGTGTCCTGTATATATCTACTAAGTCCCTTTCTTCCATTGTTTCCCTCAACTGAAGTATGTCCTTGCTAAGCTTGAGTCTGGTTGATCTATCAAGAGGTGACAAAGCAGTGTTGAAGTCTCCCACTAGTATTGTGTTGCTATTGATGTCTTTTTCCAAATCTATGAGTAGTTGTTTTAAGTACTTTGCTGGTCTCTCATTAGGTGCATATACATTTATTATTGTAAGTTCTTCCTGTTGTACAGATCCTCTGATCAATAAGTAATGGCCTTCACTGTCTCTTATGACCTTCCTCACTCTGAAATCAATGTGGTCTGATATAAGGATGGCTACCCCAGCTTTTTTATGGGAGCTGTTTGCCTGTAGGATTGTTTTCCAGCCTTTGACTCTGAGTCTGTGTTTGCTTTGACTATTGAGATGCGTTTCTTGCAGGCAGCAGAATGTTGGGTTCAATTTTCTAATCCATCCTGCCACTCTATGTCTTTTAATTGGTGCGTTTAGCCCATTGACATTGAGAGAGATTATTGTTATGGGATTTTGTCCCATTGTTATGTTAAAATTGGGTGTATTTGAGGGGCCTTTCTTGCCTTAAAGTAGCCCATTTAGTTGTTCTTGTAACCATGGTTTTGAGTCTATGAAGTTCCTTAGCTGTTGTTTGTCTGTGAAACTGTGTGTTGTTCCTTCTATTATGAATGAGAGTCTTGCTGGGAAAAGTATTTTGGGGGAGGCATTTATTTCATTGAGTTTTTTTACTATGTCCCACCACTGTTTTCGGGCCATGAGGGTTTCATCAGAAAAATCAGCTGTGAATTTTAAGGATGCTCCTTTGTAAGAGATTTCTTTCTTCGATCTTGCTGCTTTCAGAATTTTGTCTCTGTCTAAGGTTTTGGTCATTTTGATCAGAATGTGTCTTGGGGTATTTTTATTCGGATTTCTTCTAGCTGGTACCCTTCGGGCCTCCTGAATGTGGTCACAAGTTTTCTTCAGCTCTGGAAATGTTGTAGCAATGATGTCTTTGACAGTTTCTTCTTCATCGAGGTTTTCTTCCTGTCCCTCTGGGACTCCAATAATTCTTATGTTACCCCTCTTGGCTTCATCACGATCTTCTCTTGCCATCTGTTCCCGAATTGTGAGTCTCTTTTCCATTTTCTGCTCTTTTCGGGAGAGTCTCTGAACTTCATCTTCGAGCTCACTGATTCTGTTCTCAGCCGCTGTTACTCTGCTGCTGAGGCCTTCCACTGAGCTTTTCAATTCGCCTACGAGATTTTTCAGGTCTGACATTTCTGATTGCATTTTCCTCATTTCTGCCTTCAGATCCTCTTGTCTTCTATTGGCATTGCTTTCCATTGTTTCTTTTAATTCCCTAAGCATCCTAAGTAGCTCCCTTCTGAATTCCTTGTCAGAGAGGTTGCCTAACACTACAGTACTGTTGGTGTCATCTGGGCTAGACTCTTCAATATGAATGTTTGGTGGGCTTTTGCGTTGCTTTACCATTGTGAGAGGTGTGGTTTAGTCCTTCACGTTCAGTGTTACTATTCTGCTTGATATGCAGTGTGAGTTAAGATAGGCTTATGAGTTATTGGCAACTATATTTCTAGTGGCTGAGCTAAAATAGAGAAGTTTCCATCTAAGAAGTTAGCTTATGGTTCCTATGGCATATGTAGTGGGAAAATATTTCGCAGCCGCGTTAGCGGCCGCGGCTCCGGAAAGAGTCCCTGGCACTGGGCGAGGAGTTGGGAATGTCTCCTGTTTGGAATTGGAGCCTTTCAGCTTTGTTGCCCAGAGCTGGGCCTCTGTGCCCGTCCCACGCGGCTCAGGGGTTGAAAACCGGCTGTCTCGGGGCTGTTTCTAGCTGCGCGTGCCCAGAGAGGAACCCAGGCCCTTGGGGGCGGGCTGTACCTGTTGGAATTGGAGCCGTTCAGCTTTGTTGCCCAGAGCTGGGCCTCCGTGCCCGTCCCACGCGGCTCAGGGGTTGAAAACCGGCTGTCTCGGGGCTGTTTCTAGCTGCGCGTGCCCAGAGAGGAACCCAGGCCCTTGGGGGCGGGCTGTACCTGTTGGAATTGGAGCCGTTCAGCTTTGTTGCCCAGAGCTGGGCCTCCGTGCCCGTCCCACGTGGCTCAGGGGTTGAAAACCGGCTGTCTCGGGGCTGTTTCTAGCTGCGCGTGCCCAGAGAGGAACCCAGGCCCTTGGGGGCGGGCTGTACCTGTTGGAATTGGAGCCGTTCAGCTTTGTTGCCCAGAGCTGGGCCTCCGTGCCCGTCCCACGCGGCTCAGGGGTTGAAAACCGGCTGTCTCGGGGCTGTTTCTAGCTGCGCGTGCCCAGAGAGGAACCCAGGCCCTTGGGGGCGGGCTGTACCTGTTGGAATTGGAGCCGTTCAGCTTTGTTGCCCAGAGCTGGGCCTCCGTGCCCGTCCCACGCGGCTCAGGGGTTGAAAACCGGCTGTCTCGGGGCTGTTTCTAGCTGCGCGTGCCCAGAGAGGAACCCAGGCCCTTGGGGGCGGGCTGTACCTGTTGGAATTGGAGCCGTTCAGCTTTGTTGCCCAGAGCTGGGCCTCCGTGCCCGTCCCACGCGGCTCAGGGGTTGAAAACCGGCTGTCTCGGGGCTGTTTCTAGCTGCGCGTGCCCAGAGAGGAACCCAGGCCCTTGGGGGCGGGCTGTACCTGTTGGAATTGGAGCCGTTCAGCTTTGTTGCCCAGAGCTGGGCCTCCGTGCCCGTCCCACGCGGCTCAGGGGTTGAAAACCGGCTGTCTCGGGGCTGTTTCTAGCTGCGCGTGCCCAGAGAGGAACCCAGGCCCTTGGGGGCGGGCTGTACCTGTTGGAATTGGAGCCGTTCAGCTTTGTTGCCCAGAGCTGGGCCTCCGTGCCCGTCCCACGCGGCTCAGGGGTTGAAAACCGGCTGTCTCGGGGCTGTTTCTAGCTGCGCGTGCCCAGAGAGGAACCCAGGCCCTTGGGGGCGGGCTGTACCTGTTGGAATTGGAGCCGTTCAGCTTTGTTGCCCAGAGCTGGGCCTCCGTGCCCGTCCCACGCGGCTCAGGGGTTGAAAACCGGTTGTCTCGGGGCTGTTTCTAGCTGCGCGTGCCCAGAGAGGAACCCAGGCCCTTGGGGGCGGGCTGTACCTGTTGGAATTGGAGCCGTTCAGCTTTGTTGCCCAGAGCTGGGCCTCCGTGCCCGTCCCACGCGGCTCAGGGGTTGAAAACCGGCTGTCTCGGGGCTGTTTCTAGCTGCGCGTGCCCAGAGAGGAACCCAGGCCCTTGGGGGCGGGCTGTACCTGTTGGAATTGGAGCCGTTCAGCTTTGTTGCCCAGAGCTGGGCCTCTGTGCCTGTCCCACGCGGCTCAGGGGTTGAAAACCGGCTGTCTCGGGGCTGTTTCTAGCTGCGCGTGCCCAGAGAGGAACCCAGGCCCTTGGGGGCGGGCTGTACCTGTTGGAATTGGAGCCGTTCAGCTTTGTTGCCCAGAGCTGGGCCTCCGTGCCCGTCCCACGCGGCTCAGGGGTTGAAAACCGGCTGTCTCGGGGCTGTTTCTAGCTGCGCGTGCCCAGAGAGGAACCCAGGCCCTTGGGGGCGGGCTGTACCTGTTGGAATTGGAGCCGTTCAGCTTTGTTGCCCAGAGCTGGGCCTCCGTGCCCGTCCCACGCGGCTCAGGGGTTGAAAACCGGCTGTCTCGGGGCTGTTTCTAGCTGCGCGTGCCCAGAGAGGAACCCAGGCCCTTGGGGGCGGGCTGTACCTGTTGGAATTGGAGCCGTTCAGCTTTGTTGCCCAGAGCTGGGCCTCCGTGCCCGTCCCACGCGGCTCAGGGGTTGAAAACCGGCTGTCTCGGGGCTGTTTCTAGCTGCGCGTGCCCAGACAGGAACCCAGGCCCTTGGGGGCGGGCTGTACCTGTTGGAATTGGAGCCGTTCAGCTTTGTTGCCCAGAGCTGGGCCTCTGTGCCCGTCCCACGCGGCTCAGGGGTTGAAAACCGGCTGTCTCGGGGCTGTTTCTAGCTGCGCGTGCCCAGAGAGGAACCCAGGCCCTTGGGGGCGGGCTGTACCTGTTGGAATTGGAGCCGTTCAGCTTTGTTGCCCAGAGCTGGGCCTCCGTGCCCGTCTCACGCGGCTCTAGAGTAATTTTTAAAAGTGGCATTGTCAAGCTTTTTTAATCCAGTGTTTTATTTAAATTTTCTAAATTAATTATAAATGCATTTTAGAAAGAGCAGTGTATGAAGTTCCTGTGATGTACTTTTAGAGATCAGTTAATAATCACTAGTTACATAAGTTTGGCTTCGATTTTTGTTTAAATTTAAGAATGGCATTAGGAGTTGAGATTACTTCATGCAGTTTAAGCTCTGTGATTCAGTGCCATTATTACCTTTGTAGGTTTATTTAAAATGCTCAGGGAAGTGAAAGTAACTCCTAAATGTAAATTGAATTTGTCTTATAAGATATGAAATTATAAGTAAATGTGCTATTTAAAACTATTATTATCTCTAGAATAATACCTGATGTAGCTGACCTAAAGATAAAAAGAGAAAAAATTTGTAGACAAGATACAAGTTTCATGAAAAAGGTAAGATTGTTTTTTAAATAAGGTATGACTTGAATTGTTAGATAATTTCACTTTGAGCTGTGGTCTGAAAAATAAAGCCACGATATCTTGGAGCTGCAGCCCTTAAGAGTGCCACTCTCAGCTTCTCCAGCCTTCCACAACAGCCCAAATGATTTACCCTCCTGCCTGTGTACTTAAGCAGTGTCCTTAAGATTTTTGGACTACTTTGCTATTCTAAATTTCATCATTTCAGTAAAGTGTTATTCCTATAATTTCTGCCCTTTTTTTGAAGTGTGGCAGGTTTTATTTGAAGTTCTAAGGAAGAGAGGGAAAGAGAGAGAGACGCATTCGAGAGAATATGCTGCGTTCCTCTTTATCCCAAACACATGCTGATTCCATGTTTAATGGCTTTTTTAATAGCTTCACTTTCATATCTTTTCAGACTGTGTATTAACTACGAATTAATATAATGCGTGCTTACTTTGTCTGAGGCTCTGTTATATGCCCTACTGGGACATAAAGATGAGAGAGGCAGTCAGGATCTCAGCTTCATTAAATCCCGCTTAACTAAATCAGTTTCCCAAAGTGGGTAATGACTTGATGCCCTGCCTCCTGTTTTTCCTAGGGGCTTGCTGCAGTGGTCCAGGGGGCAGGGTGTGGCTTCAGATCCAATTGACAGGGGAGTAGGGGTGCTTTCTGTTTGTTTGCTTAAAGAAGGAAAATTGCTAGAGAGATGTTGAGTAATTTTTTTTTTCCATTTTCAGAATGGGCAACAACTCTATCGACATATATATTTGGGATGTAAAGAAGAAGACAACATTCAAAAAAACTATGAGTTACTTTATACTTCTCTTGCTCTTATAACCATTGAATTAGCCAATGAGGAAGTGGTTATTGATCTCATTCGATTGGCCATAGCTTTACAGGTATACTTTCATAGTTTCATTTAAGAAAAAAAAAAGATGAATTAGGCACTGTCAGTGTTGTAAACTTTATCAAAGAATGTTAATTTTTAAAAGGAGGTATCTAAAATACTCAAGACAGGGATCTTCATAAATTCATTCTTTTTAATAGGTGTTCAGTGAGCATTGACTTTGCTAGAAATTGTTTTGGGCCATAGAATGCTGAGGTAACAAGAAAACAGGATGTGGTGCCATTACTTTGAACTTGGAATGATAGACAGTGAATAATATTTACATACTCAGTAGATACAAAGTTTCATAGGCATATAAGTATTCCTGACTGAGTACCATGCAAGCTACTGGATATCGTGTGTGCACACTTGCATACATGCACACATCCATCCTGAGGATAGACTTTCTAACAGAGAAACGATTTAGGTTCAGAAATGTCTGAAGTGTTTCTGCTGTTCTTCTACGGCAACATGTCTGGTCGCTTTCCATGTTTTAGTATCATCATTGAGAAAATGCTAACTGGTAGTGGAATATCCAGTCAACTGTGTTTGTTTTTCATTGAAGGACAGTGCAATTATCAATGAAGATAATTTATCAATGTTCCATCGATGTGGAATCATGGCACTGGTTGCAGCATACCTCAACTTTGTTAGTCAAATGATAGCAGTCCCTGCATTCTGCCAGCACGTTAGCAAGGTGGCGTATTTAGAAAGTCTTTCAACTTGGTTTTTATACTAAAAGAACTAATTATCTCCCACTTACAATGTTAGTTTTGATAACTGCATATTAAGATTATATTAAGATAATACTGTGAAGTTGTACTGTGACTAACTTGAAACTACAGCAAGTGCTTATGTTTCCTTTGGTATCTGTTTTGTAATTAAATATTTTTAATGTAGTAGTTGAGTGGAATTTATGGTTTTTCTAAAATACTTAATGTGATTTTTAATAAAAATTTCTTTCTAAGTCATTATGAATTTAGCATCTAAATTTTACTAAATTATGCTGCTTTATTGCTGCTGCTGCTGTTGTTTTAAAATAATTTATTTGAGTCAGATCTTTTTTGTGGGAGGTTGGTCTAATCTGTGTTCAGAGGTCCTGTGGGCTATTTGGTTGATGGCAGGGCTAGAGGATGCAAGACTAGAGTCTTGAAGAAACACCAAGGCCACCCAGGCCACCCTCAAAAAAGTCATGCGCTTTTATTTTCCCCTTTTTTCTGGGGTCACACCCAGCGATGCTCGGGGGTTACTCCTGGCTCTGCACTAAGAAATTACTCCTGGAATGCCAGGGATCGAACACGAGTCAGCTATATGCAAGGCAAACGCCCTACATGCTGTACTATCCCTCCAACTCTTGACATTGTTTGGGGGATCTCCAGGACAACCATTGATACTGGGGCAGGGATCCCACATGGACGGGGCATGTTCAAAACATGCGCCTTAAATCCTGCACTGTCTCTTTGTCCCCTTGAACCCGATCTTAAATGTTGAGCAATTATTGTGCCTCACAAAGGATTAGTGCTGTATCCCTTATTAGCCCTCTGCAGAGGAACTTTATCAACTCATTACTTGCACGACTTAATACACTTTCAAAACCCCAATTTTCTTGGTAGTAAAATTATACTGTCATTTTTATTCTTTAAAAGTATCTATAAGGGAGAGTCACATTCTTATGAAATTGGAAATACATCTCTGACCTTGCTAAAATGTAGTGTGTGTGTGTGTGTGTGTGTGTGTGTGCGTGCGTGTGTGTGTGTACATAGACATATATATGTATGTATTTTGTACATGCATTTAAAAAGTGTTGGAGTAACTATGTTCAGTATTTATTTCTGTTCTTATAGTTTTCAGAATTTTTGTAGCAAGATCCTAAAAGGTGAGGCTATTGATTTTTGTTTTGTTTTTGGATAATTTTCAGGTTATTGAAATTCGAACGATGGAAGCCCCTTATTTTCTCCCAGAGCATATTTTCAGAGATAAGTGCATGTATGTTCATTCTTTACATTTTAATTCTTTCCATTCTTTACTGAATTAAGCAACCAATTCATTATAAAAAGAATATTAGAAGAATTTTCTGGCTTATCATAAAATACAATTTTATGTTTCTGTCACCTTTCCCTTGCCATAAAATTCCTACTAAATTGTAAATGCAGATTCCTGCATATATAAAATCAATCTTTATTTTTAACAAGGAAAATAGATTTAATACAATTTAAAAATTATGAATCTTGATTAGATATTAATCTAATGAATATATAATTGGCTTAATATCAGAAAGTGAATCAACATAATTTAGTACACTAATCATCTAAAAGAGAAAAATTAGTTACTTCACTCAATGCAGCAAAAAGTATATATGTATAAAACACAAACATAAAAAACCATAAAAACTAATGAAAAAATGAAAAGAGGAAATGTAAAATCAATCTTTCATGAAAAAAGATCTTTAAAAAAATACGGAGGCAATATTGCTTAAATAGAGCAGGTTCTCATATGCCAGTGACACACCTTTAGAAGAGTACAATATCTGTTCTAAACTTTGAACTACAAATAATATCACTCATGAAGTTGTAGGAGCAGAAATGTACTAAGGAAAGCAATATTACATGCTGCATTTTTCTTTCTGTTGAAACAAAATATATACGGACAATACCTTATTAAAAGAAAGGTGTTTTTTTTTTTTTTCCTTTCTGGGTCACACCTGGTGATGCTTAGTGGTTATTCCTGGCTCCGTGTGCTCCGGAATCCCTCCTGGCATTGCTCGGGGGGGACCATACAGGATGCTAGGGATCAAACCCTTGTGGGCCTCATGAAAAACACTTGTATTTTAAAACAGTCTAATATTGAAACTACTAATGAGATAATATTAAACAATTTGAAAGGAAGGTAAAATCTTCTGTGGTTGAGCAAGTATTTTCTACATCACTTAGCTGACATATATCTCTTATTAACAGTGAGGAGTTGTTTTGTTTTTATTTTTTTTTGGTCTGGGTGACTTATGTATGGGACCACGTACCAAATATCTTTAAAGAGCTCAACTTAGTGACCTAAAATATACTGATATTTCTGTCAATAAGTACAGTTTAAATTTTTTTTTATCAGACATAGGCTTTGATCTTGATTGTTTGCATGTTAACCATTCAATAGTGTGAAATAGTACTGAATGAAATTTGTTTTCACCATCATCACCATCACAGGCTTCCAAAGTCTTTAGAGAAGCATGACAAAAGTTTGTACTTCCTGACCAACAAGATCGCAGAGTCACTAGGAGGAAGTGGCTATAGTGTTGAAAGACTCTCGGTACCATACGTACCACAAGTGACAGGTAAGAGAAGAGAAATCTTTAAATCTCTAATCCAGTGACTATGTGGCGGTGATTTTTTTTTTCACTAGCCCAGTTAGTAATGAAAATGGTATGCATAGCTATGTTACAGGGTTTTTTCCATGTACTTAAGGAGGGTGTTCTTCTGTTTAATTTCTAAGAATTTACTAAAATTTATAGCAAGTCTCCAGATATGATTTTTTCATAATCAAATTGAGCTTTGATTAACCCTCAAATATTATGATACATAGTATGTTATAATTAATACTAGTAAAGAGATACTTTCTTATAAACCAATGCTGAATTATAAAATTTGTTGAAGATTTTTTTGATTAGTAATTTGTGGTTATTGCACTTAAAGTTCTAGGCATCTTTTGACGTTTGAGAGAGTACAGCCTATTTGCTTTTTAAGAATTTATTTACTTTGGAGTTTGGGCCACACCTGGTTGTACTCAGGGCTTACTCCTGCCTCTGCACTCAGGGTTCACTCCGAGCTGGCTCAGCCTTGTTGGGTGCTGAGGATCAAACTCAGGTCAACAGTATGCAAGGCAAGTGCCCTACCTGCTATACTGATGCTCTGGCCCCAAGTCTGTTTACTTTTTAAAGTGACTTGAAAACTATAGTAAATATGTTTTTCTCTGTGCACTAGATATTTCTTTTGGTTCTTTCCATTGCTAGAAATAATTCTGCATGTTTTAAGTCAATGCCACATTGTTTTGCATTTAATTTTTACTTTGAAAAGCTAAGTTATAGAATGATGCTTTTCACTTATTCATTATAAATACTGATTGGTTAAAACTGTTCTTTTGTAGTACATCTGTTCTATATGATTCCTGTTTGATTGTCGTTTAGTAGTTTTTTTAAATTAACTACTAAAAGTGCAATCTTTGTAAATAACTTATCATGTGGAGTAAAAATCTTCATATTTATTATGGTTATTTATAATATTTGGGATGTTTTGATCTGAAGTTGTTTTTTTTTTAATTTTGTGAAATGAAATAGTCTGTTCATTGTGAACCCTTTGTGGGAAATCAGAATGACTTGAATTCAAAGATTTTTTTTCAAAAAACTTTAAAAATATTTTCCTTTAGGAAAATAGCTTCAGAAAATGTGCCCCTTAGAAAGTGGAGTCCTGTGGCCTATGTTTTTATGTTCAGTTACTCATTTGGCTCTAGCTTACCCGTAGCTGTAGCTATTTTCCATACCTTTTCCTTTTGCTTTAACTCAAAAAAAAGTTTTAATGAATAGTCTGGTACATTTTTTCCCATTCCTGAAGAAAAAATACACTATCTTTCTTAATGCATCTTTTATCACTGACTTGAAAAACTAGGAATATTTTAGTATATACTTCTGTAGTTACAGTTTTCTCAGTCTGGATAAAATTTTTTGATTTATAAAGAATCAGTATGTAACATATGTACCCAGCCTTAAAATGCAGAGGAGTCAAAAATTTAAGGATAGTTAATGAGGTCATTGATAATTAAATTTTCTGCTTGATATATTACCATCAGGTATCATTTTAAATTTAAGCAGTTTTGGACTGAAAAGCTACGGGTAGCTACGGGCACTTGGCTTGCATGTGATCAACTCAGCTTCAATCCCCATATATGGTCCCCTAGTCCCTCGGGGAGTGTTTCCTGACACAGAGCCAGAGTAAGCCCTGAGCACTGCCAAGCTGACCAAAAACCAAGGAGAGGAAAAAAAGAATGTAAGAATAGTATTTCAATAGAAAACTCAAAACATTATGCATATACCCGTCATTATCATCTATGCGGTTCCAGGCATAACTGGTGTGCATGATAAATATTTCTATTCATTTTCTCACTTATTCTTTAAAATAGTTTGGTGCAGAAGGCACCATTATCTTTGTGCACAAGTGAGGATAGTGAGGTATAAATGATAAATTCATAAGTAGCACCACTAGAATTAACTGTCCCACCAAAGGTTTGGTTTAGTTCAGTACTTAAAATGTTTTTGATATTCAAGGATTGTTCCATCGTCTTTATTGATCCAGATTGATTTTTTTTCCACAAAATTCCACAAACTATTAAATGCAATTTAGCAGACACTATTATGACTTCTAAGGGTAGAAAAATGTGAAGAAATAATCCCTAACTTTAAGAACTAAATTCTAGTAGGGAAGATAAATGATTTCAGTATAGTGGATTCTAGGGGTAGAATGTTTTCCCTAAAGTTTATGAAGTTGACAAGAACATTATATATATAGTAAATAGTCAATAAATATTAGTCAATTATTCTATTATTTATTTGGTTTTGAAATAAGCTTAAAATTTTAGGGAACAGTGTATGTCCCAAGATGTATATGAGAGTGTACAGTAATAGTCCTCAGTAGGCTGTTCAAAGATGTCAGTGGCTTTAGTGAGTGAATATAATTAAGAATTTAAGTAGTACTTCTAGTATTAGCTTTGCACAAACAGAAGCAAGTATGGAAAAAAGGTGAAGAAATTTCTCCTTTCACCAAGCAACCTATGGATCAGTCAGCCTCTAGATATTGCTCAGACTTTATTGGCTAAAACTACTTATTTGGTCCCTCCTAACCACATACCTAAAGGAGTTTTTCTCTGCTGCCTTTTTCAGTTTTTAGTTTTTCCCTCTGTCACAGTATGACAGTGTGTTGCCATATTATAAATTTTCTGATGTGATATTAAGCTGAAATTCTATCCCTGAGTTTTCCATTTGTTGTTGAGAATAATGCAGGTATGTGTCTGCATTTTAATCTTATTTAGCTCCTAAAATAGCTAGGTCACACCTGTAGCAGTCTTTTCCTTTAATTTCCATGTGCCATTTAAGTATGTAGCACTGTCATCCTGTTGTTCATAGATTAGCTTGAGCAGGTGCCAGTAAAGTCTCTCTTCATCCCAGCCTTGAGATTTTAGCAGCCTCTCCTTACTCATCCTTTCCAATGCTGCTGTATTGGAGTCTCTCTCAGAGTCAGGGGAATGAGGCCCATTATTGTTACTGTTTTTGGCAATCTAATACGCCACGGGTAGCTTGCCAGGCTCTGTCGTGCGCCGTACAAGTATAGGTTTATATAAGTACAGAAGTACAGTGATGTGAAAAGGCTTGGGAAGCTCTGTGTTAGTCACAGGCTTTAAAAGTGCTTACTTTTAAACTGTCATTTAAACTAATATTCATTTTATAACCAACTATATTGATAGTATAAAATAGTGTACTTAACCAGTCAGGAAGTTTTACTCAAAATTTAGATGAGAAAAGATGAGATTTTTGTAACAATGACACACTTGAAAACTAGTAGGGTAGCATCAAGATAAAAAAAATGACTTGTTAGAGATGTTAGCATTCAAATTGGGTTTGGAACATGTTGAAGAAAACTCACTACTAGGAAATAGAAAATGACCCTCAGCCAGAAGAAGAAAGAGGTGTTGGAATTCTCCTACTGTTTAGTCAGATACTCATGGAGTGCCTGTTAAATCTCAGTACTGGAGAACTTTCCAGGATTATTTGAAGACCAAAACCAATGTGACCGAAGTGAGCATCTCCCTTTCAGGGATAAGAGTAGAAAAGGAGCCAAGGTAAAGTGAGTGCAGTCTGCCACTTGGCATCATTGCTGTCCCTTCTTGACTCTCCTATGTCACAGACAAAAAACTTGGGAACTGTGTTTCCTAAGTTTATCTTGCCCAGATAGTTCAGAGTTAGGACTGAACAGTAAAATAAACATAGAGGAGGAGAGATTATTTATCAGCGTTTAAAGACTGTTAACACGCATCTGGGCAGCACATTTGAAATTTCTAGGGGTTTTCTTGAGAATTATTGATTTTAGTGCTGTTGGCTTTTGTGACTCTTCTTTTGTTCTCATTGAGTAAGCCTGAAAGTACTGTAAAAAAAAAAAGTGGTTTCTCTTTTTCTTGTATATAGCCAGTGATTATTAGATATTCCCCAGAACCAGAGGGATAGTACAACCTGTAAGGCTCTTTTACCTTACACATAGCTGACCTGGGTTCAATCCCTGGTACCACATAAGGTCCCGGAAGCCCACCAAAAGTGACTCCTTAGTGTAGAGCCAGGAGTAAGCCCTCCACCCAAAAATACCCCCCCCACACACACACACCACATACACAAAGAAAAATAGTTACTCCCCTAGCATGTTTTTATTCACCATTGTATTTTATTGTTTGTATATTTATTTTCTGTTAGACTATAAGCTCTAAGAAGATACAATCTATATCCAGAAATCTTCCCCTAATACTTGAGACACAGCTTCAGTCAGTTAATAGTTTGTTTGAATGTTGAAAGCTGGAGTAGAAAAGAATGTATACTAGATTTTAATTAAGAAAAATCCAATTTCCATGAAGTAGTTAAGCAGAAAATGAAGTGTATAATAGCTCTTAAATTCAGTGATGAGGAAAACAGTGGAGTCATATGAAAAAGCTCTCTGAGAATAGTGGTTGAGGTAGAATCATAACCTTGCTTTAAAATGTGTAAGTAGTGAAAGATCAGAAGGGATGTATTATGTGACTGAAATTCAGTCATGAACAACTTTGTAACTGTGTTTCAATTTGAAAAAAAAAAAAAGCAGAAGAAAAGAAAGATCAGGACAGTTAGTTGAAACCAAACTAAACAAGTTTGCAAAAATGGAGAACAGTAGATTAGCCTAGAGCATTGAAGTGAACAAAATGATTTTCTGCAATAGTTGAGGTACAAAGCAAAAGATCAGGAATTAGTCAGTTGAATAATTACAAATGATGGAGAAGGAATGATCACTGAGGCAGCAAATTCTTTCAGTTCCCAACTTGTAATTCATGGTAAGTATTTTTAGTTATCAGTTCCCAACTTACCACTCTAGAACTAGGGCTAATTGATACCTTTTCACTATTTTGGAAAATTTTGAGGTAAAAGGGTATTGTGAGCTTTGATGTAAATCAATATTTACAACTTATTTCTCTTGACATTATGTTTACTTTTTCAATAGTTAATGTTAACATTTTTTATGTAGTAAATGCCGCTTTTTGGAAATTAAACTATTAATTTTATTTTAGTTCACAAAAAGCTAACAAACTCTTAATTTGCTGTAAGTTTTTGAAATTTGAAAGATCAATAATAACCTCTTCAACTTATAAATAATACGGAAGAACTATTTTTATTTTAGATGAAGATCGACTTTCTAGAAGAAAAAGCATTGTGGACACTGTATCCATTCAGGTGGATATTTTACCCAACAGCATTCCTTCTGATGATGTGGTAAGTGTTGAAAGTTTGACAGAATACATTGTGATTAGACAGAAACTTAAAATAATTTTTCTCCCTCCATACTTTCAAACAAGAGCATATTTTTACTTCAAATGAACCTCAAGTCAGTTTTTTTTAATAGATGATACTATGGTTTAGCCTTGAATTTCTTTTTAATTGTATTTGAATTCATTTCAGCTATTTATAAAAACATATACCCAATTTTATGTGTTATAATATCATTAGATTTCACATTGTAACAAAAGAAACTAAAATAATACTAATTTTTTATAATTAAGAAATGTAAGTTAGAGAAGAACTATTATTAAGTCATCTTAAGAGCTCATTTATTTTTAGGGATATGCGAAATATGAATTGAGAATAAGTGAAGTTTCCCGCTTGAGCAAATCAATGAACAACAGGAGGACAGTGACAGTGACCCACTCATAATAGTGACCTTTTTTCCATTCAAGTGTTATATTGCTTTTAGTTACAAATAATTGACTAGACAAAGTCTGAGCTTACATGTATGCTTCAGATATCTAGAACACAGCAACTTAAGATTCCTAAATTTGGGGCCCGAGCCATAGTACAGCAGCAGGTCAGGAATTTATGCATGGTCAAATCAGGGAATCTGCACCACAAAAGCCATTTGGAGCAAGATCTGAGCATTACCAGGCGTGACCGCAAAATAGTGACAAGCACACTCACACACAGAATAAAAGATTCCTAAATTTAATCTGACTCTAGGTCAGCTCACTCCAAGAGCTAATGCCTTTGTAGTGCAGAGGGACTAAGGGGCAAAGTGTGAAGTCTGTTGCTTTCAGTAGTGTTGCTGCCTTACACTTAGACAAAGAAGTTCATGAGCTAAAAATTAGGGATGACCAGAGTCCCAGGGAAGTACTCATATATCATCTCTTTTATTCAGAGAAACTATAGTAACTAAGTCTATTATTCCCTCTGAAAATAAGTGCTGGTGCCATAAAAAGTAGCATGAACACTTTTTTTGTTGTTTAAACTATATATTGTACCCTTTGCATATCTAAGAGCAAGAGAGGATTTAAAAACCTTAAATTTGAGGGGCTGGAGCAATAGCACAGTGGATAGGGTGTTTGCCTTGCACGCGGCCATCTCGGGTTCGATTCCCAGCATCCTGTATGGTCCCCTGAACACCGCCAGTGGTAATTCCTGAGTGCAGAGCCAGGAGTAATCCCTGTGCATCACTGGGTGTGACCCAAAAAGCCAAAATAAATAAACAAAACCCTTAAATTTGAGGGCAGTTTTGACAAATGATACTTGACAGTGGATTTCAGAAGACCTGAAAATGATTACCTTAAGATGTTTACTCTTCTCATTGAACACTTCCAAAACTAGCAATGACTTGCTTTCAAACTATTTAAATATTTCATTTTTTTTGTAAGCTGTGTGTGGTACCATGATTCTAGAAACTAAAGTATATAGTTTCATTAATATTTAGAGTGCTGTATTTTTTTTTTTGATGGCTGAAACTATATGTAACCTCTGCATTGAATATTTCAAAGCATTGTTCACTTAAAAAGCATGTATCAAGAAAGAATATCGGGCTGGAGCGATAACACAGCAGATAGGGCGTTTGCCTTGCATGCGGCCGACCCAGGTTCGATTTGCAGCATCCCATATGGTCCCCCGAGCACCACCAGGAGTAATTTCTGAGTGCAGAGCCAGGAGTAACCCCTGAGCATCGCCAGGTGGGACCCAAAAAGAAAAAAAAAAAAAGGCGAAGAAAGAAAAGAATATCAGTAAAATTGTAAGAGCCCTAAATGAAGAATTAAAAAACTAGGGGGATAATTAACATACATAGGACCCTACACCCCCAAAATGCTGACTATACATTCGGTTTCATTGCGCACAGAACAGTCCCGAGGTTAGACTACATATTAGAGCATAACTCAAAACATATAAATAAATTGAGAAATAAAGAAATTGAGCATCCTCTCAGACTACAGTGAAGGTAGACATTAACTATGAAAAGAAGGTGGAGGATAAAGCTACAACACTTTTTTTTATTGTTGAAAACTGAACAGAATGCTGCTAACAGCAGCTGGATCAAAGAAAAAAACAAAGACTAGTCTTCGAAACAAATGAGAATGAAGAACCTTTGGGACACAGAAGAACAATAATATGGAGGAACTTCATAGTAATGTAGACTCACATCAGGAAAGAAAAAAAGGGTTGGAGCTATGACCTAACCACACAGCAGAAAAACTAGAAAAAAAAAAACAGCCAACAGATCCCAAAATCAGTAGAAGAAAGGAAATTATTTAAAAAATTAGAGCAGAAATTCAAGCTATTTCATTCAGGGTGCCCCAGAAGATGGGGGCGGGGGGAGCGGGTGAAGCCCTTCCTTGCCCCAAGAGATTCAGCCCCAGCAGCTGAAATCCTCTAGAACCCAGCTACAGCTATGCTCATGACCACTCTCCACACGCTCGGCCGAGCCTCACCCAAGAGTGAATCTGCAGAAAATCCAGGTATGCAGGATTTGTGACGGAAAACTCCGGGTTCAGTGGAACCAGGATTGGGTGACCACCGCCAATGTCCCCTGAAATTCTCAGCAACTCGGTAGTCATGCCCACAAGCCACCTCAGGCTGGTGCCAGATAATCTCATCAAAGGCCACAATCCAGAGATTCATTGTCCTTCTCTCTCAGAAGAGAGCATAATACGACACTGCCATAGCCATGCTGTCGGACCCTGTGCCAGGCTGTTTCATTCGGTGCGAACAACATTGTACATCTGAGACTCTGTTATTGACAGTTTTGTATGTCATAGTGCCAAAAATTCCAAAGAAGCAGCATGATCCAGCCAGGCGATTCCAGAATTCCACGTCATATCACTAGAAAAGATTTGAGTTCTGCCATTCACTGGTGGTTATGCAGTAGAACTGGGCTCCTTAAACTTCTTCACTCACCACCCCTCCCCCACTGAAAAATATACTCAGGAGAGTGCTGCCAGGCCAGAAGTAACTTGGGTTCATTATGTGTTTGACTTTCAATTAATTTTTGGTTGTTGAGCTTCCAGAAATTCTTGCTACCCTCTTTTCTGTTATGTGACTGACGGTTCAAGCAGCAAGGTTGTGTTGGATGCTAATTCAGCCGGACTAGCATTTTGTGTACTTGATTGGGGAAACACTGCCATGGGTCTTTAGGCGCTAGCAGTGAAGCAGTGAGAAAGTGGATATAGCATTTGGTAGTATAGAATATACTCACAAATTGAAGTAACTCAAGAAAAAAAAATATAAAAGATGTTATTACTAATAGAAGGTACTGTGTGTCTTTTGCTGCTCTTGCTGTTCCTAATTTTACTTAAAATCCATTTTCATTTTAGGTGAGTAATACTGAAGAAATAACCTTTGAAGCATTAAAGAAAGCAATTGGTGAGGTTTTTGAATTCTTTGACAACTCCTACTATTTTGCTAGCTTATCTTTCTCTTAGTGTTTATTTAAATGCCAGAGTAGAGTCCGTAAACTGCTGCTTGCCAAAAAAAGAAAAAGAGGGAAATAGATTTTTATATGTATTTTTACTGTTTATTTCAATTTAAAGTTGTTATTTTAGTTATGTTGCTTGGGTTTTTCCAGGTTTTGTACCATAGGCAATTCCTTTATATATAAGTGGATTTTTCTGGATTTATGAAAACACTTAAAGAGTCCTTTAAAAATCTCACTCTTGTTTGGTGGTGTAAATTTGAGAAAGAATAGTCATTATATGTCCTTCTGTCAATACGGGGCTGAAAAAATCTGGAAAAAAAAGTGACTTAATTAAAAATGTGTAAAAATATAAGAAAGAAACTGGCTGGAATTGTTAGCAAGCATAGTGGTGTATCCTTGCCATCCTGAGTGGTGAGGACATTGAGGTAGAGAAGTGAACAGATTTCTGTAACTAATAAATAACATATAGCTGACTTATATACCCAAGTCTGATTGATTGTAAATTATTTTGCATTAAATTCTACTCTCATTTGGGGCAAGAACAATCATATAGCAGGTACGATACTTGCTTTTATGTGGGTGTCCGAGTTTGATCCCTGGAATCACATATGGTCCCCTAAGCCGGGGTGATCTCTTAGTGCAGAGCCAGGGTAAGCCCTGAGCACTACCAGGTGTGGCCCAAAAACAAAAAAGAAAATACGTCTCTCATTTGTTTATAATTATGAAAATTAATGAACTCAATACCTTATTTTTAAATCACGATCACCCTGTTGTTCGTGAATTTCCTCGAGCAGGCACCTTACTGGTCTCCTTCTTCCTAGCCCTGAGATTTTAAAAGAGCCATTTCAATGCTCTTTCAGGATTAGGAGAATGAGACCCATCATTGTTACTGGTATTTGGCATATTGAGTACAACACGGGAAGTTTGCCAGACTCTGCCGTGAAGGCAGGATACTTTTGGTAGCCTGCCAGGTTCTCCAAAGGAAAAAGGAGATAATAAGATGTCTCTTCCGGGAGCTGGGTTTTATAGTCTCTGCATCTTGGCTGTTGATGGGACCAACCTGGCGCTGGCGGTAGCTGGTGGGTGTGACACCTACCTACTGGAAGATGGGGGGTTTATTTTTAAACAGTTATTTTTAAATAGTACCTTTAATTACTTACAGTGGGCCAGAGTGATAGCATAGCAGGTAGGGCGTTTGCCTTGCACACAGCTGACCTGGGTTAGATTCCTCTGCCCCTCTCGGAGAGCCCAGCAAGCTACCAAGAGTATTCCGCCCATCCGGCAAAGCCTGGCAAGCTACCCATGATGTATTTGATATGCCAAACACAGTAAGAAGTCTCACAATGGGGATGTTACTGGTGCCCGCTTGAGAAAATTGATGAACAATGGGAGGACAGTGCAGTGCTAATTACTTACCATAATTACACAAGATTAATGATTCTTGGACACAATTTCTGATTGTAAAAGAAATACAAGGGCCTCTTATTTTTGGAAATACTAGAATTAAGAAAAATTATGTCAAGGGCAGTATGAAGTGCTTTAGTATCCATCACACATGAAATAAAGCTGAGCTACTTCATGTTAGTCCATGAGAGGGCTTATTTCTGATTATACCAAATTTGCCTAAATAAAATTAATTTGATTTGGTAAGCAATTTCTTTATGTTCATATTTGCAAATGTTTAAATTTGTAGTATTTAAAAATAGTTATAAGGCTTTCTGAAGTCTTCTATAGCTTAGGATAGCATTTCTCAAACTACATTTTGAGAATTCTAGGAGGTATGGGGAGACTCTTATGAGGAATTCAAAATGTCATAAAAGTATTTTCTCCAGAGAAACAAGACTTTTCAGAATAAATACTCTTGACAAGACTGGAGAGAGAGTACCAGGCTTAAGGCACTTAACTTGCCTTATGTGTTCCTCCTTTCGGTTCCATCTCTTTGTATCACATTTGATCCCGTAAGCACTACCAGGAGTGATCCCTGAGCACAGAGCCTGGATTTGGCCTCAGCACCACCAAGTTTGGCACAAAAACCTCAAAAAATTTCCTTGACAAATCAGTATAAATGGTTCATATAAACCATGAGCATATGTGCTTGGGAAGAGCATATCACATAAAGTACTTTGATTGCATTGAGTTGCAAACTCTTGCCTAGCCTTTCATTCCCCCTCTCCCAGTGAACAGTATTATTATTCTAGTGGCAGTGTGGGGTGTTAGGCCATACCTGACATTGTTTTGGGTCGGCTATCTAACTCTGTGCTAGGGATACTGTGCAGTGCAGTCAGCCACCTGTAAGGCAAGCACCTTAACCTTGTACTGTCCCTCTGGCTGGCCTAGAGCACCATTCTTAATTGGACAAAAGAAAAAAAAAATGAAGGAGGGGGTGCTGGAGTGATAACACAGCAGGTAGGGCGTTTGCCTTGCACGCGGCCCGACCCGGGTTTGATTTCCAGCATCTCATATGGTCCCCCGAGCATGGCCAGGAGTAATTCCTGAGTGCATGAACCAGGAGTAACCCCTGTGCATCTCTGTGTGTGACCCAAAAAAGCAAAAAAAAGGGGGTGGGGAGGCTAGAGCGATGGACAGCGGATAGGGCAACCTGCCTTGCATGTGGCTCACCAGGGTTCAGTCTCTGCCCCCCCCCCCATACAGTCCCCTGAGCCCCATCAGGAGTGACCCCTGAGTGCAGAGAGCCAGGAGTAAGCCTGAGCACCACTGGATATGGCCCAAAAAACTAAAATTCATTTTTAAAAAGCTATGTTATTTGGCAGTTTGGACAAAAGAAGTGGAGTGAAGCTGTTGCTTCAAGAAGGGGGGCAGGGGACCACTCTGACGGCATTGTTCCAAGTGTTCAAATTAGCATGGTTTATTTTGAAAAGTGGGTATAGCAAATAGAAAGGAAACAGGCATATTTTTTCCCTTTGAAGCTGTGGCAGGTTTTACAAAATTGAAGAACATAATGTTCTGAGTGATTATAGTACAGAATTACAATCACCCCTCTCTTGTTCGCTCACCAGACCAAAGTCACAGTTCACATATATCCTGGACTAGATAAGAAATGTGAATATTTAAATCAGGTTAGGTAAAAGCAGTTTCTCAAATGTAAATGCTAATAAAGAATATTTGGCGGGGTTGCAGTACTAAGGATCAAACTCAGGCACTCATACATAGAAAGCATGTGTTTTACTGCTGAGTTATATCACCAATCCTGTTATATATTAATATGATGGATATCAGTATACTTAACATTTAAAGAGGTAGTTTGGTTTTTGTAATAAAGTTTTAAGGGTGTCAAAGAGCCTCAAAACCAGAAAGTTTGAGAACTGCGAGAACAAACTTTAGTGCCTATGACCCCAAATTTAGGTTTGAATTCCCTTTATTGCTTAAAGGTTTTACCTGCTTTTATGGTCAGTGGCCAACTTCTATGAAATTTTATATTCTTTTGAATGTTTTTTAAAATAAATATTTTATAGATACCAGTGGAATAGAAGAACAAGAAAAGGAAAAGAGGCGTCTTGTGATAGAGAAATTCCAGAAAGCACCATTTGAAGAAATAGCAGCACAGTGTGAATCCAAAGTAAGTGAGTGATTAGTCAAGGAAGTGGAAGCAGAGTTTGAGTTTGTGGAAACTCTAGTTAATTGGTTTTGGTAGATTTCAAGCATTTGACAGATGAACAGAATATAAAGTATCAGTCAACTTGAAGGCATACCTCCAAAATAGTTTTTTGGGTGTGTAATATATGCCAATGGAAAAGGCAGATCTCAAACTGAATGTTAATGATTGTTGTTGCTTTTGTTTATGTCCAGTGGTTCTGCTCTGAGTATTTTATATTTTTGCTTCTGTTTTTGTTTTTAACAATGAGACTAGGAGAAGAATTAGAAGAAAGTGTGCATTAAATTTTGATATGTGAGACAGATAAAAACGCATTGTTCCTATCAACTTGTTAATTAAATATTTTCCTTTAAAGTTTATCTGTTATTTATGGCCATTTGGAAAATGGTTCATTTATTTCTGAATTTTTCCTCCTCTTTGTAGGCAAATCTGCTGCATGATAGACTAGCTCAAATATTGGAACTCACTATACGGTAAGAATTTTGTTACCACAAAAGCAATCAAACAATAAGGAAGCTATTAGACCTCTGTAACTCTGAAGCTAATTATATTAACGTAATTGTGCTTTCCCTTTAGTATAAACAAAAGATCATACAAGTACCGTTATCTTGGTGATTACTCTTTTTATTGGTTAGAGTCATATTATTTCTAAATTCCTTCTGGCATTTTATTTATTTATTTATTATTTATTTATTTATTTATTTATTGGTTTGGGGACTACACCCAACAGTGCTCAGAATTTACTCCTGGCTCTGTGCTCAGGATCACTCTGGTGGGCTCGAGGGATCATGTGGGGTGCCAGGGATCAAACCCAGTCAGCCACAAGCAAGGCAAGTGCCCTACTACCTCTAGTCCCCCCTTGTAGCTTTTTTGCCTCCCTTTTAAGTTCATTCAATTTTAGTAGTGGCAGGATATTTGGATATAATTTGGAAAACTTGGATTCAAATTAAGTAGGTACTTTCTTACATTTACTCATTTTGATTTGCAAAAATAAAATTTTGTGTTATTCAGTGTCATAGTTCTTTCGAGGGCAGTCTTGACACCAGAGGTTCCCAAATGTATTGGGCCTACTGACTCCTTTTCAGAAACAAATCACTTAGCACCTACCTCAAAATCTGCCTCTTTGAGCGAACAGACACGTAGTTCCCCCTACGATTGCAGCAGGAGCTAGTACCATGGTCCCCTGTGTCATTGCAATGTCTCCCTGTGGTGGTGGTAGTACCCTTTGGGGAAATGCTAGACTGAATTCTCCTTGTGCTTTCTCAAGCTGCTACATTATTTTATGCTCCCAAACGCATGGTATCCAACATATTTTTGTTACTGCACCTGTGTGTTATGAAGTAATGAAGCACAGGGTAGTGGGAAGGACAAACTCGGGATTCACAAAAAGAAAGACTTCTGCATAGTTTTCTGTTGACTTCATTAGGCCCAGTGACCTTCCTCTAAGGTTACTCAGGAGAGGAACCATGGACAGAAGCTCTGTTTCTAGAATTGTTTTCTATAGCAGCGGTACCTTTATATACATATCACTGTATCTCTGTCATCCCGTTGTTTGTCGATTTACTTGAGCAGGCCAGTAACGTCTCTGTTCCTCCCAGCCCTGAGATTTTAGCAGCCTCTTCTTACTCAGCTTTTCCCAATGATTGGAGGCTCTTTTAGGGTCAGGGGAATGAGACCTGTTGTCGTTATATACATATATAGATAGATAAACACAGAGAGAGGCTGCTAAAATCTCAGGGCTGGGACGAATTTAGACATTACTGGCGCCTGCTCGAGCAAATCGATGAACAGCGGGATGACGGTGATATAGATATATATATATATATATATATACACACATATATATGTATCTGTAAATATATATATATATGTATTACACGTATATACATATATAAGACATTATATATGAACCTATGTGTAAAACCGGATTGGCCACATGCAAGACAAACTCTTTAACCTCTGTACTATCACTGTGTTTCACCTTTTATATTTTTAACTTTTTCAGTTTTTTTTTTTAATCCCCATCCTATGAACTATCCTATAAATTAATTTTCCTTCAGTCCACATCCTATTGATAGAGGAAAGGAGGAGAGAGGTCAATGCACAAGCCCCTGTTCCTTATTGTTGTGCTTTTTTTAATCTTCATATAGAAGTTACACTTTTATCAGTATCATATCTTAAATTCTTTGTGTTTTTTTGCCATTTCCATTATCACTACTAAGTTTAGGATATCTCATTTGCAAGATTTCAGAACAAAAATGATCATTTTCCAGCATACCTTAGATTTGGAGAAAGTTGCTAGAGCATAGTATTCACCTCATGCATGCCTCATTGTGACAAGTTTGACTGTATACTCAATGTTACTGTGTGTATTTTATATCTGACATTTCTGCTAATCCTCACTACAGCCTGGAAAGGTAGGTAGATGCTGATTTTTTTTCGTTTTCTAGGTGAAGAAACTGAAGCTTAGAGAAAGTAACTTGCTGAATGTCATACAGCTAGTGAGTGGCAAAGTGAAAATTTAAATCATGTTTTGAAGAGGGATATTGCTAAAGAACAACATGTTATATTTAATTTTACTCTATGACTGACATAAGGGAGCAACCTGAAAATCTAGTGCAAAGGGGATTTCAAATAATGAGGATCTATAACAACATTCTCAGAGATAGTACATTTATAGCAGGCCTTTATATTAAAGTTTCAAAGGGGTTTTTTTTTCAGCCTGAAGAAATAGTAACACTTGGACACAACTTCTCAATTCTTAAATAATATACTTAAGATATATGTATCTTACACTAACAGATATCCCTAAATTAAAAAATAAAGAGCTGTTTAAATACTAGAATGGTGATTGCAAAAATCATTTTTAGTTTTCAACAATAGGATATCAGGAAATATGCAAGTTTGATGAATAACTTAATGGAGAACAGTTTAAAATAATTCAAAATAAAAATAATACATCATTTCTATGTAGATTATTGATTGACCTCTTTTGTAATAATTTATACTAGCAAACAATAAGGAGACTAGAGGAGATTTGTAAGGAGAGGTATCTGTGATAAAGAAGCATTTTCAGGTTTTCAAAGAACAGATCTTTAATAAATCTCATTTGTGCAACTGCTGAAGAATATGGAAGCAAGGAGTAAGAAAGAAGGAAGGTTATTTCATGTCTTCACCCAAAATAGAACATCTTAGCTGTCTATTTAAAAAGTTCATAGAGAGGCTGGAGCAATAGCACAGCGGGAAGGGCGTTTTCCTTGCATGCAGCAGACCCGGGTTCTATTCCCAGCATCCCATATGGTCCCCTGAGCACCGCCAGGGGTAATTACTAAGTGCAGAGCCAGGAGGAACCCCTGTGCATCGCCAGTTATGACCCAAAAAAGCAAAAAAAAAAGTGCTTAGAAATACTAAAATTATTATGAGAATTTTTTTTGTGATATTAGTCTGGAGGTATTTATCTTAGCGTAACACAAAAACTAGAAACAATTTTTTGGTAAGGTTTTTAACATTTGGCAAATATATATATATACATATATATAAATATTTATACCTTACAAGGCTGAGATATAATAAATTGAGGGAAAGTACTTTTATTATATAACCAAAGATGAGTGTCCTCAATTAAAAACAGAAAAACAGTAGTGTAAAAATATGGGTAATGGATTCAAATAGACAGTTTTAAACACAAAATGGTTCTAAGCAACAATTATATCTAGCATCAGTAATAACCAAAAAAGTTGGAAATAAGACAGTAATTCTCTTTCACCTTCCAGATAGGAAAATATTACTATATATATATCTATAAAACATATTATACATATATATACACATGCATATAAAAGATTGATTTTACAAAGTATTTAGAGTGATCTTTTTACTCAAATACTAAAGTTTATTGCTTGTACTGCAGCATTATGTATCAAAGTAAAAATTGTGAATCTACTTTGATCCAAAAACACTGTAAGATTTATCAAGGAGATGGAACAGAATTATGTATGTATAAGAATAGACATATACATATATGTATCTTACACAGACATATATAATAGCATTATGTACAATAATGAAAAATGAAAATAAACCTGCATTTGTCTACTAAATCAAATCAATTACAGTGCATTCATATAATGAAATCCTTTGCTATCATCAAAAAAATGTAGAAAGGAAAATTTTGATACATGGACAAAGTTTCACTAGTGAAACAAAGCAAGTTTGCAAAAATATATATATATTGTAATTCCAGTATAAAAAACTCTGTGCATAGTGCCTATGTTCAAAGAACATTAACATCAAAACAACTTGAAGTGACCAGGAACTATTTTCCATAAGACTTACAGCTTGCCATATAACACCACATTGACCTCTGCAACCAAGAAGTCTTCTGGTGTCATTTTCAGGTAGAAGTCAGAATGCTTTCTGTAATGAGCTTCTCTTAAATACATTTGTTGACCGTTGCTCCTTTTTTTCCAGTCCTCCTCCCAGTCCATCAGGAACACTGACCATTACTTCTGGGCATGCCCAATACCAGTCTGTTCCAGTATATGAAATGAAGTTTCCAGACCTGTGTGTGTACTGAGTGACTCGTGAAGACCTCAGCATAGGATTTTAGCCTGAAAATTATAAATCCAATTCAAGTTTTGAGGGCTTATTAGTACAGGACAGCATATTTCTGAAAATAATAATGCAATTTATCTTTAACCAAATGCTTGGCCGTACCATGTTAGAAAATTTGGAACAATATAATATTTAGAGTACTTTTGTAGATAGTTATGCCATGTTCATTTCTTCTGAGATTCCTGTTGGCTCTTAAAATTGAACATATATATGTCCCAAATCATTCCTTTGTTAAACTATATTTCACAAAGATTAGCAACAAAATAATCCTACAGAGGGTTGAATATGTATGGAATGTATGAAAATGTATAAACTGTATTTCTTAAACTTTTACACTGCTGCTTAGAAATAGAACCGCTTTTGGTTTTGTTTATGTGGAAAAGGAAATATGTATTCATCTGTTCTATCCTGGGACTGCACAACTGTTGTGATCAGCATCCCACTATTTATTACTGTAATACTACGGGATAGGCATTCCTCAGTTTGTTTATGATAGTGATACCTATTGAATACTATGTCTAAAAACCAACCCTAAAGGTCGCCATATTTTAAAGTGTCTCGTTCTTGAATACTGTGTTTTCTCCCAGGAGTTTTACCGTGATACTTGAGAGGCTGAGAGTTTTCTCTTAGAGTACCAAACTGTGCAATATTTTTTTACATCTTAAGATGTATTAGTTTACAGACTATGCTTTGAAATTATAGTAGTATTTTGCTGTGACTCCATTTATAAAATGATATATATTAGTATACGGGAAAAGGACATTTTAAACAGCTACTAGTTTACTTGTGAAGAGTGTATACATTTTGATTTCTATTAAGAGCACATTAATTTACATTGTGCATTGTTTGAAATCCTCATAGTAAAAAAAAAATCCCCGAATGAATCTTTAATTAATTTGAATCATAACTTATATGTAGCTCAGTTTGAGTTTTGTTTTAATCCATTTGGAAAGAGTGCCTATGGTTTTAGCAATCAGGTGTGCTAAGGATCTTCAATTTTGATATCTATTGATTTAAGTCAGTGGCTAACGGGATCCATTTGCAGTCTGCATGTGCTGGCAGAACCTGTACCGTATTTTTCAATTATGTACATCTTCATGAATTCCATCACATCGCAGCCATGAACTTTCTTTGCAACTCTTACAAAATTCTCATAGGAAACTTTATTAAAATTACTTGTTTAAAAGTTCCACTGCCTTTTCAGATTTGATTTCTTTTTATGCAGCACAATATAACATCCAAAAATTTTTAGCTCTAAAAGCACTCAAGTTTTCCGTTTTTGTCTAAAAAAATGCAGTGATGGATGGAATCACTTTGATTAATTTGGGCACTGTGAGTAGACACACCAAAGGGAGGAAGTGTAATAGAACAAGCATACTCAAAAATGTTTGAATCCTATAAATTAGATCTGTAAATGAACACTCAGGCAGCCCAGAAGATGATAACAATTAAGCATAGATAAGCAAGGCCGGTTTTCAGAGTGATAGAGCAGTCAGCATTGGGTTCACCCTGGCCAGTTTGCTGCTGCAGTTGCAGCTCTTTGTCACGGTAATTTTTTTCTCTTGGTCATATAAAATGGTTCCCTAATTGGTGGCCAAGTTTTGTGGGTTTTTTTTTTCTGTATTTTTTAAAGGAGAGTATTCACTTTTCACTCTGTATTAAAAAAAAAAATTTAAGCAGGGGGACATGCAAAAAACAATCATCATCCACTTGGATGTCATTTTATAGATTAACACTGTGTGCTTTTGTATGAAAAAATATAATTTAATAGTATAAGAAAGAGTATATATATATATTCACTTGCACCCATGCAAAACAAACTTTGCTCTACAGAATTTTTATGTTACTCTGTGATTCAAAAAATGCATGTATTGCATGTAAAGGAAAATCAATTTAATTATTGTGTATCACATCTTTCTTGTGTCTGTAAACTGTTAATTTGGATTTCGTGGGAGTTTTCTTTGTTTTTAAATCATAGTAGACGTCTGTGTATCCTAGATGACTGAACTGGTCTTGTTAACAATGATTCTCAAGAAATGGATCTTTTCTTTGCCTTGTTCCTTTCAGGAGAGTGCGGGAGATCCTGCTGGTAATAGGTATGTATACTGTATTATGTAACCAGTTTGGAGGCAAGGTTTAGGGTTTGTTGAAGTTCTCTGTATTGCTATATTTTTGTAGATATTTCAAACTCAATAAATTGTTAATCGTTCTTCTTGTGGTATATAGTTTATATCATTCCTTTCTTTAAACATTGAGTATTAGCATTCAACTGTTCCTCCTATCTGTGTTGTCTTTGCCTGTTTATATAGTTTTACTGGAATGTATTTAAGTATCTGTACACAACACGCGCGCACACACACACACATACACACACTTTTTTAATACTTTTGAATTCATTATCTGTTAGACTAGTGGTATTGAGCCAAAGTGATAGCTCAGTAGGCTAAATGAATGCATTGCATGTGGGAGACCAGTTCTCAATTCCTGGCACCCCACGGTCTCCTGAGCACAAAGCTTATAGTAGCCCCAAATACTGCTGGGTGTGTCCTCCAACAAACAAACATAAAATAAAGTTGTACTATGTCAGCAATTAATTTCATCTACTCAAAATACTGTCTTCCTGTCTGAAGTTGAACTCATTTGCCTTATTCATCCCAATATGTGTTATAATGTAATGAAGTAACTTGGGGGAATGTAAAAGTTCTCTGTGCAATTCATATGTAAACAATAAAAAAATCAAAATTATTTTGGTACAAGTAAACTTTTGTAGTGGCTATTACATTTATTTTTTCCCAGTGTTTTGCTTTAGTTTAAAAATTAAGAACTCTAGTGAAAACAAGAGTGAAACTCAGTGAAGTCCTCCACACACACACAATCACACATTTACACCCACACAAGTCTCAGTACTGCAGCTGCTGGTCATGGCAAGCAGAGTAGCTTAGATCAAGCTCAGTGTGTGCTGGTGAAAGCACAGTTGCCATAGCAACATCAATTTCAATGCTTGTATTTTCAGCCTTACCTCCTTGCTATGTAAATAATATGAGGTATCTTAAAAAAAAAAACACTCCCACCTTCTGTCATTCTGGTTCGCTTGTTTGTCCTAGCACTTGTACACATCAGACATGTTGGGTTTCAGAGACTTTCTTTAGACAGGGCAGCAAAGCAGCTCTGAGTTCAAATCCAAAACTTCTACTTTCTGGCTGAGTGATTCCAGACAATAGGCAGTCAGTATTATTATTAAAAAGTCATCATTGCAGGGACTGGAGCAATAGCACAGTGGGTAGCGCGTTTGCCTTGCACGTGGCCGACCCAGCATACCATATGGTTCCTAAGCACTGCCGGGAGTAATTCCTGGGTGCAGAACCAGGAGTAACCCCTGTGCATCGCCAGGTGTGACCCAAAAAGAGAAAAAAAAATCATCATTGGCATTCACAGTACTGGAACTTCTGGAGTATGACTGTACTGCTCCCTAGTCTTAAACCAGTCACCCCACAGTCCTGAACCTATTTCCTTATAATGAAAAGAGCCGTTTGAATGACATGCTACCAAATGCTTGCTTTCCAACTCTTAACTTGTGTCTTTTTTTCTCATCTGACAAATTATCTCAGGCATACCATGAAGAAGAGAAGAGGTAGAGTATCAAACATGGCTCTAAAGTTTTCTGTATCTGCCTTTTACTTACACTTTGGTTCAGTGTATAGGCAGTCTCTCCTAAAGTTCTGAAAACAGGTTGACATACAAGGATCTTGACTTTGGGAGTAATCACTCCAGCTGGGACAAGGAAGTGATGGCTAAAAGTTTAATTAAGAAGCAGTTTCTAAAAATTCACCATCACATAGATGGTGATCTCAAGATAATCTCAAAATTGCATTTCTAGATAATGAAAGTTAGGGAAGCATCCTTTGGCTTCTGTTCATGGTCGGGGCTGGGGTGGGGGTTGGAGGTGGGGGGTTTATAATTCATTACCCTACATTTTTGTTTTCCATTCATACTTGGAGAAGGCCCATGTCAGCATACAGGATAACTGGAAGTTCACAAGCATACTCAGAACCTATCCTGTAAATGAGGCAAGCTGAAGCCTCATGAGAGAAATCTTTAAAGATAGGTGATTTTTAAAGCATGTGTACAGGCTGATTAGAATGGTTCCAAAGAAAACAGGAATAAGCAACATAGAATAATGAGAGGTTTGTGTGTACATCACACCTTGGAGAAGACACAAGATCATTGGACCTAGGTCACAGCTGAGAGATTGGCATTTGATGTAGCTAAGGAACACTTCATCATAGCAAGAAGGAAGAGAAAGTCTGTGCAGGTAATTTTTGTAGTTTTGCTGGCTTAAAGTGGAGAAGGATATTTCACTTGGAAAATTCCAATTTCCCAGTAGAGTATTGGTGAGATATTGTTGCTAGAGCATTCATGTGTGCCTTGTATTTTTACATGTCTTCTGAGTCAAATCCTTTATTCTGGACCATCTCTTCAAGCATTCAGTATGGCATACTGACTCGAAAGACAGAGATGGGTCTCCTTTTGCAGCCAAAGTAGACACACTTGCTTCCTGGACAATAAGTCTTGTGTCTGCTACAGTTTGAGGTAGGCTTTCAGCCAGTTACAAAGTCTGGATTTTCCTAAACTGAAGTTTCTGTGTAATCACACCATGTGTAGTTGTCATCTGGTCTTCTTTGTGTTGCCTTAAAGCCTTAGGAACCGTCAACATGCTGATATTTATTCCAACTGAAGCTGTTACTCTATTAGTTTTTTTTTTTTGTTTCTAACCCAAGTGTCTTATGTGAGCATCCCTGAAAAAAGACATTTAACCTTTCCGTTGCAAATAAGATGAAATCACAGCTCCTTCACAGTTCTTGACAGGCATTAGTTGAGAATGAGGGAATGGTGGGAGGTTTGAAGAGAAGAGAGAAGGGACTGAACAATTAGCTTGAGGTCAATAAGTATCAATTTGGATATGTTGAACTTCTGTGAAATGATGTAGTCATGAAGTGAAGTGTGTCCGTGGAATTGATCCTTTCAGCAATTCTGAATTCCTGTGGGCTATGTGTATGTTGAGGGCATATCTTTCAGAAGAGCTTTGTCTTTAGTCCTTGTTAACCATAGTTGGGTTATTGATGACCTGAGACTAATCAAAGACTGATCAAGTATACTTGAGTGGGATAAGGAAGGGAATTTGGGGGGCCACACCTGGCAGTACTCAAGGATCAATTCTGGCGAGCTTGGAGAACCATACGGGATACCAGGGATGGAACCCTGGTTGTGTGTTCAGGCAAGCTCCTTAAGTGCTGTACTATCACTTTGGCCACACTTTTTTTTTTAATAGAAAAATAGCATTTAGTGATTAGGAAGCAAATTTTTATCCCTTCGTTATTATCTCACTTTTGCAGTCTGTACCTCACACACCTGATTAGTGATAGATAGATAGAGGCCCTCCCGTTGATCGTCGATTTGCTCGAGCGGGCCCAGTAACGTCTCCATTGGAGACTTTGTTGTTACTGTGTCTGGCATATGGAATACTCTCGGTAGCTTGCCGGGCTCTCCGAGAGGGGCGGAGGAATCGAACTCGGGTCGGCCATGTTGGCCGCTTGTAAAGCGAACACCCTACCCGCTGTGCTATCACTCCAGGCTGGAGTGATAGCACAGCGGTAGGGCGTTTGCCTTGCATGCAGCCAACATGGCCGACCCGAGTTCTATTCCTCCACCCCTCTCGGAGAGCCTGGCAAGCTACCGAGAGTATCTTGCCCGCATAGCAGAGCCTGGCAAGCTCCCCATGACGTATTCAATACGCCAAACACAGTAACAACAAAGTCTCCAATGGAGACGTTACTGGGCCCGCTCGAGCAAATCGATGAACAACAGGAGGGCCTTTACCTTTACCAACCTGATTATACAGTACTTTTTCTTTTTTCTTTTTTTTTGGGGGGGGGGGGGCTTTTTCGGTCACACCTGGCAATCCACAGGGGTTACTCCTGGCTTTGCACTCAGGAATTACTCCTGGCGGTGCTCAGGGGACCATATGGGATGCTGGGAATCGAACCCGGGTTGGCTGTGTGCAAGGCAAGTGCCCTACCCTTTGTATAGCTGAAGCCCCCAGTACAGTACTTTTTAAAGAAGAGACTAGGAGACAACTCAGTGGGGTAGAGCTTATTATGCCCTGCATGTGCAAATTGTCCTGTGACCCCTAAGCACCAACACCACTGGGCCCAACTCAGACCACCATGCCACCCCATGGGGCTGAGGATCTTGGAGAGTGACCCTCTATTCCCTAGGAGGCATTGCCCCCCCCCCAAAAAAAAAAGAACAAAAAAATACTGATCAGAATATTTTATTGAGCTCCCCTAGTGCAGGAAGATAGAAACCAGCCCTTGCAATCTCCAAATGCACAGTCCAGTGTGATATAAAACCAGACCACAGTGGACACGTGCAGGCAATGCCTCTGTTCCTTGAGCCTGTGCTAGGGACAAGAAGCATAGGCACCGTGGAGGCTCAAACAGGCCAAGGGAAGGGGAGAAAGAGAACTGCAGGGTGTGCTTATCTGTGGATCTGCCTAGGAACATACTGTGGTCTGGTCCTCTTGAGACCAAGTGAGTTGCCCAGAAATCTTTTAGTTCTTCTCGGGCCCTCCGCATGGGGCCTCTCTTCCTCACTGACCTCCTCAGAGCTGGAGCCCAGGAGGGGAGCAGAAGCCCCTCCATGCATGCTGTCCTCACAGGAGAGCTGATGGCCCTGGCACTCTTGGCGGCCTGATGACTTGAGGCTTTGGTTGAAGAAGGCAGAGGCCATGCACTGGGCTGCTGTCTCATCACAGGCACAAAGCAGCTTCATGCACAGGCTCTGCCCCACACCTGAGGGGGATGAGAGCACAATAGAGACGAACTATGGTACAGTACATGGAGGCCAGCATTGCTTAAGGCCCCTTCATCTCTTCCCTCCCACTCTTATCTTGTAACCACTTGGTGCCACACACTTTCCCTCTACTGGAAATACTCAACTTTTCTCCCTCTGTGTGAGCTCCCGTGTATATCAGGACTCCACTGTGTGTCCCATCCTCCTCGAAGCTTCACTAAGCACTCAGGCCAAAAGACATGTCTTCTGACATGGGTTCTGATCAAACCTGCCTCTGGCTCTTTTTATACTTGCGGGTTTTATATTAGTGTCATTGTACAGTAATGTTCCCACCTTCTCTCTTGCTGGATATCCTGAAGAATCTTGCTTGCACCTAACTCAACCCCTAACAATTATCTCTTGAATTAGCCTATCAAGGAATATGTGTTGGACTGAGACATATTTATTTCTCTGAATCAGTATTTCCCCATTTGTCAAATAGAATAATTCTGGTCCACTCAGTTAATAGGTCCAGTTACACATGGGATTCCAAATTAACAGAATTTTACATAAAGAGGGCCCAGTAAGAAGTATGTTCCTTTGGGAGTGTATCGGTAGTAAACTCATTTATCTGAAATTTCATTCATGTAATTTTGCCTACATGTATCTTTCCTTATTTCTGTAATGTTTCGGTGTCATGCAGTGCAATGGGGATGAGTATTATATGTGTGACTCATGAAATAATGTGTCCAAAGATTCTTACACATTGAATCCTATTCTCTAAAGAGTATCTTTGTTATTTGTGGTTTCCATCTAAGCTAAAGACATAGATTGGTCTGTTCTGACCTTAAAGTATTAATCAACCAGTCTTCCTTGTCACACATCCTTTCCCCTCCAAATCTATATTGGTCTCCACTTTAGTTCCAAACATACTTTTTGCCTTTCAACAGCAGGAAGCAGAGAGCAAAGAGGAGTTGCAGAAGAGCAGAGTCAGCCTGATACTTAGTGCTTACATCAGTGCAGAACTAGCCTTGAGATGCTCTCATAGCTCACTGCCCCAACATAGTACCCAGCACAGGGTACTGTGCTCACAAAGGGTCACACCTGGTTCAGTCTACAAGTGCAGAGCCCCAGCAGTCTATGAGATGAAGGGGTGGAAGAGGAGCAGGCCAGATCTGCAGGTGTGACTGAAGGATACCAACAGTGAGCATCTGATTCCATATCTCTGCCTTGAGAGAACAAAAGGTAAGTGTTTGATTTGGTTTGGGTTTTGTTTGGGGACCACACCTGGTGGTACTCGGCTTACTCCTGACTGTGTACTCAGAGATCACTCTGGGAGGTGTTCAGGGACTTGAACTTGGGTGCGGCTTGTAAGACATGTAAGGCAAGTGCCCTACCTCTGCAGCATCGCTCCACATATTCTCCTTGCTATCGTGATATATCTCTTGCACCTCACCTTGTACCACCACATTCTGGCCTCCCCGCACTTCTCTGATTAGAACCACTGCGGCTCCTAACCTGCCAGCAGTTCCTGTGATTTTCTTTTCTCTTTCTAGAAATACCCACTTCTGTTAATGGGGTTTTTTACAACTCACTGGGGAGAAGCTTGCTGCTTCTTAGAAGACTGTCACTGGCTAAACAAAGGCTCAGCTCTAAGCCCAAGACAACCCACTTTTCCAGTCCCAGGGCCAGCTTTGTACCTTATCTATCCTTGTGCCATCTTAGGCTACAATTTCTTCCTCTATGTCTCAGGTGAGTGCATCCCTACAGGGTTGATGTTAAGATGAACGCCTGGCCACACCCCAGCAGACTGGCTGTACACACATCAGCTATTTCTGTTATTCTCCATCTGCTCTTAACAAGCTCTCTCACTTTAGGCAACTGGTTAGAACCCTTGGAGCTCCATGGCAGCAACAGGGGTCCTACTATATGTTGCCAAAATAAAGATATTATATCAGAATGGAGATGAAAAGGTGCTTAGAAAAGCTGCCGTCAGCACATGCTGGTGTCCCGAGGCCCACGTGGCTGTATTAGTGACTCACTCGCACACCCACCACACTTACACTTGGGCGTGCTGTCCTCACACATCACCCTTGATGGAGGAAGCCTCTCTGGCAGGCATCCCAGCCTCCTCACCTGCTTCAGGCAGCAGTGGTGGGCAAAGCAGCACCTGAAACAAACAAAAAGCCCTTTACTTGACAGATGCTCAGCAGCCCCAGAAACTCCCTTATGGTTTGCTTCCTTCGTGCTCCCTGGAGGTACCAGAACCTCCTTTCAGGGTACCTGGAACTGAATCATAAGCATATCAAAGGCCACCACGATGGTAATTCAGGTTGTGCACTGCACAGAGGATCTGCATCAAAGATAGCACAGCTAAACATTGAAACACACTAAACATCTTTAAAAAGAAAATTAGGAGCCAGAGCAATAGTGCAGCAGATAGGGTGCTTGCCTTGCACACAGCCAACCTGAGTTTGATCCCATGCATTCCATATAGTTCCCTGAGCACCACCAGAAGTAACCCCTGAGCATCACCAGGTGTGATCCAAGCCTCTCCTCCCAAAAACAAAAGAAAAATTGAGGGCCAGAGAAAGAGTACAGGAGTTAAGATGTTTGCTTTTCATGACATCATCAACCCCACATCAATCCCTTGTACCATATGTGGTCCCCCAAGCACTGCCAAGAGTCCGAGCACAGAGTCAGGAGCAAGCCCTGAGCACAGGCAAGTGTGGGCCCAAAACAAAACAATTTAAAAGATTGTTGACAGCAAAAGTATACAGTGTATATTCATTATTGAAAATTATTCAGGGTTGGAGCAACAGTAGAGGGGGTTGGGCATTTGCCTTGCACTGGGTTTGATTCCTGGTATCCCAAGCACTGCCAGGAGTGACCCCTGAACACAAATCCAGGAGTAAGCATTGAGCAGTTCTGGTGTGGCCATAAAGCCAAAAGGGGGTAGAATGAAAATTATTAAGGTAAGTTAAATGAATTTTTAAAAATGATTTAAATTATTAAAATTATTTCCTTACATATAAAGGATAGTGTGTTGAGGAAGGGATGCCATTTTTTTATAAAGGGATGCTTTTTTTATAGAAAAGCATCATATGAGATGAGGTGACCCCACGCCCTCCTCCTTTTGGCAAAATGGAATAGTTAATAGCTCATTTACAGGATCCTCTCTTGGTCTCAGCCTTAGCAGAGAGCAGAGTAACTCTTAAGCATAAATGTAGAACTGCATCTAGAAAGCATCCAACATGGAGGAAAAACTTAAGTGTGTGGAAATCCATTGGTATTTCTCTTTTAAGAAGAAATGTCCATCTGGCCTAATAAGAGTTGTAAAATCTCTGTGTTCCCCTGTCCGACATAGGTAGACAGCCCCAAGATACTTGTGACAGCTATAGCCTTAAGGACTGCTCCCTAACCCTCCCTTTATCACTCTTCTCTGTCTTTTAATAACTCACTCAGCCAGAGCAGCTCTTCATCATGGATGGGAAGTTTTGGATAGAAAGTTTGTGCTCAGCCTAGCATCTGCTTCACCAGCATTTATCAGCCTGGTTGATGGTTCTGGATTTCACCAGGGCTACACTCCGCAGTAATGGGATTAGGAGTGGGGGTGTGGAGACATAGGGGAGGGACAGGCTCTATCATTTGAACTCTCTCCCCAACCTGAGCTGGTCTTTTGGACACAGAACTCTCCATTACTGGGGGACCCGAGTTTGGGCTATACCTAGCAGTGGCTATTCTTGGTTCAGAGCTTGGGGGTGGCTCAGTGGTGCTCGGGGTTTATGCAGTGCTAGGAATAAGAGGCAGGACTCTCACATGTGACACATGCTATCAGCCCTCTGCGTGTGTCTTCTTTTCCAGATCCTCCCTGCAAAATCTTCCCAGTATCTCAACTCTTTTCTAAATACTCCTCAAACTCATCTCCAACTTGAGTTCTCCACCCTTCCCTCTGATCCTTGTGCCATGCTGACTCTGTTGAGTAGCAATTTGGCTGACTCATCCAGTCTTTCACCAAACAAGTTCCTGTTAGGCATAGGTAGTTTGTTGTACGCTATTTTGTTTTGGTTTCATTTCAGCCTCTCTACCACCCAGCCTAGCTCGCAGCACAGAGCAAAAAGTCTCAGGAAATGTGGCTTGAATACATGGATGCATGAATAAATGAATGAGGTCAATGAAAAACTTTCCCAGAGCAGCAGATGGAAATTTTAGCAGTTTCATTTTCATATTAAGAAGCCACTTTTCATGTGGTCAGCACAACTAGAAACCCCAGTTGTACTCCTGCTAACTGCAAAAGAGGCAGATTCAGGGACCTTCGCCTCCTCAGCTGCACCCCAGAAAAATGAACCTCTGATGACAATGAGCCCACTTGGGAGATAAAGCTTCAACTGCTCCTTGTGAAACCTCTCTCTGCAGGCAGCATCATCTACATCCCTGCCCCCACCCTGTACTTACCTGTCCAGAGCATCCCTGGGCTCTCCTCGTCCTTCTTGCCCACAGTAGCAGCCATAAGACTCAAATTCCTCTGGGCACCGAGACGTCAGGCAAAAAAGCATCTCCCCCAGTCGAGATGCCCCCTGCATGTTGTACCCATTTTCCTGCTGCACGAAGGTGAGCCGGTCACAGGCTGGTTAAAAACAAAGCCGAGAAGGGGACAGATTCACAGGACTGAGGACAGCCCTGTCCTGAGCCAGCCCTCGCTACCTTCTTGGCTGTGCCCCTGTCTAGTCGAACTGTCTTTCAAAGCCTCTCTGCCTTTCCTGAATGCACCTGCTCTGCCCAGCCTCCTTGTAATCACCCCCTAAGAGATGGGTACAGCTAAGAGTTAGAGATGCTCTTCATCCCAGAAAAAATTTTTTTCTTTCTTTCCTTTTTATGTGCTGCTCTCGGAGAGCCCGGCAAGCTACCAAGAGTATTCGATATGCCAGACACAGTAACAACAAAGTCTCCAATGGAGACGTTACTGGGCCCGCTCGAGCAAATCCACGATCAACGGGAGGGCCTTTACCTTTACCTTTACCTTCCTTTTCATGAAGAGGTGCTCACGTGCACTGTTCAGGAGTCACTCCCGGCTAAATGTGGTCAACTTGGTCACAGGGCTCAGTGCTAGGCCCTGAGGGTATAGTGCTGCTTAGCCTTGGGGTACTAAGAACCACCTGAGTCCACCCTAGGGGTGTTTAGGGGGCCATCTAGTTGACAGGGTTTGAACTCAGGTCCCAACACAAGCAGAGCATGAAATTCTGGACTGCTGAACTATCTTTCTAGAAAGCTCATCTTATTTATTTTGTGTTTTTGCTTTGTTTTGGGGTCACATCTGGCTATGCTCGGGGGTTACTCCTGGCTCTGCATTCAGGAACTACTCCTGGCGGTGCATGTGGGACCATATGGAATGCCTGGGATCAAACCCAGGTAGGCTGTGTGCAAGGCAAATGCTCTTCCCACTGAACTATTGTTTCAGTCCTTCATCTTATTTCTGAGTATAGAAACTGTGTCCCCCTCATGCCAAGGAGTGCCCGTCATTCTTGAGGAGTCCTTGCTGACTTCTTCAACTTCCTGGCCCCATCAGGTCAGCACCCCATGTTTGGACTGCCTTGATTATCTTCCTCTGCCTTTGCCTCTCTGTTCCCTCATGCTGCCTCTTTTTTTTTTTAAATTTTATTGAATCACTATGAGAAAGTTACAAGCTTTCATGTTTGGGTTACAATCACACAATGATCAAACACCCATCCTTCGACCAGTGCACATTCCCCACCACCAATATAACCAGTATACTCCCCATGTCCCACCCTCCCCCTGCCTCCATGACAGACATGATTCCCCATAATCTCTCTCTACTTTTGGGCAGTATGGTTTGCAATACAGACTCTGAGAGGTTATCATGTTTGTTCCTATATCTACTTTATGCACACATCTTCCATCCTGACTGATTCCTTCAGCCATCTTTTTCTTAGCGATCCCTTCTCTATTTCATCTGCCTTCTCCCCTCCGCTCATGAGGCAGGCTTCCAGCTATGGGGAAATCCTCCTGGCCCTTGTATCTACTGTCCTTGGGTGTCAACCTCATGTTATGTTATTCTATACTCCACAAATAAGTGGATAGACATGAAGAGTTTCATGCTAAGTGAAATGAGTCAGAAAGAGAGGGACAGTCACACTACCTTTTTACTGCCATCATCTTCTTCCTCCTCCATTTGCAACTTTGGTCCAGTGAAGCTAATATCTGTGTGAATCCACCATTGTAAATTTGGGTGGAGTGGAGCCAAGTAAACAAGAGAGGGCTCTAGACCCAGCCTCCCTCTCCGGGGCCACTTATGCCATGGCTCTGCAGAGTCCACACTCCGTGAGTGCTCAGTGTGAATGTGAAAGAGGAGCAAAGAAGAGGATCGTGATGGCCCATGTCTCTCCAACAAACGGTGCTGAGGACAGGGCCTGGGTCTTGACACCTGAGCCTATAAGAGGGGAAGAAAGCACGCAACGGGGTTCTGACCCATCAGCGGAGAAGCTCCAGCAAACCATGGACACTGTACACTCCTCACATGCTCATCCAGCAAGGGGACAGACAGCACTTTCTAGTCATGGTGAGATATGGTGACCTGAGGGCTTCATTCCTGACCCCCTGGAGGGAGAAGACAGGCATTCCCACTGCCTACCTCTGCTCACCTCTTCCAGCAGTCTTCCCGGGGCCACCTTTGACAGAAGACATGGCTGAACCCAAATACAGGGTGCTGGTGGGGACAGCAGAGACCCCCTGAACTGTGATCACAATCTCTGCTGATCCTGAAAAAACACAGCATTAGAGCCCACTTTCAAATATCAGTTCAAGAAGAAATGTACCCAGCGAGATAGGTTCAAGGCCAAAGGCACACAGTTAACTTAAAACAACCAAACTCTTGGGTGTTTGTCTCCCATTATGTTACTTTATATTCCACAGATGAGTGCAGTCCTTCTAACACCCAATGATAGTAGAGATAAGGACCAGGAGGATTGCTCCACAGCTTGGAAACCAGTCTCACATATTGGGGGGAAAGGCAGCTCAGATAGAGAAGGGACCACTAAGTAAAGGGTACTTGGAGGGCCCACTCGGGATGGGAGATGCGTGCTGAAAGTAGACTATAAACCAAACATGATGGCCACTTAATACCTGCATTGCAAACCACAACACCCTAATGGGGATAGTGGGAGGGATACTGGGAACACTGGTGGTGGAGAATGGGCACTGGTGGAGGGATGGGTACTCAATCATTGTATAACTAAAACTTAAGCACGAAAGTTTGTAAGTCTGTAACTGTACCTCATGATTACTCATTAGAAAAACAAAACAAACAAAAAAACACTGAGGGAGATCTGCCTAAGGGAGGGGGCAGACCTCCTGGCAGAGTCTCAGGGACCCAGGAATTTCCAAACTATTAAGTAATCACCACATTTTCTGGAATAGCCTCAAAACTGACAAAAGTTGGTCAGATTATCAGATTGGCCTCATGAACAGAAATAATTGCAACCTCTCTGTCCTCTGCACGACATTTAACTCTTAGGTATTGTCAGGAGATTACCCTTCAGGGGCTTGCAGTGAAGAGACAGAGGGAATAGGGGAGAAACTAAGTCAAATCATGGTTCATAATCAGCTAGCAAAACTGCGTGCCATGCTCCTCAAACTATTGCAATAATTGTTTTGGGCCCACCCTCAGCTGTGCTCAGGACTTACTCCTGGCTCTCCACTCAGGCATGACACCCAGCAGCCTCAGGGGACCATATGGGGTGTGGGGAATTAAACCCGGGTCTGCCACATGAAAGGCAAACATCTTACCCACTGACTCCCTGCTACAGTCTGGGTCTCCCTAGGATCTCAGGGTCAGTCTCATCTGTCCTCTTAGCTAGAAGTTGTCAAGTCTCCAGCTCGAGTCCAAACCTCCAATCCAGCCTGGTCTATACAAGGGGATACTCAGTAGACCCATCATCTCCCTGCTGTCATTGCATCACTCAACTCCCAGAGCACTCTCTGCCTGATGCCTCTGGCCCATTTGCTTGCATTCTTTCCCTTCTTATTGGGCTGGAGCTATAGCACAGTGGGTAAAGCATTTGCCTTGCACGTGGCCGACTAGGGCCAACCCCAGTTCAATTCCTCCGCCCTCTCGGAGAGCCCGGCAAGCTACCAAGAGTATCGCGCCCACACCACAAAGCCTGGCAAGCTACCCGTGACATATTCGATATGCCAAAAACAGTAACAAGTCTCACAATAGAGACATTACTGGTGCCTGCTCAAGCAAATGGATGAACAACAGGAGGACAGTGCTACAGTGCTACAGTGGTTTGCTAATGGCCCAGGATCAGGGCTGGAAGAATCCTGCACCACTCTCCCAGCCCTTCCTTGAACATTCTGCTCATGCTCTAGGTAAACAGAAACCTGGTCTTTCTCTACCCTGGGCTCAACTGACCAAGACACTCCTTAACTCAATTTTTCTCAGCTTCTGCCTAGCCCTCATTTCAATGAGGCCTCAAACTTGCCCCATGAGAAAGAACTGCAAGCTCTTGCACAAACAACTTTATCCACCCACATATTTGTCTTCCTACGTACACACATATTCCTGAGATTTAAACCCTCACTTGGATTGTTCCAGTCCAAGGGATGAATGACCCAGCTTCTCTGGCCTCTGCAGAAGTCCTGCCTGAGAGAATGCAGGTGGTAGATTGAAGGAATTCCTGCTGTCGGCTTTTTCTACCCCAATATCAGCTTCGCATATCACTGAGCTCAGAAAACAACCCCCACCTGTTCTTAGCAATTCTCACCTCCCAGTCCTACCAGTTGCCCCTCCCTCTATCCCTTTTAAAAACACTCAGTGAGGATAAAAATTAGATTCAAGGTTCACTTTAGACCAGTTCTGCTCCACAGAAAACCAGAACAAAATCTGTCTTGCTTTTTTTGAACAAATATCTGGCTGTTCCTTTTGACAAAACTGGCTGAGTCCAGGTTGCAGAGCAGAAAGGACAGTGTTGGAGGAAAAGAAATCTGAGTTTAAATGTCAGCTCTGATCACACATCTCCAGTAGACTATAGACTGAACATGATTGCTACTCGATATCTCTTTTGCAAATCACAGCACTCAAAAGGAGAGAGAGAACAAAAGGGAATGCCCTGCCACAGAGGTCGGGTGGGATTGAGGGGGTGGGGGTTGGGAGGGTTACTGGGATCAGTAGTGGTGGAAAATGGGCACTGGTGGAGGGATGGGTGTTCGATCATTGTATAACTAAAACCAAAGCACAAATATGTGTAAGTCTACAACTGTACCTTATGGTGTTTCACTAATAAAAATTTAAGGAAAAAAATTTAAATAAAAATGGACTATCAAACCACACACACACACATAAAAAAACATGTCAGCTCTGCTCCCTGCTGGAAGGATGACTCTCAGGTAAGTGTTGATCTCTAGTGTGGTGACATTAAACTAATAATACAGTCTGGGTGCTTGAGAGGCAAAGTACCTGGTGATGAGGAGACAGAGAAACCATTAAAATGGCTCTGGGAATGCGAAAGGGGTATTTGTTCTCTCTTTGGATTTGAGTTGCATGGATAGAATGTTCTCTGGGTGCTGGAGTCCCCAGAAGCCTAGTGCCTGCTTCCAGGAAGTCCCTATTCCTCCTGCTAGAAGCCAGCATGCCCTGAGGAAGAACTTTCTGGATTGTTGGTACTCATTAAACTACACCCCTGATGTGAGGCCACTTGATATTGAATTGCCTGCCTAAACTAGCCACTACTGGGGAAATAAATTCCTCTGGGGACAATTTCGTGCCCCTTTACCTCCCACTTTGAGGTCACAGACCATATGAGGGCAAAGTGTCAGCATTCTGGGCCTGACATCTAGAACCCACTTCTGCTACCAGAGTAAAAGGCCAGCCCAGCATAGTTTCTGAACGCAGGATTTTTTGTTTTGTTTAATTTTCCTTAGAGAGCAGAAAAGAAACAATGAGCTACACTCTTTGTCCACTTCCCTTAAAATGGATGGAGTTTTTTTCATTCCTTATTATTAAATAACAGTACCTAAGATCAGCTATCGGAATGGATATACAAATGTTAATTGGTTCCATTTTTCTCTAGAGCAATTTGGCTACCTATTGAGAACTATTATGTCCTTTATCTAGTAATTCACTTTAGAGGCATTTTTTTCTGATAAAATAATCATACAAGGAAAGGCATGAGGAAAGTACAAACCTATTATTTATGAAACCAACTGTTAGAAATAATTGATTAAATAAGTCATGGGTTCCATATGAGGAACACAGTTACCAAAAGAAATCACATTACATAAAAAATTTAATATAAAGAAAGTGTGAACATATTGTATTAAGTGATACAAATCATACTGAAAAATCAAGACTGCTAAGTGGTCTTAGTCATTTTATTTACATTCATAAAAGTGTTTGGGGAGTTGAGAAGAAGACAAGAAGTGTTCAGATATCCCAAGTGGCCACCTTCAGCATGTGAAACTTAAAGTGGTTTAAATGGAAAATAAAGTCTACCTTTTTATATTCTATTAAATGTGAAGTGTGTCTCTTTAGCAAGGATGTTTCTTCCCCCACCCCCAATTTTCTGTTACCCACCTCCACCCCGAGTAATGGAGTTCTTCCTTTAAATAAAATCCCCAATTTTTGCTTTGGCACAATAAGTTATACCCTGATTAATGACAGAGTTTCACACATACCATGTTCCAGCACCAAACTCTCCATCAGAATGTCCACTTCCTTTCACCATAGTCCCAAGTTTTCTCCTTCCCCCCGCCCCCTCAAGCTCCCTTCCATAGACCAACTCTTGAATTACTTTGTCTATTTTATAGATTTTTTTCTCCCCAAGATCTCCTTGAAACACACCTATTTTTATCCATATCTAGGGGACAAGGATATATACAAAGGTGAAAAGCAAATGTGCTTACCTGGAAGGGTCGTGGTCATAGTGACTTCTGCACCTTCCCTGTCTTGGCCTGTTTCTTGTCCCAAAAAAGAAGAAACAGAGTATGTCAACCTTGGGCATCCCACCTTGGTTTCCACAAGCTGCTTCCTTCCTACTGGGCATTGGAGTGTGCTTAGTTTTTGGCCCTGATCATGTCCCAGGAAAAGGGGGAGGGTAGGATCACAGCTGGGCCAAAAAGACAACCCCCATCCCACCCCAAAATATAGGTTTGCTGATAATGCAGCTGCAACTTAGGTGGGAAGTAGCTGAATTCGTGAAATACTTTGTGGCATAGCAGATTTTAGAATCTGAATGAAAAACAAATAAATCTTTTTAAATTTTTATTTTTTTTAAGAGAGAAAAGAATGAGGCAACAAAATTACATAATTGCAGTTGCTTTTGATATGGATCAAGGCAGTCTGCTGAGTGCTGTTTCTTCATCCAATGAATTTCTTGCTATTGTGAGACAAATTTTAAGCTCCTACTATACTACTGGCTGAATGGGTCACCTCCCAAAAACTTGTATGTTAAAACCCCACTATAATGAATTTTGGAAGTAGAGCCTCTAAGGAGAGACTCAGTTCCACCCTCAGGTACGGAATTAGTGCCCCAAACAAAGGAAACTCTAGAGAGCTGCTTCTCTCTTCCTTCCAGGTGAGGTTATAGCAAAAAAGACAATTTAAAAATTCTTAAATCTGGCCGGATCAATAGGGCCAGATTTAAGAGCACTTACCTGTACTCAGCTCACCTGGGTTTGATCCCTTTTATCCAATATGGCCCCCTGAGCAGAGCCAGGAGAAATTCCTGAATATTGCTGGGTGTGCCCCTCCCGCCCCTCCCCCACCCTACGCCCTGCCACCACCAAATTCATAAACCAGAGAAAGGAAAATCAAGAAAAAGAAACTTGACCATACAGGTCCCCTGTGATTGGGCTTCAAGTCTTCTGAAGACTTAAGAAATAAACTTTTAGCTCTTCAGAACCCTTATTCCTCAGATAATCAACAAAATGACTGGTCATCATGAGAACAAAATAGAGGATTTTTCATGATATTTCTGCCCGGGATTCCATGCTGGCCTCCTCCAAGTCCCTCCCAGCTTACTTGTCCTGGAGAGTGTGGTCTGTCCATCAGTGCTGGTCTTAGCAAACACTGTGAAAACAAACAAACCCATTTCAGTTCTCCAAGCTAGCTCAGTGCCTGAGACAGGTAGGAGTCACAAACAAACAACAGAGGCCAAAGGTATCTGGGAAAATATCTGCACATTGCTTCATAATTAGGTCCTGATTAGGACCAGGGACACTTGGTTAGGATCAGTTTTGTGTTTAGACAAAGAAACCTGCAAATGACTCCCCTTGGGAGAAATGGGCATTATTTCCTGCAACTGAATGTATCTTGAGCAGCCTTTCTCTTCATCTCAATTTCCTAGACTTATGTTGGATGTAAGAACTGTGATTTTAGAGAACTGTGTGAACATTCACTGAGAGACACATCTTAAGAAAGCCTCCCAGTTTCCTGTTTGTGATCTGACGGTAGGTACTATATTTTAGAGCCATACCTAAATTCCTGGAAGCTCTTTTATCTAACCCTTCTGCCACGGTATCAGATAGGCATCATCATCCCTCTCCAGGAAATGAGCTTTTATTGGCAGACTGTTCTCCCATCCAGCTGGGGGTCAGCTACAGCTGTTTTCCTGCTACTTTAACAGAGGAAAGTGATTGTTAACAGAGATCCTGTGGACCCCAAAGCTTAAAAGATTCAATCTTTTCCTTAGCATAAAACATTGCTTTATGCAAACATAGGCACTGAAGCTCAAAAAAAAGCAGTATCATTCCAGATCATATAGCTAAGAGCTGGGAATGTGACTCAGAGGCTTGAATATGAAGACCTGAATTTGTGTCCCAGCACTGAAAAAAAAAAGTGCTATTTAAAGATACTAGGCCTGAAGGACTAGAGTGTGTGTCTAGCATGCATAGGACCTGGGTTCAATCCCTGGTACCCCCAATTTCCTTAGCACTGCCTGGAAGCAACTGCATTGTCAGATGCTGCCTTAGTGGTTCTTGGCACTGATGTGAAAACTACCTAAAAAGATTGCACAACTGAGAAGCAGAAGGATATGACCCAAAACTGTTTGATTGAGAGACAAACCTATTCCATAATCTGATGAAGAAAACACTTCTCTATAACTTTTCTTACCCTGTGTGTGATAGATTTGATCCTGCTGGCTGCCTCCACCTTCAGGGAAGCATTTGTATGTGTTGCTGCCCAAATGGTGGCTGTGTGTGTGTGTGTGTGTGTGTGTGTGTGTGTGTGTGTGTGTGTGTGTTCTGGGAATGAAAGCATGGGTTTATTTTTTTCTCTCTCATAAGGCTCATGGGAGACCCCGTGGGGAAACTAGTTTCCTTTACTTGCCACCTAAGGTCAGGTTATGAGGTGATGAGGATTCAAGCTGAAGGAAAGTGGGAATGTACCAATTTAGATCATTTTGTGATTTTCTGGTAGAACATGCTTTTTATCCTAAACTTAAAGTGGCAGTTACAGCTCTGTTCATGCGCAGGGTGGTTGTAGGGCTCCTGGTGGAGCTTTGGCTGCATGTGGATTCTGTTTTCTCTTTTTTCTAACATGGACCCCACAGCACAGTCTGTCCAGAGCTTTTGGGGGTAAGGTGTTCTTGAATGTGGAAGTTAACGAGGGATGAGCTATACAATGTTCCACAGAATCAGTAGAAAGAAAGAATAATGTTTTGGGGGGAAGGGGTAGTATTAGTATGGAATGTACCTCCATCCTGAGGTGTAGGGTTGCAGGTTTAGCATAAAAAAAGATAGAGTTTCCAGTTAATTTTGCTTTCCACATGAGCTACTAGGAAACTCTAAGTTTAAGAATGGCTGGGGAAATAGCTGTAAGGGCTGGAGAATTGAGTACCTATCTTGTAGGCAGGAAGCTCCTCCAAGCACACCAAGGGTGATCTTGGTGGAACCAGAACTGCTGGGCCTCCTGGGCCCAGCATCACCTGGTCAGAGTATAGAACTATCCTGCCTAGATTGTCAGATGTTGCTCACAGTGACCCCCAGACTCCTGAGCACTGCTTTGGAGGAGCACTTTATCACACACACAAATACACATACACACACACACAAATCCCATGGAAAAATTTTCTGGGACATGTTAATATACACCCCCAAAATTCTTTGTTGCTTATCTAGAGTTCACCTTCAAGGGATGGAAGAATTGAATGGAGAAAGTCACTGTGGTAGTAAGAAGACACCGGTCTTTGATGTTGGATTAGGTGAGTTTTGTACTCACACACACAGGTGTGTGAGAGTGGACCCCAGAAACTTGATCATATCATACACCAATGACAAATCAACACAAAACTTGTTTTCAAATAATTAAATAAAATGAATTAAATATTATCGACTACAGGCAGTTGAGGATGGGCATCCTGCATTTTATCTGCCAGAGTTAGACAGGTGGGAGATGAAATGTGGGAGAAATCTGAACAAGGAGGAGCTCAAGAAAACTTAGAAGCACCAGGAGGTTTACTCCATGGCTTGGAGGCCAGCTGCACATACTAGGGGAAAAGGCATCTCAGATAGAGAAGGGAGCACCAAATAAAGGGTGTTGGGAGGATCCTCCCAGGATGGGAGATGCATGCTGAGAGTAGACTATAGACCAAACATGATTGCCACTCAATGCCTCTTTTGCAAACCACAACACCCAAAAGGAGAGAGAGAACAAAAGGGAATGCCCTGCCACAGAGATAGGGTAGGATAGGGGGGATAGGGGGTAGGAGGGATACTGGGATCAGTGGTGGTGGAGGATGGGCACTGGTGGAGGGATGGGTATTCGATCACTGTATAACTGAAACCCAAGCACAAAAATTTGTAAGTCTACAACTGTACCTCATGGTGTTTCACTAATAAAAATTAAAAAAAGAAAAAGAAAAAGAAAAGAAAACTTAGGAATGACGCATGAGGCAGTTCTATTGCGAACCCAAGTAGGAGGATTTTAGGGACAAATCTCAGCAAGGGATGATGGCTCAAGTAAATGGCTCAAGTAAATGTAAGCATGTGGGTTCAATTCAAGTTTCCTTCCACTTACCTTCTCCTGAGAGGGCCATCAGGCTGGTGTCTGTAGGCTCCGGAGGAACCCCTGGAAAAGAGAACCTCCTGAAAGCAATGACTGATGGAATAGTGTCCACAGTGTCATATGTGTTGTGGTAGTACAGGATGGAGACAGCTAAACCAGTAAAGGAGGCAGCTGAAGGCGTGTTGGCAGGCAAGAGCAGAGCAGATTTTGGGTATATGTCTCCTCTGCCTCTCTCATGCCTCTAAAAACATAGGGCTTCTGCAGAGAAGGTCCCACTCAGGATATACCCAAGCAAGGGGGAGGACAGGAGAATACCATTAGATGGTGCAGGTGAGGATGGTGTCCCACTTTGATAAGATCCCTGTTCAAATGGGAAGCAGGGTGAAGATTTTTTTTAAAAGCACAGGACTACCATAGCCAAAACTATACTGAAAAACAAGAAACTGGAAGACATCACTCTACCTAACTTGAATCTATATTATAAAGCCACAGTCATCAAAGCAGCATGGTACTGAAATAAGGAAAGGCTCTTGATCAATGAGTCAGAATAGAATATTCAAGGATAAACCCCTATATACATGTTTAGATAATTTTTTTCATTTTTTATATTTATTTATTGAATTACTGTGGGAAAAGTTACAAAGCTTTCAGGTTTAAGTCTCAGTCATACAATGATCAAACACCTTTCCCTTCACCAGTACTTATTTTTCACAACAAAGAACCCCAAAATATCCCCCTCCCACACCTCCCAATGCCTGTTGTTTAGATAATTTTTGACAAAGGAGCTGAGAGCATGAAATGGAATAAAATTAGTCTTTTCAACAAATGGTGCTAGGAGAATTGTATAACTATATGCAAGAAATTAAAACTGGATCCATATGTCATACCTTACAGAGTTCAAAGTGCACGAAGACCTTGAGACAAAACCTAAATCTATAAAGTACATTGAAGAAAATATAGGCAGAATACTTCAAGACCCAGATCTCAAAGTAGTCTTCAATGATATGATGCCCTCAACAAGGCCCGAAGAATCAAAACTAAACAAATAGACTACATCAAACTAAAAGCATGTCTGTATGGCAAAAGAAACACAGGAAAAAACTAAATAACAGCTAACTTATTAGGAGAAAATATTTGCACTAAATATATTAGATAAAGAGTTGATATCCAGGTTCTATAAAAAATAAAGATAAAACCAAACCAAACTGAAAGCCCCATCAAAAAAGGTGGGAAAGGAAATGAATGAACACTTCTCTGGAGAAGACCAGTGATGGTCAACAGGCACATGAAAGAATGCTCATCAACACTTATTATTAGGTAAATCAAAAAAAGACAACAATGAGATATTATTATCTGTCACCGGTAAGAATGGCACATGTCAAAAATACTGGGATAAATCTCTATTGGTGGGAATATGGTGAAGAAGCAACCCTCATTCAATGCTGGTGGGAACGCTATATGGTAAAACCTCTGTGGAAAACAGTGTGAAGAGTACTCAGTAAACTAGGAATTGAACTCCCATTAATTCCACTTTTGTGTATCTATCCCCAGAATAGGAAAACATTCATTCAAAAGAATATGTGCAAACCATTATTTCTTGCTGCACTCAGTACAATAGCTAAGATTTGGAATCAACCTGATGTTCAATGATAGACAAGCAGATCATGAAGATATTGTACATATACCAAATGGAATACTACACAGCTGTAAGGAATGATGAAATCATGCAATTCATGTCAACATGGATGGAACTGGAAGATATCATGTTAAAATGAAGTCAGCCAGAAGAAGAAGGCTAAACAAAGGATGATATCACTTATATATGGATGAGGAAATGAAATATTTTAAAGTGGGATGTCCTGATCAACCTTGGCCCCAAAGTACAGGGAGGAGAAGGAAAGAAAGAGTGGAGGGGAGGTGCTTATCAAGAGAGTAGGAGAGGTGCTTATCAAGAGAGTAGGAATGGTGGAAAGTGGGGGGAATACTGAAGGAACATGGGAACGTTATTGGAACAAAGTTGGCACGGGTGGTGGTGCTACAAAACTGTATGTCTAAAATTCAACTATGAATAGCTTTGTAAATAACGGTTCTTTAATTTATAAAGTGTAAAAAAAAATAATTAGTTTTTTAAAAAGTACAAGACAGTGCAATCACACTATTATATTTGCATAATGGGGGAAAAAGTCCCCTGACAATGCTTTCCTCAGAATATAGTCCTATTGGTAAGAGAGGCATGAATGTTATTTGACCCCTGTAGTCTGAATAAGAGCTATCTTCACCAAGAAGGCCTTACCTTTGGGCAGAAGTGTGGTCAACTCTTTGCTGCCAGTTGTCTCTAGGAACAAAACACATTAGAGTATGTCTAACCCAATGACTTGGAAGAATGCTAGAAGGTACAAAACTTGACATGTGAATAGCTCACTGATTCCATACCAATATGATTATCAACCCCACAGCCTTCGTGGGACCCCATTCTTCCTACCTGGAGGCTGAAGCAGACAAAGAGAGGTGTCCAGAAGATTCAGGGAAGCATTGACGTTGGACTGAGCCAAGCACTCTATGGCAGCCTTGTCACAGGAACAGAGCAAACGTTCACAAGGGTCCTTGGATTCTGCACAGAATCAGGCCAGAACAGGTTGGAAGAACTCACTTGGAGGTAATGCAAACTCTACAATCCTGCCCCCACCTCTGGCAGGCTTCTTTATTCCAATCCTGTCAGATCTATCTTTTCTATCTTTTCCAATCCTGTCAGATCTATCTTTTCTTTTCGGAACTATCTATTTACCCAGCATAGGAGACACACCCACTGCTTTTCTTCCCATCCAACCCATCAGGCCACCTGCTTGGCTCTACAACTCCTCCTCATACTATGTTAAAATCTTACTGTGTCTTCCTATCTCTTCTTCACTCCAGAGCAAAGTCCCATTCACCTTCACCCCATCATCTTTTCACTACTAATGCCAGGGTTCTCCTGACCAAACTTCTTGTTTCTCACTCTATTCTCATCGAAGAACCAGAATAATCCTTCTAAAATTAAGATAATTCGTGTCTTTTTGTCTGTCCAGAATATTCCTACAACTTCCTAATTTAGTAAAATCTTGATGCCCTACACCCCATTCCCTCTCAGATCTCTTCCTCTTCATTTCTCTCTCATCACCTCATCTCTGACTCATTGCTTCCCATTCACCAGCACTCTAAGCTCCACGAGCCTTGTGCTGTGTCCTCTACTACCTAGACAAGTCTTCAACTGAGCCTTGAGCTCCCTTCTCAATTTAGTGCTTGCTTCACTGTCATCTTTTCTTAGAAGTTCTTCCTGACCTTCCCCCACAAGTCCCCTTTTGTCTTTTCTTTGCTCAATTTTCCTCTAGTTTTTGACCTTAACTAACTTACAACATCATTTGTTTTTAATAGACTCATTGTCTGACAACCGTGAGGAAATTTCAGAAAGCTAGGATAGATCCGATCCCGGATGATCATCTTATACCTATTATGTCTTTGTTGAGTGAATGAAAGAGTTAGTAGAATTTACTGAGTTCACCATGTATCTCTCCTAGTGACTTATACACTTTATTCTATTTTACAGGGCATAAATCTACACATTTCAGAGAGTTTGGCTCAATTATTTGGCAGCTAATATGACTTTAGGCAAGTTTCTCAATCTCTGAGTTTCCCTCTCCTTCTTTGAAAACTTTTATTAAAGACCATCATCTTATAGGGGTTGTTAAGAAGTACAGAGTTTCTGTGGATCAAATGTATGGTACAAGTATGCATTCATAAAGGATAACTCCTTTATCCCTGAATACCATGTTCCTCTTTCCACTGTGACATTGTATAATTTGAGCCTTCTCAGAGACACCGGATGAAAGTCCTGGAGTAATGTAATGGGCAAGCCGGTGAACTGAGATTTGAAACTACATATATTTGATTCTGATAAACAGCAACAATCACACATGTAGCACTCTGTATCTATCTCCACTTCCATCATTGTAGTCTTAGTCAATTTCATTCATTAGGGGAATCATAATCTCTGAAGCAGAATTTATTCTACCTTTGGTGTTCTGAAAAAGTAATCACTTTAATGTCACAAAATGCATAACTAGCAAACCATTTGCCCTTATTAAATTCTAGTCATTGCTACAAGTTAAAAAAACAGATCAAATAATGTGCTGGTCAACTATTATTTCAATATAAAATAGTAGTCTAGAAGTTCAGAGATGCGGGTTCATTTCTTGATCCTCAATCCGCTACAAAACATCAATGCTGCCTGTGTAGGGTTCTCTTATTGAATGAAGCTTCCCATGGCGATGGTGAATCCTAGAAGTTCTCAGTCTGAATTGAGAACTGCTGACTGTCATTTCTCAGCAGTCTGCAGGACATTGGGAAAGACTCACCACATGTGATAATCTTGCTGATGCAGTTGACATTTGTGCGGAGCTTGGTGGACTCTTGGAGACAATCCATCTCAGCAGCCTCCTCATAACACTTGCGGTGCTGGAAGCAGCAGCTGTGCAGGATGTGGAAGAGTCAGGGTGAGGAGTAAGCTTAGAAGAGAGGCCGGCAGTCTGTGATTATTCTATGTCTCTGAAGAGTTTCTGTCAGTGGTCTGATTATAATACCTGGCATGCATGTCATATTTGAATCATTTATGTATGCAGCAGTGTCATTATTATCATGAGAGTTTACATTTGTGGAGGCACACACATAAGGCTGTATAACTCATCAAGTTTTAGGTTGACACTAAATGTCATTTATCAAACCAAGTAACTGATGGATTTAGGTAAGCTATTAGATTTCATATACTATCTAACTCATACTTTGGGGGATTCAACTAAAGATCTGTATAGATCCTCCTAAAAGGTAGACACTCAATACATGCTAGCAATTATTCTAGAGATATAGCTGTGCAAACTCAAGATGAAAGTCATGTGTTCTCCGAAAGTCTAAAAATTCACAGTCCCATGTGCTGAACTGTGTAAAAAAGTGAAGTAGGTTTGGTGTGCCCAAACATTCAGCTAGAGGTGTTCCAATAATTCCTTTTGGATTGGAAGCAATGAAGAACTACCATGGTGTTTCTTTGACTTCTAGATTTACAAGGTGTTTTAATAATAAAAGGAAGTAGTTAGGGAGTATGAGAAAAAAAAATACTTTCCAAGAACTGATACTGGAACATGTATAGAACTAGCTTTTTCTTTTCTGAATGTCGATGATTTGGTTCCTGGTCTGAGAAATGGAAAACTTCTCATTTGGTCCATAGACAGTTACAAATTTTACTTAGGATATCTGGAGATAACATCCATTTGTTGTGTAATTCCAAAGCTATTATTCCTTGAATATCAAGGAAAGTAACCTATTAATTAGTTAATTTGTAATCACTAAAAAGCAAATGGAGGTTGGTCACCTCCATTTGGCCAATGAGTTCATTTTTTAGTTCCTATATGTTCCAGGTGGCAGAGTTTCCTGCACCCGTGCTTGGCTGTCTTCACTGGGGCCCGTCGGAGGGGTTAGGTTGAGTTTCCCTCCCTGCCCTGAGCAGAGCCCCTGCCGCTGAAGACCCCTGGAACCCAGCCACAGCCATACTCAAGGCTACTCTCCACATGTTCGTAAAGCCTCATGCATGAAGGAACCAGCAGAGGAACCCAGGTGTGCGGGATGCAGGACTGAGATCTCCAAGCCTGCTCCGATCAGGACTGGGCCTCCTTCACCCAGATCCCTCATCTTCCAGTAGCTTAGCAGTCACACCCACAAACTGCTCCCAGCACCATGCAATCCCATCAACAGCCAAGATCCAGAGACTATAAAACAAAGTTCCCAGAAGCATGCAGCCGCATTCACGGCTGCGTGACCTCTTATAGTCCAGTTCTCCCTCTCGGAGAACCCAGCAAGCTACCAAGAGTATCCTGACCGCACAACAGAGTCTGGCCAGCTCCCTGTGGCATATTTGATATGCCAAAAACAGTTAAATAATGCGTCACATTTCCCTGACCCTGAAAGAGCCTTCAATGCGGCACTGTTGGGAAGGACTAGTAAAGAGAGGCTGCTAAAATCTCAAGGCTAGAACGAATGGAGACATTACTGATGCCCTCTGGAGGAAATCGATGAACAATGGGATGACAGTGATACAGGGATGTTCCAGGTGGTGTGGGCAACCCTGGTTCGTAATGGGAAAGAAAGAAATGATATGGTGCAGAACTTCCCTGGGGGTACTCAATAGGGATTTTGTGTCTAATGCTTTATTAGAGGCCTTATTTATTTGGTACCCTAATTTTCAATAGATGTTGACTGGATTAGCATGACCCTTATTTCTTAGGTTCTTAATCAATGATAGCTCATTGGTCCGTGGTGCATATTTCTCAGGTGCTGAACCTGACTTTGACTCCCTCAACACTGGGAGCTCAACACCCCTCCCTCAACACTGGGAGCTAAATAGACTTAAGAATCCCCTGACCACCTCAAGGTGAGAGGCTGGAGGCCCCAAGAGCACTAGAGCACTCTAGAGGTGGCCTGGTGGTCCCCAGAACCATAAAGCCTGAACAGCTCAGCATTTGGGGGTGGAAAAAGCAAACACTGTGTTTCAAATCCCTGAAGTCAGGCTGGAAAGGCAAACAAGGGTTTAGACATTTGCCTGGCATGTCACCAGCTGCAGTTTATTCCCAGGCACCACATATGCTCCCCGGAGAGTGCTCCCAAGCACAGAGCCAGGAGTACCACCTAAGCAAGGTGGGAGTGTACCCAACACCAAACACCTAAAAAAAACTCAAATAGACACAGTGGATTTCAGTACAAGGAGTAATACTAGATATAGTTAAGTTGGCATGTTGGAAAATGACCAATTAATGGAGACAGCAATTTGAATATAAATTTTTTTAAATATTTATTGTTAAATTTTATTTCAGCCACTGTTTGATCCTGCACAGCAGAGTCTGGCAAACTTCCCATGTCGTACTCAATATGCCAAATACCAGTAACAATGATGGGTCTCATTTTCCTAACCCTGAAAGAGCCTTGCATATGGCTCTTTTAAAATCTCAGGGCTGGGAAGAAGGAGACGTTACTGGTGCCTGCTCGAGGCAATCGACGAACAACAGGATGATCGTGATCATGAGTGTGTCTTGAATCTGCCACAGACTGTCTCATGTGACAGGTTCAAGATAGGAAAGTAATTGTTTGGGGAGCATGGAAGTTGTCCTGGCAATTACACGGTGAGGCATTTAAAGAGAGAGCTTTCATAAAGAAATGCTGTGCAGCAGTAATGTCCCCCATATTACAGAATGGAATCCTTTTCTCTCTCTTTCATGGATCTTTAAAAGCACATTCCTTCAAGTTGAATCTAGGCATGGGTTTAATCTTCGCTCAGTTTCCTGCTTTCATATCATTGCTTCTGCTGCTCCTGTCTAGCAGTCATAGTTGTAGCAGTATTGATACTCTAACTGCTATTATACAGTTATACAACTGTTACCATTAAAACTACTACAATTATTAATTCTACTGTTACTATTATCACAACCACCACTGTAACTGCTACTGTTGCACTACCATGGCACCCCCAACATGACAAAAAACTACTGCTCTATTCATGTAACTATGACTACTAACACTGCTACCCTTACTAGAGTCATACTCTACTATTGATAGCAATGGTGTGACCAATGACTAATACTCTTGAATACTTAATAATCCATACAGTATTCATAACTTAAATTGGGTCATTTAATTAAAAAACATTTATGAATCAGAGAGTATTATAACCTCCATTTTATAGATGAAGAAAGAAAGTGTAAAGTAAAGCATGCAATATAAGTTCCCCAATAACCTGAAAGCCCCAAGTCCATCTGGAGCTGAGAATTAGAATGACTGTGTCATAGATTATATGCCACAACTCTAAGACACATCAAAAAATGTTTCTCCCTGATACTACTATTGATAACTGTTTGTCATATTCTTATATATAAATTGATGCTTCTAGGTCTTTAATGCCAATCTGGCAAGTAGAAGTTGGTGTCTTTTTTAACTTGCACTTCTATTTGAGGTATAACCTTTGTATCAATCAACTTGAAATTTCTATAAATTCTGCATTTGACATTTGTCCTTTTGGGCAGAAATTGTATTTTGTTTATATGAAGCACATTGCTCATAAGAGTACTGGTATTTGGTGCACATTTGTTGAAAATTGGACAGAAATGGCTGTCGTTGCTTGACCTCTGTGTGGTCAGGACTCTTTCAAATTAAAAATAATTCTCAAATGTTTTTATGCTTAAGAGTCACCTGGGAAGGTCTATTAAAAATATATTGTAGGTTTTTTACCTAATAGTAATTGAAGTCAATAAGTCTAGAGTGGGTTCCAGGAACTTCTATTTTATAAACATCTAAGTTGTTCTGGTACAACATGGTTTTGGACAGAAACCTTGAGAACCACTAGAGTGAAATTGCCTGTGGGACAGAGAGGATCTTGAGAACATCCTAAAAAACATCACAGATTACATAGCAAATTAAAGGTGAGGAAAACATTAACCTCACCGCTTAATAAAAATAAGATACCTTTGACATAACAGTCCAGGAAACTCAGTGTCTGTGCCCTACACAAGTATCAGGAGGGACTCACCTGTCAGTCTCATCCACAGGCAGCCCTTCCATCTCAAACCTGCAGGCACAGCCGTAGTCCTCGAAGTCTCTGGGGCAGAGACCAGCCACACACCTCATACCATTCACAAACTGCAGCAGCACAGGAAAGTTGGTGAAGACAGCCTGCAGCCAGGTGAAGTGGGAACCCAGGCAGTCTAAAGGAAGGGAAGGCAGGTGGACAGTGGGAGCCCCAGCTAAAGTAGCTTTCATTCCTGAGACTTTAGACTTGGAGCTGATGCTCCCTCCTCAACCTGCTGTACACTCAGAACTGCCCTCAGTAATTGAAAGGAGTCAACTTTATAAGTCATGGTCACTTATGTGATTACCCAATTCGTGAATGGTCTTGTTGTGGTCTTTTTCCTTACCAACAAAACAGAAACATACCCAGGGCAAAGTGAACCTTCTCCACAAGTCCTGGGGATGTTCCAGATTCCTTTTCAGCTGGTCAAGATAACTCTATCTTTCTATGACAGTGGTTGGTCTAGGGCCAAGCCTCACAAAAACAACTGATCCTTCCTTTGAAGCTTTTGGGAAATTATTTTTTCTAATAAAAAGCATGTCAGAGATCCCTTTGATCCCTGTACTTTTCTCCTTCTTTGAATGTAGATGAGGATGTGCTGACTGTAACTGCAGTGAGATTCTCTTAACTGTGATAACCTCAAGTCTAAATCTGAAAACCAAGTGTAGCAGTGGAGAGAAATAGAATGAAACTGCCTGTGTTGAGTTACTGTATCCATCCTGATGCCTTTAGATGTCTGATATGAGATAATGAATAACTACTATTTTAAAGTCACTATTAGTTTTCTGAAGGAATCCCAGCTAATACAGTCCTAGAATTTGAGAACCATAGACTGGTACAGGAAAGGGTTCAAACCCTTACAATTTTGGAATACTTATTGTATAACAGAACTTGTCATCTTAAGTGGACAAATGTTACAATGACAGAATGAGATAGGCTTTAGAAAGCATTCACTTGGTCTATTATCCCATAAAACTCATGTTCACTTTGCAAGGCTGGTGATAGTCACCTTAGTTCTAGAAATTGAAGTGAAGAGACATGACCAGACTATCAAACAGTGATTTGTACTACACAAAATGCTCTTGAACCAAAAAATTGTCAGGAAAACAATGGTCAGTTTTTCCCTCACCCCTTTAACTCTCTGCCTTTCTAAATGCAGAACCGATTCTCAGAGCACTCACTTAAACATAGAAGATCAGAGGAGGGAACTGAAGGAGGTTAAAAGTTGCTTTTAAGAAATAATTCTGCCAACTGTTCTAAACTTAATTTAAACTTCTTTTCCAATAAAGTTCCCCTTTCCTTGTCTTCATGAGCCATAGTCATAAAATGAAGAATGATTTCTATGCAAAAGAAAGGGTCACTCAAAGAACAGTGTCTGTACTTATATGAACATGTGTTTTTTCATTCAGGAACTTATATTATACTTAGTCATAGATATTTTAGAGAAGTCTCTCAGTTCATTGGTATCTAACTCCTGCTTAACTGAAAACTTTAAGGGGCTGAAGTGATAGTATAGCAAGTATGGTGCTTGCACAGTTAATCTCTATTTAATCCCTGGTATCTCATACTGTTACCTGAACACCACTGCCAGGAGTAACTTCTGAGTGCAGAACCTGAAGTAACTCCTGAGCACTGCTGGGTGTGGCTCCAAAATAAACAAAAAACCTGAGGGAATTAAGTGACTTCTTCAGCTCATTGGTATCTATCCAGTGGAAGTTCAGAGTTTTCTTGCTCATGTCAATCATATTACACTCTTATTTTTAGGGGGAGGGGCTATTCTTTCTAATTTATGACAGAAATCATAATGTCCTACTGTTAATAGTCACATAATTGTGTAGTTGGTAAGTGAAATTTTGACACCCTCCAAAACGCATAATCTTTGTATATATTGATTTATCATGGGAATCTATAAAACAATGTGGTATAAGGGAACTAATTTATGAACTCCAGTGAGAGCTCCTCCCCTTTGACTGTGTAGGCTTAGGCAAGTCACTTTACTCCCTCAGGCTGTTTCTTCACCTATAAAATGGGACTGTTAGTTTTTGCCAGAGTGTAGTCAAAACTTAGAAAGTGAAGACTGTAAAGACCCTTGATAACTCAATAACTCACCCTGAAATAAAATTCACCTGTACTCTGGTTAGAACCCAGATCACAAGTTTTTGGAACTTGCTAGGGGAGATCGCATAAGTCCAAGGGCTAGAGATCAAGATCCTGATAATTCTTTAGATTTCTCACATATGCCCCAGGCCCTGACAACTGGTGAGAAAAACAATTTTAGATTTTACTTACCAAAAATTTCAGCCACACTTTCCACATTTTTAAACACCCCATTGAAGAACGTGACATCTAAATGGAGAAAGCAAAAAAGTTAGCATACAGTCTCCCTTCTTCCTTTCAGTTCATTGCCTGGGTAAAGTGTAAGTTCAACCCTCTCTCTAAAGACAGGTTTGATCTTGGGATAATGTTCTTATAATACTAGTTTCCGATTCAATGATAGGGGCGCTGTTTACTGTGCAAATTTGTTCATGTTTTTGAAAGACCCTAGGAGCCAGATGCTCAAAAACAGTAGAGCACAAGTCTACTGTTGGGAGACCCTGAATTACATTCCTGGTCCTGCATGCCCTTATTTCTGGACAGCACTACCAGGTGTCACTGTTGGATTTCAAATACCCTTGAATGCAAGCACTTAATCATCAGCCTTTCATTTCTAGGAGTATAACCTGAGACCACTCCCCCAATCCCAACAGCTGAATGTGCTCCCCTGTCCCCCCAAAACAAAGAACTCATGAATAATCTAGTATCTGGAACTGCAAGGTATATTTTAAATATTTAATGAAAGTGATTATTTTGGGTCTCCCTAGTGTGAAGAATCTTGCAATTTGGCATATCCTTCTGGTGTTCCTTATGATTTGCCCTTTCAGCTGACCTTTGTCTTGTGATGGGCAATTTCAGTATATTGTCTCAAAGCATAGGCCAATGGGGAGCTAGACATCAGAGGAGACTAAACAAGAGACCTTTGAGTCTCACTTGAGTCCATAACCTGAAAATGTGAGAGCAATGCATCTTGAGTGTTTACAGAAAAGGAACATTCTCTGCCAATCTCTTGATAATTCATGTATGCCTCCTAAAAAAGTTTTTAAAAAGTCCTTACTGATATCTTTTGAGAATCCTGGTGACAGCTCCCTTGGCAGTTGTGGGGTGTCCAGAGTGTGACCCCCTATAATTGAGGAAGAGAGAAGAGTTAGGATAAAAACCACTGTTAGTACTTGCTAGGCTGATGGTGTATGCTGAGAGGTGGTAACTAGGGAGGCAACTTGGTGGATGAAACTCAATTTTGTGCATACTTTTCTAGTACCTGCTTTGTTCCAAATCTCTGTGGCAGCTGTTAAAGGAAGATTAGAGTAGCCCACTGTTTTATATATTGTCTAACCATAATTGGGGGGAAGCATAATGATATGATTTTGATAGGGAAACAATTGGTCAAGAAAATAAGTTATAACATTTGTAAAATGAGTTTTGCTAAGTGACATTTCACTTAAAAGAAAACAAAATCAGAAAGTGACTGGAAAACAGAATATTCCATAACTGTGTCAGCAAAACTGAGGGAAGTCAATGTCACAACTAGGCTTTGATCAGTGGAGTTGAGGTCCTGTATTTGAGCAGATGACAGACTTTGGTTTCACTACCAATAAGGACCACAGTCACTGAAAGCATTTCATAAATTAAAAAAAAAAACCTACAAATGAAAGAAATAAGCAGTAAAAATCCAGTAATGACCCATTAATTCATGCCCTGAGGGAAAGTGGTGTTTCAAAGGACGTGAACTGCAAGAAAGACTGAATCTTAGGGAATCTTAGGTTGTACTTAATTACTTCAGACAAGCTTCTGGGTGACATCTAAAAGTGCTTTATTATTTACTAACTCAGTTCATAGTCAAGATAAATAGATAAATTATCAGTAATGCTTATGGATTCACTCTGCCTTGTACTCACTATTCTACTGGAAGGGAACTAGATGTGAGAAAGGATGTCAATGTCTTGGTCCATATTTTAAGTGTGAGAAAATTGCTTTGATAAATCAGTTTATTGGTCACTACAGTCCCCTATCAGAAAGAGAAGAAGTTTAATGTGGTTTTATGAAAGCTGAACATATAATCAAATTTAAAAGAAAACAGGAAGTATCCAGAAGTTTCAGCTTCATAACCAAAACTCCAGGTGAACTTGAAATTACTACCCCTGATTTGGAAGAGGTTGCTTAGATCACATATAGCTTTGAGGGATATGGATTAGGAATAGAAATATTTGCCCTTCTCATTGGACACTCCCGCAAAAGAGGAAAGAGAACTTCTGAAGGTCATGATAGCCAGTGCATTCCATGGAAATGAACAGAACAAGATGTACTGGCCCATGATCAAAGATCTCTTTGTAAAGAGAAGATTGCTCGCTGACCATCTTGCCCCTTGATATTTCTACTTAACCTCCTCTCTTATATAGCACAATTTCAGACACTATACAGTTGTGCCACAAAATATCAATTAAGGGTAATTTAGAGCATATTGCTAATGGTTCATTTCTATCCTTACTTAAGTAAGAGAATGAGTATCAAATAAGCAAATCAGATAACATTTAACACTATATTCTCTGGTTCAAAGTAATTATAGACTATGCCAGAAATACAACGTAAAATACCCTTACTTACCAGCATGTGGGGCAGTCAGGATACTTAGGAAGAAAAGGGCAATCATAGCAGGAGAACAAAGGATGGGGCAATCCGGTTCACTGGAACAGCTTTCTGGGAGAGAATGGTGGAAAGTAATAAGTCTTCTTTCAGCTAAGTCATGATTTAAGAAACCATTGAGCACTTTGTTCCATAAGGACATGTGGTAAAAGACAAAGCCCTGAAAAGGTTTCTGTCACTAATTAACATTATGGCATTAAGGAGAATGTGTCTTTGAAACTCTTTTATGCATCTTAAGGCAGAAACTAAGATTCTTGAGGACATTTTTTTGGGTATCATTTATGCATTCATTTATTTTATAGTCATTGATTTGGTGTTAGATATCTGATAAATGACCATAAATATTGTAAGACTCCAAGAATGTAAAGTGAGGCAAACCCACCAAATACTTTCTGGCAGACTAGAAGAGAGGCAATTTAACAACTCCAATCTGTTTACTCTAGTTAATTGCATTTTAAATAACACATACTTTGTAACACACCAGCATTCCCTTTGTACCAACATACTTAACATATAACTATGTTTGACAATGGCTTGATGGTGCTGCCAGTTAGTAACCAATGCTTTTCCTGCTGTGGCTCCATTTTTTTCTCCCTTTTTGGCTTTTTAGCAAGTTGAATACTTTGCAATCCTATGAGCTGAAAAGAGATAGTTTAGGGGCCAACGCCAGAAGAAGCAAGGAAGGATATGGTTAGTCCAGTGCTCTGATCCTGAAATCCTTAGCTTTAAAGGCACCAACTATATTGAAGCAGTAAATCAAGTTGGGAAGAAGAAAAAAATAAATTACAGAGAGATTTAGAAAACTTTTAGCTAACTGGAAATATAATACACTAAAAACCATTAGATGGGTGGTTTATTCTGTTTCAGTATTTTTTAGGACATATTAAAATGCAATCCAGTGTCATTGTGGTGTTCCCAATGGCACAGTGGCACCCCTGTGAGTGTGTACATGTTATATATTCGGCAAACATTTTTTACTGAGGTGGTAAGATGGGGCCAAAACATATTCAGTGTTATACCTGTGGATTGGTGGAAGGTTCCCCCCCAAAAGAAAATACGTTGGACTATTAGAGTACTCTAATAGCAATAGCACAGCAGGCAGCATAGCAGGCTGTGCTATTGCTATTAGAGTACTCTAATAGTCCTTGGATCTTTGCCTTGCACGCAGCCGACCCGCGTTTGATTCCTCTGCCCCTCTCGGAGAGCCTAGCAAGCTACCGAGAGTATCCTGCCCACACAGCAGAGTCTGGCAAGCTCCCCATGGTGTATTAGATATGCCAAAAACAGTAACAACAAATCTCACAATGGAGACATTACTGGTACTTGTTCAAGCAAATCGATGAACAATGGGAGAACAGTGCTACAGTGCTAGTAGAGTACTCCATGAACCTGCTGTTCTTTGGAGGTTCTAAACAGCTCATTGTCAAGGACTTAGATCGAGACAGGAAGTGAAGAGTGATCTCCAGATCTCCTATGTAATCTCCAGATAGACATGGCATGCCCTGGAAACTTAAGGAAGCACCAAAGGCATTTCCGAGGTCTCTATTACTAACTTTTTTATTACTGACTTTTAAAAGTCAGTCTCTATTACTGACTTTTACTAACACAGGGCTCACTTTTCAAGTGAAACTCTGTGGGTCACAAAGGTCCAGGAATTGCCAAGGCTGCCTTTGTTAAAAGACATCACTAATAAAATTAATAAAAATTAAAAAAATAATAATTGTAGTGAAAGCATGTGATAAACTTCAATACCCATTCATAATTAAAATAACTAATAAAATGGGAATATATGGAAAAAATAAAAAATAAATAGTTGAAGGAAAAAACAAAACAAAACAAGACACCATTAGTGGTCATCATGGCAACCTCAGGCAATCCTGCAGGAAACAGTGAGACCAGCTGGTTCATCTTAGGTCTTTGTTCCATGTGTCTTACACTAAACTGCCATGTAGATCATTATATCCAAAGCAAGCAACACAGCAACTATATAATGATGGTTATTTGGGCTCAAACTTTTGGGGGGAGGCTCTTGGGAATGGTTAATCCCTTACTAGGATGCCAGTGTTAGGGCAGTTGACTATCACCAGTTAAGAACCAAGAAAAAGGAAATCCAGTGTTGCCCAGTGAGTGGCAGCATATGTTCAGGCCTGAGAAATGGTGAGGGAGACCCAAATCTCTGAACATGAACATCAGGGATCAGGGGGAATAGTATAAGGCTGAGACAGAGGCAGCATCCTATTGGTCATGCCAGGTGACCTTGGGTGTGGAGCTGCTACAACCTGAAGGAGTTACCGCCCTTTCCTAATTTTCCCAGGAAAGCCTCGGGCTTGGAAGCCTCGAGAGGCCCTGGAGGAACGGTGCTCTGACTTCTCTTTGGAGTCTGGCTTCATCAGGACTATGCTGACTACCAATTCTACTCAATGTAGGAATTATATCTAGGTTTCTCTACCACTCTGCCTTGGGAAGAATTTGGATTGGGTGTAGTCTTTCACTTCTTGAGCTAAGCACTAAAGTTGAGTGTAACTCTGGTCAGTGAAATAATGGTGATTCCTCATTGAGTGTCATGAGAATTCAATGGGATAAGGCTTGAAAAGGTGAGCATCATGACTGGCAGGTACTTAGTGCTCGAGAAGGCTATCCCAAAATAATAATTATTATATTTCCATGCCAGCTAGAAATGTACTTCTTTGATATTCTATGTAATAACAGGGAGAATTAGTGACACCTTGCCCCCAGGGCTGCAGGACCCTCATGGATACTGGAGGTGAATTTTTCCCCAGGCAAATTTACCTAGTGTTGTTTCTCTATCATAGCATCCCTTCATACAAGAGCTCAGATTACTTTTGGCTTCTAGCTATGTCCTCAAATTGTGTCTGGGTCTTGGACTCCCCTCTTGAAAGCATCCTCCTTTTCTCTCCTTCTCTTCCTTTATCCCTATCTCCCTCCATATATCCACCTTTTCCTTTGTCCCTGTTTCCTGTGCTCATTCTCTCCCATTCTTCTCTTTATCCATTCCCTCATAACCATTTTCCCTTCTTCCCAATACACTCCCTCCTGCTGGCTCCCCACCATCAGGAAAAGGAGCACCTACCGTGGTGGTCCCACTTCAAAGCAGGTGGATGGATGCAGCTCGGCTTTGAACGAGATGGAGAATGTGTTTTTATACCCTGGGGAGAGACCCTTGGTCACATGTTCTTCCTCCCCCTCTCCTCAAAAGTTCAGTCTTTTACAAAGGCTGTTGGGGGTGGGGGTCTGCCTCTGAAGGGGAGGAGGCAGCCTCATGCTATGGTTTGATGAGGGGAAGACCCCATATGAAGAGGCTCTACCTTGAGCTTCAAAAGCGACCCAGGCTTTAATTAGAGAACAATGACTTCTCTATTCCATGACCACCAAGTCACCTCAGATACTCAGAGGCCCAGGAATTATGTCTCAGGTCATGGGGTGGAGAGTGGGAGTTGCTCTGGGGATGAAAGACTGATGAAAGCGGGGGAAGGGGGCTCCCACAAGGGAAAAAGGACTGGCTTTGTCTGGTCCAATTAGTTCTTTAGCAAGGGAATTTCTAGAGTACCCTTCTTATAGGTATCTGTCCTCAGGTCTTGGAATCTGATACCTCTTTGCTTTATGGGCTTCCACCCAAGCTGTGAGGTAGCCTTGCTTGAATATCAGATATCCTAGACCCTGGTACCAGGCCAGCAGACTCATCAGCAAGGAGACCTGGAGCCTATCACTGTTCCACCATGGCTCCTACATACACACATAGAGGATAATACCTGGACTGTGAGTGAGCCCAGTTAAGGGTGTGGTATGGCAGCAGAGGCTCCTCATATCCTTATAGTTTTACTTTACTTTATTTGCCCCTGATGATTTGTTTCTTGTGCATTATTATTATTATTATTATTATTTTGATTTTTGGATCACACCCGGCGATACACAAGGGTTACTCCTGGCTCTGCACTCAGGAATTATTCCTGGCGGTGCTTGGGGGGCCATATGGGATGCTGGGAATCAAACCCGGGTCAGCCACGTGCCAGGCAAATGCCCTACCCACTGTGCTATCGCTCCAGCCCCGCCTGTGCATATTTTAGCCAGCAGAATTAACATTTATTGAAGCCTGTGAGGTACCACAAAGGATTTCATAGGATTTTGTGCCTTTCTTCATGGCTGCTCTTGCCAGAATGCAGGATGGAGCATGACTTCATTTTACAGATGAGACAAATAATATCATGAGATTGAGACATTTTCCTAATCTAATGTGGAGTGTGACTGCGGTTGGTTTTCAGCTTAGTCTGTGGGTTTACTTATTTATTACCATGTGACACATCTTGTCAAATGATGGCATCTGGGGAGATCTGAACCTCTACAGAATTCAGGGTAGAGGCTTCTTAAATACATCTGATGCCTGGACGATTTTGTTTACAGATCATTGCTTGTGGTTCAGCATCTCATATGTGTATAGGAATGAAACCCATCTTTTTTCTCTAGTATTAAAATTACTGAGTGAACAGGGATGTGTGATTGTGTGGTCCAGGTGGTAAAAGTTCCCCTTTTGCAAATCTCCAGAGCACAACTCCTGCTTAATGCTAAGGCACCCAGAAAAACCTCTGAAGTATATTTCTGGTCCTATCATGGTTACTAAAATAAGATTAATTTTCTTCTCAAAGTCTACAGCTGGATATCTCAACCTTACTACTATAGATATTTGGGGCTAAATGTTTCCCCCCCCCTCCACCATTTGCCTTCTTCTTTGTAGTTTTTGTTGATGATCTTGTTGTAATAGCTGGGAGTCACTCACACTCTTGGCTGTGGTCCTAGCACATTTAGTCGCAATCATTGTTAGGGGTCATGCATTAGGTTGTTCTGCTTGCACACCTAAAAAATAGCTTTTCATTGTGAGGAATGTCCTATGCATTACAGGGTATTTATCAGCAGCTACTTCTTCAAGCAGCAGGGCCAAATAGCCGCCCCCTCTCCATTACTGCAATAAACAAAATTCTAGGCATTATCTCATGTCCCTAGAGGGGGTTCATATCTCCCGGACTGAGAAACACTGGTTTATATTATCCCTGGAACTTTGGACTTTTCCTTCTATGTTGTTAGAATAGGAAGAGGTAATGTTTCCTGAGAACTTAGGCATAATCGGGGGAAAGGAGGGATTGTGTGAAAGTTTAAAATTACAGGTTATATTATGATAACACTAGGTTCCCTAACACACACAGACCCACAACACAAAAGTAAGTCACATGCACACACCAGCTCATGGAAGTGAACGATGGGACTAGAAATATAAACACAAAGTCCTTCCCCCAAACATTATCTCCCACTCTTGTCTTTGTCCCCTTTCTCTTCTCCTTCCTGGTATCTCTCTATTTCTCTCCCCCCACCCTTTCATCCTCCCCTCTCTTCTTCCCTTCTCCACCAATTTATCTTGACTTGTATTAAATAGACAGATGCACACTGTGTATTTAAAATCTCAAGAATATCCTTTTTAATAACATCATATGTGTTAGTTGCCTTCATCAGCTAGGAGCAACAACAGTCCTTCTCTTTGACTATGAACAATGGTGGTTACAGAAGCACAAATTAGTAGAAACTCCAGTGTCAGAGTATTCCTGGTCAACTTGGCAAATTAGAGGTTTCTATGCATTTGCCCCAAAACCATAACAGCAGGTATTTATGAGCTTAAAGTTTGCATAGATTTAGGGGGAAGTTTAGGCCACACCCAGCAATGCTCAGAAGTTATCCATCGCTATGGTTGGATAATCTATGTAGAGAAATTGGATGTGACTTTCTTTTGGTTATGGGTTCAGTTTGTTGTCTCCCTAAAGTTCCAAGTTTAAATCTTTCAGGGACTGACAAGGTTTTAGTGCCTATACTGGGCTTTTCATGTTAGTGAACCCCTTCACATCCTCTCATCTCATAAATGCTTCAGATACGACAGCACTTTCACAAACACAGCTATCAGTTCTGTGACATTATAGTAACCTCTGTCATTTGGTCTTCTATGTTCAGTACTGACACAGATTCACAGGAGAGCAAGAAATGACGTTTCCAAACATAATTGCTTTCAGTCTATTGATGATCTAGCCATATTCTGGTGAATTCTGAAAATGCAGCATACTTGGACCAAGAATCAGAGTGATGTCACCCTACTTTTTGTTAGGGTACCATTTCATAACAGGGCCTCAAACAGATTTGCAGATATTCTCAAGGCACTTTTGTTTTAAGGCTGAAAAAGAAAGGAAAGAAAACTGAAGGAACCAAGAAATGTTATGAAAACAGGCCCTATATGGAGTAATCACTAAACTAAAACTTTATTATTATTTCTGCTATACTTAAAGTGGTCACCTGATCAGCACTACTTAGGTCATCTACCTAAGAAACCTTTGTTATTCCCTTGGAGGCTAGAGTGATAGCACAGCGTTAGGGCATTTGCCTTGTGCACAACCAGCTCAGCCTAGCCGGGTTCAATTCCTCCGCCCTCCAGCAAGCTACCTAGAGTATCTCTTCCACATGGCAAAGCCTGGCAAGCGACCTGGAATGTATTTGATATGCCAGACACAGTAACAACAAGTCTCACGATGGAGACATTACTGGGCCCTCTCAAGCAAATCGGTGAACAACAGGAAGACAGTGCAGTGCAGTTCAGTAAAGTTGTTATGAAATAATCAGTAGTCACTTGGCTTTTGATCTAGTATAACTTTCTTGTTCTAACTCCTGTCTGCTACAAATGTCATTTTGTACAGTTTCTCAGTTTCTTTATATCTGCTAGATTGAATGATGTCACTGCCCTATTCAAATGAAATTTCGCCTAAATAAACTTAATATTTTTATATGTCTCTTTTTATCTTTTAGCAGGGGGAAAATTTTTTTAATGTTAATTTAATTTTTTTTTTGCTTTTGGGTCACACCCAGTGATGCACAAGAGTTACTCCTGGTTTTGCACTCAGGAATTACTCCTGGCAGTGCTCAGGGGACCATATGGAGTGCTGGGAATCAAACCCGGGTCGGCCGCATGCAAACACCTTACCCACTGTACTATTGCTCCAGCCCGAGGAAACATTTTAGAGACATAAACTGACTAATGACTTATCATTGGGTCAGTGGATTCCAGATGGCAATTTGTGGCAATGCACTGGATAAGGAGTTATCAGGGTCAATGAGAATTAAAACTACTCTAAACTCGCAATATGTTGCTCAATAATGCAAATATGATTAGTGCAGATATTTAATTACATTATATTGTTATGGCTGGAGCGATAGCACAGCGGTAGAGCATTTGCCTTGCAAGCGGTCAACATGACTGACCTTAGTTTGATTCCTCCACCCCTCTCTGAGAGCCTGGCAAGCGACCAAGAGTATCTCACCCACACCGCAAAGTCTGGCAAGCTACCTGTGACGTATTCAATATGCCAAACACAGTTACAAGAAGTCCCAAAAAATGGAGACGTTACTCGGCCCACTTGAGCAAATCGATGAACAACGGGAGGACAGTGACAGATATTGTTATGTTCAATTATAGGTAGTTTGTAAGATTTTCTATTTAACTTGCTCAACCCATTACAATTTAGAGGAATTTCTATTTTTGATGACTGAACTCTCTGTGACACCACTCCAAATATTTATCCTTTGTGATATGGAATCAACGATAAAAAGAGAAGACAAAAGTGTGTAATATATTTTTGTAAGAAATAGCAAAGCTGTTTTTGAGAGGAGAAGCATAGAGGCAAAGGAAAAACAACAGAGTAGGTCGTGAGAAAGAAAAGGATGTGCAGAAAGACTTTGTAGAGCTATTGAATAATAAATTGAGGGGGAAAACACAGATACTTTGAGATGACGTGTTTTGAAAGTTATAAATAATAGAAAACAATAAAAAGCTATTTATAAGAAATATTTTCATGAAGTCTGTACAATGCCCCTTAGGAGCCACAAGAAAAGATGGTGGTTAACCTGTTGTATAAATGTAAAACATTGCCAAGACTGGGCCAAATAAGTACAAACTTAATTTTGGACTACACTATAAAGGCATTTATACAGAGTTCATAATAATTCCATGATTTGCAGAAGGCCAGAGTGCCTTGGCCAAATAGACTAAGTAGGTAGTACAATAAAATTGAGCAAACTGTAAGTTTTGGCATGAGACAAACTGGATCAACCACTGTTGTCTACAGGAGTGGGAGAAAAAGAAAGATATCTGGTATAAAATAACAAATGGGGTCAAGCAAAGAGGGAAAAACACACTCTCTTCTGGACCCTCTTGCCTTCTTTTTCTTCAATAAGCTGAAAATAATTTGCTTTGTGAAGAATTTGTGTAGCACTGTAGCACTGTTCTGTAGTACTGTCCTCCTGTTGCTCATCAATTTGCTTAAGCAGGCACCAGTAGCGTCTTTATTGTGAGACTTGTTACTGTTTTTGACATATCGAACATGCCACAAGGAGCTTGCCAAGCTCTGCTGTGTGGGTGGGATACTCTCGGTAGCTTGCCAGGTTCTCCAAGAGGGATGGAGAAATTGAACCCAGGTCGGCTGCATGCAAGGCAATCACCCTACCCACTGTGCTATCACTCCAGCCCAGGAATTTGAGTATTTATATAAATTTGTCTGTGATTTAATTGTTTTTTAGGGTTTTTTAAAATAGGGACTCAGAAAGTATAGATACTTGCTGGTGATTGTATTGTAAGCAACTGTGCTAGGTCAGGCTGAATCCAGCCTTTCCCCTCCTAGATCTCGTCTTAGATATTAAACTTTTAAGTAAAGTATAGATAGACATATTATGTACTTTTTGGAATTAGTTATAATTTCATGATACACCCCTGAATTATAATTGCATAATTATAAAAGTGTACCTATAGTCCTCTTGATAAGGAAGCAAAATCATTCAGAGTTCTAGATCCCTGTCCTAAGATGAACCAATTTCTAACTCCCAGCGTGGGAAAGCCATATATACTTACTGCGGGAGTGGGACAACCTTTGGACTTTCTGACAGACATGTGTTGCATTCTTCAGGAACCAGGAATAGTATTCAAGACAGTATCTACAGTTTTAAGTCAGAGTTGAGAACACATGTTACCCTGTGATGGCTATTAAAAGACAAATAGAAGATTTAAAGTCACAATAGTCAGTTATTCACAGAAAAAGATACCTACCTTTATCGTTATATGATGGAGGGAGCTAAAAGGTGAGGATGAGTAGGAAACAACTGAGGCTTTGGAAACAGGAGAACTTATTTTTTAGTTCTAAAATAATTTTTTTGTAAGCTGTATGAGTTCAGGTTGGCAACTTAATCATGGTTTTTTTTGTTTTCATATGTAAACACAATATAGAAATAGAACCTTAGGTTATTGTGACGATGATTCAGTGTGAGGATTATAATAGGGGTTTAACAAATGGTGGTATACACATTTATTAATTGTGTGTGTGTAGGAACCAGTGAGAGCTCAATTTTGTTATAGTTGGCAGTGGAGCACCAACTACATAAAACATTAGTCTGTTGTTGACTATTGGCTTCAGGGACAGCTTCAAAGGACCGCCATGAAAAATACAGTGTTCAGTGTGAATGTCACAGGTTCTGTTGGGACTCTGGGAATTTACTTTCCTTTCAAGCCCACATTGCATACATAAGGAGACTTGCTAAACATTCTCTGATTTCTCTTCTATTCTCATCATTCAATGATTCTGGAAAATTCTGGGTGCTTTAACTGCTCCAAGTGGAGATAAATATTGAGATCTCTGTTCCACAACCCCGAATATTTAGGACACTGTAAAAATAGAAAAAACTGTAACCCAGAGAGGACCTGATTTCCCCAAGAACACACTGCTTTCTGGTGAAAGGATTGATCCAGGTGATTCAGTGACCACGTGATCCACTCCATGCCAGAACACAGTCATCTCAATTAGCAATTATGCCAAAATGAGTCAGGACACAGTTATGAAAACAAGAACCCAGGTATTACTAAAGGACATTAAAAATTTGGAATTACAGTGGCCAGAGAGATAGTTCAGGGGCTTATGAGCATGTTTTGTATGGGGTGAGTCCTGGATTCAACTCTCAGTACCACATGGTACTGAGTATTCTGGAGATTCAGTCTTAGAAGTCTCCAAACCACAAACTAGGGTATAACTCTGGAGGGTGCTGAGCACTACTGGCATATTTAGGTGATCCCCAGCGCTGAAAAAACTAAGCAGCACCACATTCTTGAGCTCGAGCACTGAATTGCTGACCTAGTTAGCCACTGCTGTGGCTCCAGTAACTCCTGAACACAGCTAGAAAACCCGTAAATACATAAATGTAAGAGAAAATATCAGGGGAAATACTGTTCAAAGTAAGAAGAAAAGGAGAAAGCCCCTGGTTCCATCCTTGACTTCTAAATAATCTCCTGCCAATATCTTCCATCGGATAGTCTAGCAGGAAGCTGGCTGGCAAGGTTTTCTGGGATAGGTGGAAGAATGGACCTATCAGCTTCAGTGCCTTCTAGAGAAAGAGCAGGGAGTCGGTCTGAGAGAGGAGTGGAGTAATGAACCAGCAAGGCAGTGTCTGCTGTGGAATATACTCTCCAAGTGAATCTCAAACCACACCAAAAAAAGGATGATGTTAAGTTTGATTAGCCAATGACATAGCCACTAAAGATTTTGTTGTCAAAGATGGTGACGGTGGGAGTCATATTTAGCTGTGAGAATGGATGAGAAATCATTGCACCAACATCCACTACTGTACATGTACCAGAAACTACTGAAGGTGGTTTTATAGGCATCATCATGCAGGAATAATTAGATAAAATATTCCCTTTCCTTTCAATTCACTTTCACATTATAGTAGTAAGGCAAGAAGGATGTCACCCTTCTTTGTTGGTCCTGGGATTGAGTAACATGTGGCCAGTAATTTAGGCAGAATTATATCCACTTCACAGATAAACAAACTGAAGTTCAAAGAATTTTTTTTATTAGCAAGTCCATATAGCTTGCAAAAGGAAGAACCTAAAGTTAAAGCTCATTCTATTTAGTTTCAGCCTCACTTTCCATAGTAGGACATTACTTGTCCACTGTTTAGGAATATTTCTATGACCTAATCCAAATGCTCCTCAAATAGCTTGACAATGTGACTTTTCCTAACAAGAACACTTTTCAAAAATTTTTCATTCACCAAGGATATCAAACTAATCTGGGGATTCTATTTATTCAGAATAAGGAGGGAATGGAAAGATCAGTGAACAGCTAAAACCCTGTGGGAAAAGTCAACACTCATTTACAAGAGGTAACTGGGTGGTAGAAAAATCAGTTTTCTTGCATAGAAAACTGCTTTTTTCACCGCTATAATAAACACCTCAGAGGTTTTTCTTATTTTTGGGTCACACCCAGTGATGCTCAGGGATTACTCCTGGCTCTGCACTACAGGAATTACTCCTGGCAGTGCTGGAGAGACCATATGGGATGCTGAGGATCAAACCCAGGTCAACTGCATGCAAGGCAAATGCCTGACCTGCTGTATTATCACTCCAGCCCCACACCTCAGAGGTCTTAAAGTGTTTTAGGTCACATTCTGCATCGCAGAATTTTGCCTTGTGGTATCTCTCCCATTTTCTACCTGAAAAACGTCTTTTTCCTCCATTAAACCTTACTGGTAATTTCCCCTGGGGTCTCAGAGGACCTGGTACTCAGGGTTTGATAAAGTACTTGTCAATCTATTTTGTATTTAACTCTTTACATGACCAAGTTTTCTACTAAATCCTCTTCTTTGTGCTTCTCTTTTATTTTTTTGTTTGGGGGCCACACCCAGTGGGCCTCAGGTCATACTACTGGCTCTGCACTCAGGGATCACTCCTGGAGGGCTTGGGGAACCATATGGATTGCCATATGCAATGCAAGTTTCTTACTAGCTATATTATCTCTACAGTCCCATTCCCTCATGTTTGTTTTAATAACAGGGCTGTCGTAGTCAACAAATCTGTTAGTAATACCAGATTTTCAATCTGCTACACACCTTATCTTCAAATTTTTCTATATTCAATTTTAAAATGTAATTACAAAAATTTTAGTATTAAGTTAAAATGCAAGGAAAAGAAGGGTAAGGTCATAATTACAATGTCTAATTTCTCTAAATTTAAACTTGAAACACTTTTTTTTCTGGAGACTTCTTCCTTGATATTGATTTTCCCAGGCAATATTTGAAATGTAGATTTTTAAATGTCGTTTTCCTTCCAAATCTATAAGACTATAAGAGTTTGCCTGCATGCATAAATTAGTTCTGTCACATTATATTTTTAATTTGCATGTGTGACCATTTATTCTACCTAGGTAAAAAGGTAAAGGCCTTCCCGTTGTTCATCGATTTGCTCGAGCGGGCCCAGTAACATCTCCATTGGAGATTTTGTTGTTACTGTGTTTGGCATATCAAATATATCACGGGGAGCTTGCCAGGCTCTGCCGTGTGGGCGAGATACTCTCGGTAGCTTGCCGGGCTCTCCAAGAGGGGCGGAGGAATCGAACTCGGGTCGGCCATGTTGACTGCGTGCAAGGCAAACGCCCTACCACTGTGCTATCGCTCTAGCCCTTATTCTACCTAACTCTGAAATTAGCTCAGCATAGCCAATACATAACTGAAGCTCAACATTTGTTTAAGTAAAGAATTCATAAGTAAATTAATCAGAGGTCTGAATGTTTACTGATTCTGCAAGAAAGTACTGTGAAACATTTTCCTTTCCTCAGAATCATACTCTGTCATGGAGATATGTACTTCCTTCTTTGCTAATGCCTTCCTTGCTGGTTTTAGTTCTTTCCTTCTCTGAGTTGAGGGAGCATCACACTATTGAGGAATATGAAACCAATTCCCCAAAGGAGTAATGATAAAAAACTGAAAACCCAGATTTGAGGCTTAGAACCAGTAGATAGTGGATATATGAAAAGCTGAATGATCATTTGTTGACTTTGACAACAACAAATTGAAGATCTGAGACCACTGGAGCAAAAGTACTCATCAGTGTTGGTTGGCTCTGATTTATAGACTATATTAAATTTTAGAAGAAAAGAAAGCATGTGAGCATTCAGGTCAGGAAAATGTCTATGTCTAGACTTAATTAAGAGAAAACTGGGTCTTCCCTCTAATTTTCTTTTCACAACCTTCTCATTTTGCAAGAAAATGATTATTAGCGATTTATGAAAGAAATGGAACTTAAATTGACACATCTTTGATTATTGTCTTCTAGAAAATCTCACCATATTAAGGACATCTGGGTTCAGGATCCATTCCAACTCCTTTTACTAATTACCCTAGATGAGATATCACTCAGTTCAACCCAACTCAATTTCATTCGGTTGCACTCACTGTAGACCTTGCTCTTGCTTCTGGGAATCCAGAATTGAATGAAGTACCAAGTTGGCTTTCAAGAATATAAGGACACATAGAGGGCCTATTGAAGAGTTCATTCCTTAATGAATCCTGTCACCAGTCTGTGGATACAAGATCCACCCCACCTGAATCCTGAATATAAGCCTTGCAAAATAAAAAACATGCAAATACTTTGCAATAAAAAAGTAGTAATTCACCATAGTTACCTCATGGCCTCCATTCTAGTGCTCCCCTTGTGTTTCATGCAGAGGCATTGCTGAAAATAGCGGCACAGTTCCATCAGGCAGGGTTTGAGCTTCTGAATATCCAGGGGAAGGGGGGAGGCTGTGACAGTCCCCTCTTTGAGAAGAGGCCGAGGACACCCTAGAAGAGGTAATTTCAGACCATTAAAATTAACAAGCTTCTAGCAAGTATCTTATTTGTTAGATACTATGCTACGTAAATACAGCCTCATCCCTGAGCTCAGGTCACTCTCAAGCAGACAGATAAACCCAGCGTTGCTTCACAATTGCTTGATTAATCTACTATGGGAGTTCAAGAGATAGATGAAGAAAAGATAGTTATCCAGTTCCTGAAGAAAATCAGAGATGGATTCATAAAGGAGGAAGTATTCAACTGGGACCCCAAACATTTTACCCAAATATTTTGGATGGTGGCATTTCCACTATAAGAGAATAAGGGCTGACTCTGCATTAAGCAAAAGGCTGATGGGAAAATGGAGAATAATTTTGTACCACAAAAAAAGCAGTGTGTGTGTGTGTGTGCGGCGTGTATGTGTGTGCACGCATATATGAGCAGGCACATGTGCACAACTGGGCATACGTGCTTTGTGTATGCATGAATATTGCATATGTATGTGCACACATGGATATATGTGTTTGCTTGTGCTTGTGGGGATTATATGTGTGTGTTTTTGCATGTGTGTGACTGTGTACATATGCAAAGGTATGTGTCACCATAAGGTTACTTGAAGACTAAATTAGATGGTTTATATATAAAACACTGAAAATTTCCTGTCATGGAATAAGCAATATTAAGGCTATGTATATTTTTATTATTAAAATATGTTGCACAGCGACTTTATGATAGACCCTGCTAATAGAAACCAAGAATAAAATAATATATAAGAAGGAATAAAATCTTTCCCTCTGAGTTCACTTTCTATGGACTTGATTAGGAGATTAATAATCTTCCAGCAAAGAATCACTAGTCACTATGATGAAAAATGATTTAAAATCAATAAATAGCAGAAAAAACATTGTGCTTGCCTGGTGCAGTTCTGCATGTAGTATAGCTGATTCAGTGGGTATTATCTAGTTACATAGGGTTTCACCTTTATTTGTTTTACTGACTATGTGATTTTACAATTATGAAAGAATAAGGGCTAGCTGCTAGTAATACAACTAGTTTTTATTTGATTCAAAAAACATATACTCTCCATAAATATACAATATTCCCCAAAGAATAGTAAAGAAGTTGGGGCCAGAGAGAAAGGGCAGGGGTTAAGATGTTTGACATGTATAATGCCAACCTGGCTCTGAGTATGGTCCCCTGAACACCTGACAGAAGAGTGATCCCTGAGCACAGAACCAGGGTATCCCTGAGAATTGCTAGATGTAACACAAAAAAAAAGCAAACAAACCAAAGAATAGTAGCGGAACTTAAAGTTTTAAATGGTACCATTGGCTTTTTAGGTCTTTTTTGGGTGGTGATATGGTTCTGGGCTGGAAACTTTGGTGCTGGAAATAGTAATATGAAAAATCTTGACTAAGAAAAATGCAAACAATGCCAGTTTGTCTAATAAAGGTTTGCAAATGATCTCTGTTCAATAGATGGGAAGAAGTTTCTGCTGTAGGGTCTGTCTGTCTGTCTGTTCTCCCGTTGTTCATCGATTTGCTTGAACGGGCCCAGTAATGTCTCCATTGTGAGACTTGTTGTTACTGTGTTTGTCATATCGAATACATCATGGGTAGCTTGCCACTCTTTGCCATGTGGGCGAGATACTCTTGGTAGCTTGCCGGGCTCTCTGAGAGGGGCGGAGGAATTGAATTCGGGTCAACCGGGCCAGCCACTTGCAAATGCCCTACCTCTGTGCTATCGTTCCAGCCCATGTGCTGTAGGGTATCAAATAGAAAATTCATTTCCAAATTCATATGACAAACTATATACAAATGCTTTCTTAAATTCTCCATTGCATCAGTCTTAATATATTTCTAGTTTCTTCATTAATTAATTTTCTTTGATATGTTTATTTCATATTTTGAGAGTTTCTATCACCCAAAATAATGATATCTATATATATTTATTTATAAAAGGGTAAAAATGGTCCCTTAAGACTAGAGGACGATATACCAAAACCCATAGAAATAAAATATATTTTAAATTTTATCTTTCACCAACTAGAGCAGCAACACCCCTAGAGTATTCATCAAGTTTTATAACTATGCATGACCTTTAATGTGTTTTTATTGAGCACTTTCTCTGTATCAGGCACCATCTTAAGTTTTTCTCTGACTTTTTTTTTATTTAGTCCTCATAAAATCACATGCAGTAGATATCCAAGTTGTTAGTTTATAGAAGAGAATATGGAGGGTCTGTGAATTAATGAGTTATACATAGGCAGTGAATCATCACACTTCACTTTGTGACTGGCTGCTGGTAACATTACTAATGTATCCACATTATGAACCCACACTCTCTTCCTTTCACAACTTCCCCATTCTTCTCCACCTTAATTAACTCAGCTGACCAAAGCTGGGCATTATGTTTGGTTATCTTCTGGGCCTCACTCCCCATCATCACATTCTGTTTGTCTTCCAGATACTGTGTATTTCCTATTTTGCACCCATCTCCTAGTTTCTGGCTATCACTAGTATAATAGTCTCTGCTTTAGTTGTCCATCCCCAATCTTATTTTTCTCTTTGCTTTGCAGCCAAAATAAACTGTCTGCAACACAAATTTAATGACATTGTTCCCATGTCTCAAAGAGATTCATACCCCTTGATGTGGAGTTCAACCTCAGTTCTCATCACTCTCCCTTCTGCACTAGAATTCCAACCCTAAAGGCTATTTCTTAGTCACTGGGAAACAGTTATCTGATTCCTCAGTGTCTTGGTTGAATTTGCACCTTTGTTGGGAATGTATATTTCTAAAAGTAAACATTCAGCTTCCACTTTTTCAGTCAATAATGTCCTCGAGTGATGCCTCCGATATGTCATCTCTTCCTCTCTGCATGCACATAGCATTTACTGGTTTTGTTCTTAATAACATTACCACATTTTCCTTCAAATTACAATTATTTTATACATATGAATATTCATGTGGCAGTAACATGAAAAAGTGGGGTGAGCACAGATTCTGAAATTAGACAGATCTGGATTGAAAATTTACTTTTATTTTTCCTGTGTGACTCACTAAAATTGTTTAATGAATATGGCATTCCTTACCTAGCAGAAGGTATTGTGAAGACAATATAAAAATAAACACAAAGCAGCACCTTGAATGTAGTAGGAGCTGAATAAATATCCATGGAGTATATGAATGAGTGAGTGAATGTTGAAAATTTTGAGCTATGATATTTTTGGTGAATGTACAAAATCATTTACTGGTATATATGAGAAGTGTTTTATTTTACTATAATATTTATTATTGGATGGGTGGATGGAGGTGTATAGATCTAAATAGAGCTTGATATAAATATAAATTAAAATATAGACTCAATTTGGTTTTTAAAGCTCATTCTGACAACTGCTCATTTGCACCACCAGTGTTTCTTTAGAATCCTTGGTGCAGGGTTGGGGTGGGGTGAGGGTTATAATTTCCTTTCCTAGCATAATCACATCTTTGTGTCTTAAAAGCCATTCACCATTTAAAGCTGAGACAAATCTTAGTTCACATGAAAAAGAAAACTGTGTAGGTTCCAGGAATTTAATCATACCTGTTGATATATGATTGGATGGCTTGGGAACATTCAGAAAACTAGTATAGAATGGCATCCAAGAGTTGAAGGAGCCTGAGCCTTATCCAAATCTGAAGGATTCACTTTATATCAGCTTCTTCTTTATGGAAACTGGCTCAGCAGAAATAAGGAGAATGAGTCATACAGAACCTGGGGAAATTTCTCCTTACAGAAATGTGAAGTACTGAAAATTATTCAAGATTTCAAAAGAGTCAGCGACAAGCCCAGAAAATTTTCTGCCCAAGAATTCCTTAAGTATGAAATCTTCCGAATGGGAAGGCAATGTCCTCAAAAAAAAAAAAAAAAGAACCAATGTAGAACACTCAGTGGATAAGGATTGAATTTTGTAGGCATCCTTTTTTTTCTTCCTTTGTCTCTGCTAGCAAACATGCTCAGTATAAAAATAGAGTAAATGGACAAGATGAGGCTTATACATAAAGGAAATATCACTCAGCTACAAAAAAGGTGAAGTCTTGCCATTCGGGACATGAAAGGATCTTTCACTTTTGCTAAGTGAAATTTTTCAGATGCAGAATGACAGACTGATATGTTCATGTGTACGTATAAGATGAAGAAGCAAAGCAAATGAACAAAGAAACACTCTTACTCTATGTAAACATAAATGGTAGTGGCCATGAGGGAAGGAAACAGGGGGTAGGTAAAGGATGACAGATGAAAACCAGATGTTGATAGTACACTATAATGTAATATTATACTCACCATCAATGAATGTTGAACTACAAATCCTCATACCTAAAACAAGCAATGTTTTAATCTGACATGCAAATATCAAGTCCTCACGGAAAGGTGAGTGGAAACATCTTAGTGTCCAAGATAATGTATTTTGTTCTGATTTTGCCTCATAGTGAAGAAACTGAATTCTGGTTGTTAAATGCTGGAGTAAAGAGTAGAACTATGAATTCCACCAGCTTTGAATCTAAATTTCCTCAGCAATATTTCGCATACAAATACCACTTTAGTGACGAGTCATTGATACCTACGTGAAACTTGATGGGGCCCTGGGACTTGGGCTGCCTCTTCTTCCGGGTTATAGGGCCAAGCTGGAGGAAGGTCACATGCAAGGGGCAAGAATGGTCACTCAAAGGTTAAAAAAACCAAAATGACTTGTGCACATTCTAGGGAAGTATAGGACAAAAAAAAAAAAACAAATAGTTCTTGAAAACTAGAGAGCTAGAGGGAAACTGTAGTCAACAGAGAAGTGATTTAAGCACATTACTGGGGCAAATTAGCAGATAGCTATCTCCTGTATTTTCCTGCTTGAACCAGTAGAGCGCATCAATTAGCTTAGTCAACCTACAACCCTCCCCCGCCTCCACCAAGCCCCCTCCCAGCCCCTGCAGCATACTTTCTGTCTGTGGCATTGGGATTCTCTTTCCAAGGCCCAATCTTACCTGTCTGCGAAGATTTGGGGGCTGGTGCTTTGGTTGGACTGAGGGTCTGTGTGCTGGCAGTGAAAGTTCCTGGGAAGAGATAAGAGGTATGTGAGCTCGAGTCCTGATTTTGCCTGATCACATGCAGGCAAACAATCTACCAAGCTTGCTATATCATCTGATGTTAGCTATTTAATTTTTAATTAATTTATTCTCTCTCTCTCTCTCTCTGTTGTTAATGTGATGACTTGGAGGGGTCACGTAGTTGTAGTGCTCTCTGGTGTTCTCACTGTACACTTTCACTAAATATATTCTAAATGTATTCAGTGAATATTTTTACTGATTCTCACAGGAACCGGAGAATAACACAGACCCATGAGGAGAATCTGGTCCAGAGGGAAGAAAGGTCAATTTCATAGACACAATGATAAGTGGTGTTATCCACAGATCTGAGTATGGACACAGCCTCTCATTGCAAGGATCAGGAAAATGGTTTCAAAAACAAGCCTTTAATTTTCATTGTCTCTTATATTGTGTGTATATTATTCATACACATCAATACAGATACAAACATCATGCATACAGTTGGAATCATACTTGTAAATTTTTCTCCTGTCTCTCAGGACTCAGGCTTTCTTTATGTCATGGCAATGCAATGTGTGATCAATGTCACGTGTGGTGGGTGAAATCATATTAATACTGTACCAAAAAAAAAAAGAAGTAAAACCATCTAGAGTGAGTGAAAAGTATCTGCTTGGAAGAGTCACCTGCTTTTAACATTCAGTGAAGGGAAAACAGGGGACACTGGAAAGGGAGTTCATAAAAGTGACAGGTAATGGGGGGGGTTGTTCATTCAGCTATTCATTCAAAAGTGGGGAGACAAAGGGTAGAGTAAAGAAGAGGAGCATGAGAGGTTTCTTTGCAATCACTAAGCATATTTTATTATATTGATATCTGCGATTTTATACTCCAAAGACCAAGAAAGTTTTGACAAAGAGATAGCACAAAATTCAGGTGTCCTGGGGAACATGAAGATGAGCACCTTCTCTCTTACCTGAGACTGGGCTGGGCTGGGCTGAGTTGTCAAGCATGGCCACTGTCACAGCTGGAAGTTCAGAACTGGTCCTGATGCTGGAGGTTTTCTCAGCCTCTGCAGAAGATGTTAGCATGGAGGGTCCCAGAAAGATTGCTAGGAAGGTTCTCAAGGGTTCTCAAGGTCTTTTCTAATGCATACTGTCTGTCACATGTGGAGATCTAGTCACCTTTTGGTGGGTGTGCAAGAGATTACAATAGAGCATATATGCTTGCAAGTTTTGACTCAGTTTGATCATTCAGTGCTAGGGAGAACTCAGGGTCCTATTCATGAAAGACATTCACCCTGACCACTGAGGTAACTCCCTGGCCATCAGTTGTAGTTTACTTCAAAACAGGATAGGCATATCTTCAGCATCATTAGTGACAACATCACTGATGTTGACCACAAAATAATGAGTATAAAGAAACTCCTCACTATGCCACCATGCTAGTATTAAGTCATTACTCTTTATGTCATTTTCCAGTCAGGTACAAATTAATTTAACCCTGCCATAAAATATGGACTTTATTTCACCATTCAGTGTGCATTTTAGGAGAGATGGAAATTAAAAGGGGCAGAAGTCAGAGGTCTCAGGAACATAGGTGGGGTAGAGGTGTGGTATGTGTATATAGACTTAAACCCCAGCCCAACAACACTAAAAGCATGCGACCTAATTTCAATAACCAAATTGAAAAAAATGTGCCTGTCAAGGAGGTAGGCTGGTGGAATGGAACAAGGAGACACTGGAGAAGGGAAGTTGACACTGATGGGTTGATGCTGAAACACTGTATCTCTGAAACTCAACTACGAATAGCTTTTTAAAGTCATAGTGCATTATTAAAAATACTCTTTTCAAAAGGAACCCTGCTCTACTGGTGTTATAAATGTTAATGATTTAACTTTTTTTGGAAAACAATATATATACTTCTCAAAAAATCTAAGAATTGAAATTCCATATGATCCAGAAATCCCAAGTGCCAAAAAACTATTTTGAAAAGATGCTCATGTCCCTATATTTACTGCAGCGCTGTTCACAAAAGCCAACATCTACAAACAACCCAAGTGCCCAAGAATAGATGACTGGATTAATAAATTCTGGTGTAGATGCACGATAGGGTATTATATGACTACAAAAGAAGATGAAATCATGCAATTTGTGGTTACATGGATGAAACTACTGAATGTCATGCTGAGGGAAGTCAGTCAGTAGGTGTGGGAGAAACATAGAATGATTTCTTTTATAGAAAGACATAGTAGGGGAAAAACAAAGGCAACAGAGTCTGAGAGTTGGTTTTACCAACTCTAATTTTACCTAAGAGGATGAGGGGGAAAGAAGGGTAATTGGTGGAGGGAAGTAATCACTCTGGTGGTAGGTATGGTGTTGGAATGATATACACATGAATCTATCATTGACAGTATTAGAAATCATACTACCTCAATAAAAAGGGGGGAAATTGAGGATATTTTCATGATGAAAGGATGAAGAGGTTCTTGAAACCGTGCTACTTCTGCAATTTCTTGTGAGTCTTAAGCTTTCAACATTTTAAAAAAATTATAAAAGTAAGTCTTAGAAACACACTATGCTGATGTCATTTGCTGCCTAATCTTCTCTATATGGAATCCATACTGGCCCATAGTAATGTGTATTTCAAGGAAGACTAAATCTGCAACTGTACCTCATGATGTCTCACTAATAAAAATTTTAAAAAAAAATTAAAAAAAGAAAGAAGGGGTGGGTGGAGAAAGAAGAAAGAGGGAAAGAGGGAGATTTCACTTATGCATGGGAAGTTGGAGGAAGAAACAAAAAAGACAAGAGGAAAGGGATTGATAAAGTTTCTTACCCAATGGTGGGCTCCAGGAGTAGGAGCTGCTCGACCTGGTGGTAGACTGGGGAGGATGCTCAGGGTCAGTGTACAGGGTCCACTCCCCTTCTGAAGGAGGAGCTGTCTTTATCCAAGAAGTGGTCGCTGAAGTAGATGTTCCAGGGCTTTGGGCTCCATGGGGGAGTCCGGTCCTTGGTAGTGTGTCTTTGCTTTGGGGGCTGACCTTTGAAGTGCTATCTGTTCCCCTGAGAGCTGCACCTGGAGGGTGACACTCAGTAGCAGCTTTCATATAGGCAACACTTTAAATACAAAGAACAGTCAATCTACCAAAAGGTTATCACCAGCTAAAAGAACAGTCAATCTACTGAAAGGTTATCAATAGCCAATACAGACTCCCAAGAGTCATCTCTTACACAGAACAATCCCCATGGTGTCTATTTTAAGTTAAAATATCAGTCTGTGAAAATGATGGATGAAAGAAGCACTGTGAACAGAATACAGAAGCTGTTAGATCTAAACACATCATATGTTGTCATGTTTCCTCCATAGAACCTAGATCGCATCAACATCCTTGTCTTTTTTCAGAGCCCTCATCACCTTTATAGCTCTGGCAGTGGTCCCAGAAACAGTGTTGGTTAGATTTGCAGTACAAGACCTGCGACTCTTATGGGACCAGAAGTGAAACTGGAGCTGCCAGGCCGAAGTTGCCTGAATGACAGGATCCTCCTGAAACAGCAAGAAGCCTCAGTTCAGAGTAAACTGACAACTGATCTGTCTTAGGTGTCTCACAAACATGTGGAGGAAGAGGCCCAAGTGTTAATTTTGGCTCCTCTCTCCTTATGAAGGTTTAAAAGGTGGGAGCTGGGTTTTTAGATGACAGCCTTCAGCGATCCATAGCACCCTTTTCTCTGCATAAAAGGAGACCCTCATGGCTGCTGGCAGATAGGCAGAATCTGTGTTGAGCTTTGGCCTCTGCTTGCCACTTTGGCAGTCACTGTATGTAGAAAACAAGTCATACAACTGCAGAAAGTGGACCAGTGGCCCTGCTTCCCTCTCTTGCCTTACCTATGGTCATACGGACAACCTACATGCTCCATTAAACTGGACATGGAATTAGGTGCCTCCTAAATAAAACTCTCAGTCAGTTTATTGAGTAACAGACACATCAACCTCGTTGCTTCCTTGTAAATACATTCTATTTTCTTAAGTGTTTGTACTTAATTGAGGGAGTACAAGAAAAGATATCTAATTGTGACTGAGGATGAGGAGGGTTCTTGATAAAATTGATTCAACTCTTATATTTGTTCTCAGACTTGGGTAGAGAATGGGCTCCCACCAAATGCCCAACTTTTCCTGTCAAAATATATATGCATACGTATGCAGGGGCAAAAGCATTATGTCCACAGTACAGTAATGAATTCAAACACCAACACAAGCTAGGTACTTAATACAATAGAGGGAAATCCAAGCCAAGAGAGAAGAGAGAGGGTATATAGGAAATATGAGAGGAATATTGATCCTAGAAGGAAGAATGTGGGCAGAAATAACTTAACTGCAGTAGCTGCCAAGGGTGAGAGGGAGAATGCTGAAATAAAAGATAATTTTGGAGGGTGGGGTAAAAGAACTCAGCAATTACATTTTTTACATGGTTAAATCCTTTCATTTTAACAAAATGTAGCTGAATGAAATAGTCCAAAGTAGCATTAGTTTATTAGGTCATCCTTGGTATAGAGGTGGTAGGAGTTTGAAATAGTTGGACTCACCCAAAATACCAGACATGCTGCTGGTGAATGTGTAATTGATAACTGGAGATTTTTCCGCTAATTCCCAGAAGTCAGAAATATTCTTCCCTGAAAAAAATCACATGTGTGGAATCAAATCTTGGGCTCACAGACTCCTGTGAGCTGTGTTTAATTCTCAGCTCAGAAACTTGTCAAAGAATGGCTGGGGGATCACCTGCCTTTCCTGTCATGACACAGATGAAGATGCAGTCTGATTCATCCATCTGACTCACTACAAGACAAGCAAAATACAATATTTAACATTGAAGCTAAAGCTGGTCTATTGGGAATAAAACTTAAGATGGAAATTCCTAGTTCAGGGTGCTATAGGAAAATTAGACTAACTCCTTACTTTCAGGGAACCCTCATTTTATATTGTATTTGTTTTTGAGAAATGCAGGATAATGTAATTACTAATGTCACAGCCCCTGGTATTAGCTTTAAGAGTTACATGATTATTTCTGCCAAATCTAGCTAAGTGGACAGAAGTTACTGCTTGAACTCTCTAGGATACAGACTATATATCTTTAAAATGGTGACAATTTAAATCCTATAGTCTCTTCTTGCACTTTCCAAGCTCGCAAATATTTATGACAAACTGTATTATTATGTGACACTGATAACAACCCACTGGTGGTAAAACATGACTTTTCATCAGTGAGGATATTTATTATCTTTTTGTTCAGTAACTTTACAACATCAATGTGTTTGATCACAACAACAAAGTGCCCTGGACATTGCCCAAGGTGCCGTCTCATGTAGGGTTTTCCTTCGAGATGCTGGCAATAGATGTGTCATGGCAGGACCCTGGAAGGTCATGACATATCTGTAAAGTGCCAAGTACAGTGCAGATCCAATATCCAAATTCAGTTCCAATATTGAATTTTCAGTTAATATTTGGGATATATTCATTATTGTAGATCTATTTGTAGATCAAAGTGGGTCCAGAGTTACATTTTCATTACTTTTACAAAGGGGGATGTGAATTTCTTGGGTATCAGATAAACAAGACTTTTGTTTATTTTTTCCATTAGGAAAAATGGAGGCCATACCTAACAGTGCTCAGGGAACCATGCTGTGCTGGGCTTCACATCTGGAGCTCCTGCTTGTAGAACTAAACTCCAGCCCTCCAGCATTCATCCTGGCCACAGAGGTTTTCTTTTCAATTGTATGTCAGATATGGGTTTGGGTTCCATATCAATCTAAATATGAGCTCTGAATAAACCTTGATCAAAATATTCAACATCACTGAATCTCAGTTTTCTCATCTTTAATATGGTAGTATAAATAACAGAAACTGTTTTCTTCAATCTGCCTGGTTTCCCCATCTTTTGAGTCTTGGATTCTTTCTCCATTTTTTTTCCTGAACACCAGGAAGATCTCTATTGGGAAGATGTCCTCAATTACTGGCAGTAGAAAGTAGATCACACTGATATTCTAAAAATTATGTGGGGGGCTGGAGCAATAGCACAGCGGGTAGGACATTTGCCTTGCATGTAGCTGACCCGGGTTCGGTTCCCAGCTTCTCATATGGTCCCCGGAGCACCGCCAGGACTAATTCCTGAGTGCATGAGCCAGGAGTAACCCCTGTGCATCTCCAGGTGTGACCCGAAAAGCAAAAAAAAAAAAAAAAGTAAAAATTATGTGAAAAATTCCTGGCACTCTGGCCTTAGGAGGGAATCCAGAGAGTTTTCTAGACCTGATTATAGTCTATTACAAATATTGAGGACTGGAGCAAAAACACAGTGAGTAGGGCATTTGCCTTCCATGCAGCTGACCCAGGTATGATTCCTCTGTCCCTCTCAGAGAACCCGGCAAGCTACCAAGAGTATCCCGCCTGCACGGCAGAGCCTGGCAAGCTATCCATGGCTTGGTATTTGATATGCCAAAAACAGTAACAAGAAGTCTCACAATGGAGACGTTACCGGTGTCTGCTCGAGCAAACTAATGAACAATGGGAGGACAATGCTACAGTGGTACAAATATGAAATATCAAATTTGCCAAGCATTCTCAAGATGAACAGACCTGAGAGAATAGAGGTTGACTTAAAAATTTCTGTGAGGTAGCTAGTAGAATTTCCAATAATGTCCACCAGGAGGGCAGTGAAATCTGCAAAATAGATTGTGGGAAGTTTAAATTTCTGACTTAAAAATGTATAATGTGTGTAGTTTTCTGAAGGTATTTTACACTTTTTCTTTATGTCAATGTTTTGATAAAACTAACAATAACATAGAAGAATATCAATTATGAACATTTATAATTTCAGATATGCAGGAAACCTGATAATTCATATTTACAATTCTCTTTCTCCTCTTATTGCCTTTTCTGCCAAATTATCCCTGCTGACCCCCAAAGAACTGAGAAAGCCCACATTGCTGTGTAAAGCTCCTTTTGATTTGTTTTTCTAGTTATCTCTTCTTCTTTAGAGTATAGAAATCCAGCTGATAGTCTTATAGACATGTAAAAGATACGCAGAATTACAGAATTTGGATTTTTCAAAATGTGATGTCAGTCATAAACTATGCACCACATAAAGGACATCAATCCTAATAGAATCAAGAACTTTTTCTCCTAATCCTGCTTGTTAAGAACTATTGAGAGGAGATAGAAAGAATTCCATAATTCATACTATAATGTCCTCATAGACTTTATATTTACATGGGATTTGAATAAGGCATTTGCTAAACATGGGGAACCTGACTGAAACAACAAAGTTCATTAATATACTTGTAGAACAAAACTAACACCACCTCTTTCTCTTTGGTATTCCAGATCCAACAAGTTCTTGACTTATAAAACAAGGGGTATATGTCAGAGGAGTCCAAATTATAACCTTTTTTTCAAGGATAATTCTTTGGGTTACCCTGAAAAATTTTCTCTCAGGTCTTATACTCAGTTCACTCACTAATGGTTCATGACCTTGAGAAAAGCTAACCCAGAAAGGTAGAAAATGTAATGTGACAACTAGTAAAATAGACAGCATATGAAGTGAACAGGAGTTGGTAACTATGCTTTGACTCAGAGCCATGGGCATTATGTATCTATTCAGGTATGGGAATTTGCCTATTTTGTAGGTAGGCAAATTGGATTTTGCCTTTTTTTCCTGGAGTTCTCCTTTCTATGTCTCTTTTTATAGCCTGTTCTTAGTTTTAGTCACATTGAGGAAACTGAGGAGGAATACTAATTCATTATTTATTCTATCATATTCCTTCCTACACGGCACCCACGTAGGAAGCGTAGGGCTGGAGCGATAGCACAGAGGGTAGGGTCTCTGCCTTGCATGCAGCCAACATGGCCAACCCGAGTTCGATTTCTCCGCCCCTCTCGGAGAGCCCGGCAAGCTACCGAGAGTATTCGATATGCCAGACACAGTAACAACAAAGTCTCCAATGGAGACGTTACTGGGCCCGCTCGAGCAAATCGATGATCAACGGGAGGGCCTTTACTTACTTTACTATTCCTTCCTATTACCCAAATATCTTCATTTATTTATTCATCTAGCAAACATTCATTGAATGTTTGACATGTGCCAAATATCTGTTCTATATTGGAAGCATGGGTAAGACAACATCTCTGCCCATAAGATGTTTAGATTAGTGAGAAAGAGACACAAACAGAACCCAAAACTTCAATTTGTTGCTGATAATGCATAAAATTGTAGTATGGCAATGGCATCAGAAAAATGAGATGGAGTCCAGGCTCAATCCACAATTCAGAGAGATGGATACAATAGAGCTTGCATCAGGGCAGAGGTTAGACTTTTACTTCTTTCAATTTTCCCAGTGGTTATTATCCAGCTGAGCAGCAATTTTACTCAAACTAATTCAATACATCTTGTCAACTTTCCTTTACTTGAACAATCTGTCCACTGTTCTTTGAAGAAAATTAGATATTCTTTGTTATGATGAAAATTCTATCTAACTTACTGGCTTACAGAGGAATGGCTGCTTTTTACCTTCATATATAAGTAGTAAGAAAGAAATATGCTACCTGTCCAATAAGTAATGCTGTAAGAATGTTTCTAGGTAGACAGTGTTGACAAGAGCTTGGAAAATCATACACTTTCCAACACTGATATTAAAAGCATTAACTTATGTAATACTTCTACAAAATTAACAATTTTTCCCTATCAGCCAACAACTACATTTCAATGATTTTATTCCATAGTGATAATTGAACTACTTTTTCAAGAGATTGTACAGGCAAATACAAAAATATGCTTTCATGTTGGAGTAGTTTATAATTGTAAAATAATCATTGGAAATAAACTAGATTTTGTCAAAAGGCAACAAATTAAGTTATGACGAAACAATTCATAGAAAGAATGAGACATTTATAATTATTGTAATGGGCTGTTATCTAAATTTCACTGATTTGTTTAAATATGACATAAAACTGCATGAAAGTCATGAAAGATACAGAGGATTATCTCCCAATTTGCATTCTGCCCTCTTTCATTGGTAAATATATATATATATATATATATATATATATATATTATTAGTGAAACACCATGAGGTACAGATGTAGACTTACAAACTTTCGTGCTTGGGTTTCAGTTATACAATGATCAAGTACCCATCCCTCCACTAGTGCCCATTTTCCACCACCAATGAACCCAGTAGCCCTCCCACCCCGCCAACCCCCCCCTCCACCCAACCTTTATGGCAGGGCATTCCCTTTTGCTCTCTCTTTCTTTAGGGTGTTGTGGTTTGCAATGGAGGTATTGAGTGACCATCGTGTTCAGTCTATAGTCTACTTTCAGCACGTTTCTTGCATCCTGAGCGAGTCCTCCAAACACCCTTTACTTGGTGTTTCCTTCTCTATCTGAGCTGTGTTTCCCCCCCCAGTATTGCTGCCAGCTTCCAAGCTGCGTTGGTAAATATGTTTTGTGTTTTGATTGAGCACATGGTGGTTTCTCATAAAGAGTATAATTTAAAACCTGCTTTGCATGGAAGAGTAGCCATATGACTAAAATATGACTGACAAGAATGTGAAAAGGAGCCAAATCAATGATTTCCAGTCTGGCACTTTAGAGTGCACGTGCATGCCTGCTAATTGCATTCTCCGCTTCCTTGTAGCCTCTTTGTGGATTTAGGACCACAGTCCTATTTCATCCTGAACTAGGAGTACTATGGCAATATCTAATGAAAGTCATCCTAGCAGACTAGAAGTAGCCTTGAGTTCCCAAACCATCAGACTTTTGTGCAACTCTGGTGTATTTATCCAGATTGTCACACAGGAAAGCAATTATCCTCTTTAAGCTATATTATTTTGGACTCATTTGTTATAATGTCCTGGCTACAGTGTGTTGGTAAGTATTGCATATATGTTAAATAATAGAGAAAATGTGGAAGAGGATGGGTAGATGGAGAATTTAGGAAGAAAATGTGGAGGGGAATGTGGATATAAGCAGGAGAGAGGGTTATGTTCGATAAGTCATTTTGGTCAGCAGTTTTCAACCTTTTTTCAACTTTGACATCCTTCCAACCTTGTTTCTTTCTTGTGAGCCCTCCCACTATGTCTTATACACTGGCTTACTAGTCTATTATGGTACCTTATTTATGGACCTCCAGTTGTGAAACTCTGATTGAGATGAATATAACTGCATAGATGAATTAAAGAGGAGCAATGTCTGTGGATATTGAAATATCGGGTAATTTCCAGCTTTTGATTTGTTTAGTTTGTTTAATGTTTGTTTGTTTAATTTGTCTCTGTGGTTTATAATATTTTGACATCACAGGACATTATTTCTTCTAGAAAGAACACACTGAAGATATTTCCATTTAGAAAAACATGCAAAAATGCACCCTTGAAGGAAGAAACTAAGTTAGAGTTGAAGATTTTGAAGTAACTTTTGAAGATCTGAAGATAACCACAAACACCTCTCCCTCAAAAGTTTTTTTTCTTTATTTGTTTTAGGGTCACACCCCACATGTTCAGGGCTTACTCTGACTCTGTGCTCAGGAATCATTCCTCTTGGGCACCATCTATGGGGCCAGGTTCAAACCCTGCTCAACCATGTGCAAGACAAGCACTCTGTAGTATCACTCTATGCTCCTGCCCCAGAGGTTTTGTTCAAGCTGTAGGAAGATGCTGTCTTTCATGTGCAATCTCACAGGATGTGACTGGAGGTAACACTTATCAGGCAAGAATGACTTGTTCATCCTTATGAGAATCTCTGAGACTGACAAAAAAAGGCATTTTATTTGTATGAGGGTAATCCACACATAAGTTCTTTAAAACTAATAATTTCAAGAATGTAAGAAATATTTTCAGGCTCACCAACTGGAATTATAAACATGTTTTCAGCAAATATACTCCATTTTAAAATGTTTTATTTATCTTTTTCACAGTTACAAAAAAGACTCCATGTCAAGCATAAAAATCACCCTCCAGAAGGAGCTAATAAGATGATGAACAAGGTGTGATTATGAAGAATGTTTTTCCCCCCAAATATAATTTTGTGATAACATTTGGAGGGTGAGTTAAATTAGTGTAGTGAATACTAAGTACTTATTACTGAACCTGGCACATAGAACTCTGTAGTTAAATATTCTCTTTTAAATATTTCCAATATATTTCAGAAATTCTACTTTGAGAAATCTGTCCACAAAAAGTAATCTAAAATGGAAAAGATTTATAAACAATAACACCCAATACAGGTTAAATACAAGTAATAATTGAGATTTTTACAATACAAGTTTTTAAAAAGCCTAGAATCTATTCAAAAGTGAAACACTACTGTGAAGAAAATACTTAACAGGGACCAGAATATTACAGGGACACTGGGGTATATAGGCATTTGCCCTGTATTTAGGTACTTGCCTTGTATGTGGTCAACCCTGGTTTCATCTCTAACACTGTACTATCTCCTGAGCAACTGCAGGGTTAACCTCTGAGCACAGATCCAGGAATAAGCTCCGAGCAACACTGTAACTCCAACCTTAGCCCCTCAAATTCAAATGCTTACACATACAGGCTTTGCAGCACATATGAATATACATATAGTTTTCAGTGTATGGGAAAAGATTTCTATGATTATATTAAATGGCATAAAGAGAAGGAGGCTGTCTCCAACATTCCTGCTCTCCTTATTGTTTCTTGAACAAACCCTTAGAGAATCCTTTTAAAATGTAAGTCAGAACTTGTGGCTTTTCTGGGTGAACAATCATGGTACCTACCTTATTATTCAGAGTCAGAATATAAATTCTTGTAGTAAACTATAAACCTAAGCATGGTCTCCTATATTCTCCCTGCCCTGCTCTCAACTCTGAGCCTATTTCTCAGGACTCTCTGGCTTCAGCTTTTGCAGACACTCTTTAAGCATCACCTCCTAAATCAAAGACTTCTCTGATCAGCTGCCCCCAGCAGCCTTCCCTACCAGCAATTCTTTTCTCGGCCCAATTTATTGTTCTCAGAGTCTCTTATTTAGCCAGCATGCTGTATAGTCTTAGCTTTGTTTCTCTTTTCTTGTTTGGAAAACACACCTGGCTGTGCTCAGGGCTTACTGGATCTGTGATCTGATATATCTCCAATGCTTAGGGCATCAGATGTGGCTCTTGGGTGGGATCGAACCTGGTCAGCCATATGAAAGACTTACTGACTGTACCAGAACTTATAGTGCCCAATCTCTGCTGCCTGTTTCCCAGTCTGTGATGTGTACTTTCTCTCTCTTACCTTGCACTTTTCTAAACAAAACTATTTTACCTTATACACACAAAAGTAATATCGTCATACACTTTAGAATTGAAAGTGAATCGAATTTATCTTCTCATTTAAAATAAGATTAATTCAAGAAACCTTTAATCAACACTGTTCCTTTTCAAAACACATACCCCAGTTTTCTTCGGAGAAATAAACCTCCCCAGCATCCACTTATATGTGTATTTTCTCACCAGTGACACTTTAATCTACACATTTTATTGAAAGTTTCATTGCATGGTTTTCTACTAAAAAATATCTCAAAGATTTTCTATGTGTGTAAACCAAATCTGTCCATTCCTATTTATGTACTTGCTTTTGCTGTTTCCTAGTTTCATTAGATAGTAGACTATTCAACCATATTCTTAAATATGTGTGTTTGGGTTAGTCTCAGATTTTGCTGCTAAGACATTTTATGAACATCTATTCTTTAACTTACCTAAAATGAAGCAATAGAAAACTGCATGCCTTGTAGGTATTCCCACCTACCTGATAAATCATTGGTTCTATTGTTTAAACAGTAGCAGTACCGGGAGGGAAATTTGGCTGGGTCCACCGTCTTCAGGTTGGAAACTGTGAAGAGACATGATCCCACAGTAGTTCTAACAGATCCCGGTCCTGCCAGCCCATGCCCATTATCAGTGCCCAGAATATTCAGCTTTACTTACTGTTGTAAATGGCCACGGAAAACTTGTGGAAGGCAAAGGAACTGTAAGATGTAATGCTCAGCAAGGAGAAGAAAGTCCTGCTTTCTGCCAGACACACCAACATAAAGAGATAGATGCTTACTAATGATAAGAAATCAAGGGTAGTACAAATTAGTATTCACGATGGAGTTTAGAAATATTGAGAACAAAATATGGGCCAGAGAAATGCTTCGCACAGAGAAGTTCAATCTCCAGCTCCTTCGGTTATCCTGAGCTCTACTAGGATAAGTTCCAAAACACTAAGCCTGGAGTAAACCCTGATAACCACAGGGAAGGAGGTGGGGGGAAACACCCTAAACTCAGGAAACAAATAATAGAGAAGACCTGACCGGCTAACTCAGCTCATGGAGAAACCCAATAGTGGAGCTTGAACAAGACAAAATTGGAATTGGAATTCTCTATTGAAACCCAAGCACTAAAATTTGTAGTCTACAACTGTATCTCATGGTGCCTCACTAATAAAATTTAAAAAATAAATTAAAAAAATAAAATGTAAAAAAAATAGAATAGATTACCGTTTAAAGCTTTGCTCAGCATCCCATTCACAAGTTCTGTCAGGTTAAGTGCAGACAGATCAACCGCCTTTGCAGGAAGTTCTGAAATGAGTTAGAAGATACTGTCACTCTAGACTTGGCAAATATAAAAAAGGTCATTTACAACACTCAGGCAGTTGTGAACATTCACTGAGCATGTATCCAGTGCCTGGTACCAGGCTTCAAAGATAAGAAGTGGTAGCCTCTGACAGTATGACAAGTTGGAAAGAGGTCCAGGGAAGCATAGACAATATTTACATCAGGTGTTCTCTGCAACTGGAGAGATAAGGAATTGGCAGAGAAAGTTCTTATATCATGGGAAGTCAAGGAACTCACAGGAGTCCTCAAAGCATAGTCTATGGAAATACAGAAATAATTGAAATATATAAAGAATATATATAGGAATTAAAAGGGCATGTTTGTATATCATGGGAAATCTAACATATTTTGTCTGTTTAAATCTATATTTCCCTTGTTTGGACTCCAACCTCAGATTTAATAGGTATGGAATATCTTTGAAGCAGCATCAGTCGTGAACTCAATGTGTGAGTTAATTCTCACTTAATGATAATGTATATCTCAATTCCACTAAGCTAAAACCGCACCTCTCTTCTGAAGATTTGGAAAAGACAGTTGTGAAAAATGGCATAAGAATTTATAATCCATTTTGTATTTTTATAAACTGTCTTTTTAAACTGTTGCTTGCAAAATTTTTTTCTTCTTTCCTCTGTTGATATTTCTTTTTTTTTAAATTTTTATTAGTGAAACATCATGAGGTATAGTTGATATTTCAATGAACATGGGTCACACTTGTGCTTAAAGGTGGTGCTAGAGGGAACTGGAGTAATAGAACAGCAGGTAGGGTGTTTGCCTTGCATGAATCAGGTCCAGGTTTGATCTCATATGGTCCCCTGAGCACCAGCAGGAGTAATTCCTGAGTGCAGATCCAGGAGTAACCTCTGTGCATTTCCAGGTGTGACCCAAAAAGCAAAAAAAATGTGGTGCTAGAACAAAGTTCTATGGTCCTTGCCTGGGGTGGAACATCAGGTCAGGTTATGATACTTGTACACTGGATCATGGTGCTCATAGGGGGTTGCATCCTTTAGTTCTAACTTATACACACCTGACTGTAGTGTAGCTAGGAACAGTAGTGCAGTGTTGGGACTCTTAGGCAGCACAGCTGCCGGGTACAAACTGCAACCTGCAAGTATTATGCTGGATCCTTGTGAGTAAAACTGGAGATCAAACTCAGGATTGTAATGCTTGTGAGAAAGGTGCATTAGCCACTGGATAATCTCCCAGTGCCTTAACTTTTACTTAATGTTTAGTTAGTTGTGTAGGTCAAGCCATATGGAGAGTGCCAAGATGGACTTCTGTATTGTGTATTGGGAATGTATTTGGTCCAGAAAAGGGAGAGGAAAGTATCCTCTAGACCATCCATGGAGCACTGGGATGGGAGTACTGAGAAATGCCACTCCTTTTCCTTTCTCTCTTCTGTAAGGCAAGACACTGGGGATAGAAATAGGGCATTACTGTAGGATAGGAGTCTCCAGTCCAACATTATATTTCTGGAGAGGTTCAGAGATTGTACTGTAATGACCTTCAGGCTTGTTAACCTTGAGGATTATGGGGGACATCATAAAAGGGAAAATTTTTGATATCTCCTCTACATTAGTCTCCTTGGGTTGGACGCATATAGAAATGCACATTTTAATAAATAATCATGGTAATTCTTGTGCAACGGGTCTAACCTACCTCACATGAATCTGAGACTATTGTCATGAATCTGAGACTCGCAGAGAAGAAACTTACCTAAATGTACACAATCACTTAATCACTTAACTTCCCGTTAGTCGTCGATTTGCTCGAGCGGGCGCCAGTAACGTCTCCATTTGTCCCTGTCGCGTGCTAGTGTAGCCCAATGGCATCTCTTCGCTCCGGGAACATGGAGGGCCTCAAACCGATCGTTCATGACCTTGACAAAGAAGTCTGACCATCTGGTAGGTGGGCGGCCACGCGGTCTCTTGACATCCCGTGGAATCCAATCAGTAACAGCTCTAGTCCAACGGTCGTCTTTAAATCTCATTACGTGACCAGCCCATCTGATTTTCGACACCTTGGCAAATGAGACAGCGTCCCTGATCCTTGATCGTCGATGGATGTCAGAACTCCGGATTCGTTCTCTCATTTGAGTGAAACGTGATATTCCAAGCATAGCTCTTTCTATTCTTCTTTGGGAGACCTGAATGGCGTTCTCATCTTGTTTGCGTAGGGCCCAGGTCTCTGAGGCATATGTTAATGCAGGAAGAACAGTGGAATCAAAGAGATGTGCCCGGAGCCGGAGGTTCTTCGTCCTCTTAGCTATTTCTTCGACGTTCTTGAAGGCGTTCCAAGCCGCTCTCTTCCTCCTGTGCAGCTCGGGTGCCAGGTCATTTCTCATGTTGACCTCTCGACCTAGGTACACATAGCTGTTGCATTCGGAGATGGTCGTTCCATTGAGAGCGAATGGGGTGTCAGGAACAAGGCTATTTCTCATAAACATTGTCTTCGTAAGATTCAGCTGTAGTCCTACCTTTCCACACTCACGGTCAAAGTCGGCCAGCATTTGTGCCGCTTGGCTGATGTTTGGTGTTATTAAAACAATGTCATCAGCAAAGCGGAGGTGGTGTAGTTGCCGACCATCTATCTTCACTCCCATTCCTTCCCATTCCAGTCGTCGCATGATGTTCTCGAGGGTGGCACTGAAGAGTTTTGGTGAAATGGTATCACCCTGCCGCACCCCTCTCTTGACATCAACGATCACTTCTTTGTAGAATGGTGAGATCCTGGTAGTGAATCCGCAATACAGCTCACGGAGGATCCTGATGTATTGGGCTTGTATGCCCTGATTGGCTAGGGCTTCAATGACCGCTTCCGTCTCAACAGAATCAAAGGCCTTCTTTAAATCAATGAACGTTAAGCAGAGCGGCATCTTGAACTCCCGAGAAACCTCAATGAGTTTGGTTATCGTGTGGATATGGTCGATGGTGCTGAATCCTTTGCGGAACCCTGCTTGCTCACATGGTTGTCCTTCATCTAGTGTTCTGCCAATCCTATTCAGGATGACTCGAGTGAACAACTTGTAGATGACAGACAATAGGCAGATCGGGCGATAGTTGCCAATGTCATGGATGTCTCCCTTCTTGAACAGTAGTACGGTCCTGCTGGTTTTCCATTGAGATGGAACCTTGCATTCAGACAGGTAGCGAGTGAAGAGCCGAGCCAGTGTATTGATGAGTACTGACGGCAGGTTCTTCAGGTGTTCAGGTCTGACCTTGTCTGGGCCGGGTGCTGTTTGCTTCTTTACTGACGAAATGGCGTGTCGGATTTCGGAAGGGAGAACGTTGGGAACGACATACCCATCCTGTGGAATTTGGTATGTCGGCAAGTGGACATGGCTATCGAAGAGATTTGAGTAGAAGTCATGGATAATCTTCTCCATTGCCGTTCTGGAGGATGTGATGGATCCATCAGGACGTCGGAGGGCAGTCATCTTGGTCTTATAGTTGGCGAAGGACAGGCGGGCGTTACGAATACTTCCACTACCCAGCCGTCGCCACACTCCAGGACGCTTTCCGGAACCGCGCGGCAGCTCCGGCCGAGACCCACGCACAACTGAAGACCCAAAGAACAAGGTAAGCGGAACTCTCTGAGACCTTGGACTCCAGGCTCGGCGGACCCAGGGACAGAGCTTCTCTGCTTGCTCCCACCACCACAGGTGACAAAGGGATTCTAATCAGGAGCCCCACCCTACCCTTCCCTGTCTGCTTCCATCAACCACCCAGGGATCGAATTGTGCACAGGAGACCCACCCTACCCAGATAAATACCCCACTGGCAGACTTCCACTCTCGACACTACTTCCACTACCCAGCCGTCGCCACACTCCAGGACGCTTTCCGGAACCGCGCGGCCGCAAGCGGCCGCGCGACACATCATAAAACACTAAATACCCGTCTTCTGGAATTGTCGTACCATATTTGATAGGGTTCAAATATGGTAACACCTACAAGGGTGATTAGAGGTCACCCCAAAAGCCTCTATACCTCTCGGAAAGACTGGCAAGCTACCGAGAGTATTCCGCCCGCACGGAAGAGCCTGGCAAGCTATCCGCTGTGTACTCGATATGCCAAAACCAGTAACTACAACTGGTCTCATTCACCTGACCCTGAAGGCTTCACCGACATGGCAGCACTGAGAAGGATGAGAAAGGAGAGGCCGACAAAATCTCAAGGCCGACCTAGGCTGCCACAACGAAGGAAGACAAAAATGATCGTCTGTACTTTCAATGCACGTACGCTAGCATCAGATGCATCCATCGAGGACCTGATGGTACAAGCGCGAATGATCAAGTACGACATCATTGGTCTGACCGAGACAAGAAGACACGAATCTCACCATGCCGTTTTCAACACTGGAGAAGAATTGTTCCTCGGAACATGCGATAAAAGAGGTGTTGGAGGCGTCGGTGTCCTTATCAACACAAACTTGGCCAAGAGCATTGATTCATTCGAATGCCTAACAACCCGAATCGGACGTTTACATTTGAATAGATGTGGCTCACTGCCTGCAGTTTCTATCTTCGTTGTCTATGCACCAACATCTCATTATGATGAAAGAGAAATCGAGAAGTTCTACATGGAGCTAGAGAAATTCTATAAAGAAGACCACACCTTCTACAAGATCATTGTGGGTGATTTTAATGCCAAGATAGGACCGAGAAGATCAGCTGAAGAACTTCACATCGGAACCCATGGCCTAGAATGGAACGAACAGGGTGAGAGACTGTCTGAGTTCATCATGTCGACCAAGACCATTCATGGTAACTCACAGTTCCAGAAGGCAAAATCTAAACGATGGACATGGGAGTCTCCCGGTGGACGATTCCAAAACGAAATAGACCACATCATATTCAATCGACGGTTTTGCCTGACTGATGTCGCTGTTGTCCCAAAATTTCGAACGGGATCGGACCACCGTCTCCTTCGTGCAAAATTCTACTTCACAGAGCGGGGAGAAAGGGCT